TGACATTATATACCATCAAGTCTATGCCTCTATGGTAACAATATTTTTAGATATACGAGTCAAGACCTAATTATACGTTAATTGTTTTATACAGGTAAATATAATTTACTTATGATTAATAATCTTATTAATTTATTATATTTAGTAAGATCTACCTACATAATAGGATATTTGATATATCTATATGATGTAACTAGGTATATAAGACTAAATAAAATAATAAATGAAACATTTTATGAACGAAATAAAAATATAATTGTATAGTTAATTATGCAAAACTGTATGTCAACTCAGAATTTATCATTATTAATATTTTTATTACATTCATTTTTGGTGTACAAATATATATTTTTAAATAATTACAATAATTATTAGAATTTTAAAAATTGGATAGACAAAAACCAGACTAATTGAAAAATAGCAACACAAGTTTAGGAGCTGATTAAGTAATATAAGTCAAAAATGGAAACCATTTGGCTTTTATATCAAATATTGTTAGCGACACATAATACTTATGCCAATCTATATGTCGAAGCAATCATACCTCGCAACATTTTATATAAAGTATAATTTCGGACTTTTGAGTATCGTAACAGTTGTTGGCAAGTATTATAAATTTTAAATTAATGATGAAGTAATAAGCTATCAGAGCAGTTGTATTCGAAATATTTTATGTTCAGAGTAATATATTGGGTACTATATTATTTAATCAAAGTAATCAATTATCGTAGTTCAGTGGTATAGCGAAGAGGAGTGTTGTAGGTGTAGCAACAGCCCCTCCTTTCTTGACAATGTTTGTTTATTACAGATATATCTAATAAAACGATAAAAAATAAATTATTTTACAATATGTTATAACTAGGTAAATTTCATTAAAATCTTAGTATTATCAAAAAATGATGATGTGAAAAGAATTGATTATTGATGTCATGATGGTGGTTTTTAGCTATTTGTTAACCACAGCTATTGATATAATTGACAACGATTTCCATTTTTCCATCAAAAAGATACAAATATATTCTTATCTATCTCGGTGCATTTTCTAAAGAAAGCCAGATATTGTCTCCATCTCACAAACGTAAGACGCAAATTAGCGTTTAGCAGGGACAATATTGTGCTGTTAGTTTTAATATTAAAAATATTAGAGTGAATTATTGTAAAATTATTATCATTACATTAAACTTAACGAGAAGAAGTTATCATTATCTACATATACATTATACGTATACATTATTTCAGTAACGTATTTTTTTAATATTTTAATTTTCAATAAGGTATGAGTGGTATATTAAATAAACAGTTTTATAATTCTTTTCTTGAAAATTAAAATTTCGAATAAGTAATCTTTGAAATTCCTGGCTACGTGCCTGTTGTAGTTTTTGTAGAAACCCATCTGTATAATCTAAAGAGATATTACAATGGGTACTTCATCGTAAGATACCCTGTATATATACATACATAATGAAATGTTGATGAATTTTAACGTTTCCCTATAGATAAATAATAATCAGTGCATTGAAATATTACTAGAAATAGGGCTAATGTGAAGATTTTTTATGTTTACGGTGATTTTGATTGTTTTTTTTTAATATCAAAAGTTACTTTAGTAGGTATTTTATTTTTATACAAAGTTTACAAGTTACCAAAATGGCGGTAGTATCGATTGGTCTATTTACACGCAACTTCTCAGAATACAAGTGACTGTAACTCCTTCAAACGGGAGGAATACGATTCTGCAGGTTTTTTTTTTTATAAACATGATTTCGCACGTTCAATGAAATACAATAGAAATTGGGTGCAACGTTGTCAAATTTATTACAAACGGTGTGGTTCTAAGTTTATCACGAAAAAATAATGTACAATAAAAATATTTCTCTCATATCAGTGAGCCGTCGTTACAAAAAATAAATATAATGTAAAATAATATACAACTTAGTATAATTGATCTCTATTCCCTTAGTATATAAAGCCAATAGAAGTTAAATATTTTATAATATTTTGATGTATTTATAATTATTAAAATGTCGTATAACGTTTTGTATGCGTTTCTTTTTAGATTTTACTATCTCTAATTGATTCCTCATTCCTAGTTATTTATTTATAAATTTTAACTCCGAGTTAGTTAGAAAATAAGGTATTATCGAACAATGAACGTGTGGAATCGTTTCTACCTCTTCAAATTGACGTCACATAGGTATTTTAACCATCGGTGATTCGCGATTCCGCATATACACGATTCTGCACAAAATTTCTATGCGACGTTGCCGTTGTGGGTGTTGTCACAGTTCGGTTACGATAGTCAGATTATTTATTTGATAAAAAATAGGTATTTGAGTAGTTTATGAACAGGATTTTGGTAGATTAGTTTATAATCATATCTAATCATTTATATTTAAAATTTGTTGGTAATTTTAAGGTAAAAAAAAATCTTTGGTATCACGAAAATGTGTGTAATCGTATAAGTAAAATTTATATTACTTGGAATCGTAAGTCGCCCTTAATTATAGACTCCCGACATTTGTACTGATTATTTCTAATTCCATTAGAATAATTATACTTAATGCATCCCCTATAAATTAACGATATTTTTGACATTTTTTTCTACCTCCAAAACTTAGGTTTTTAAAACATTAACTCTTAATAATATAACATTATGTAAATATTATAAAAGCTCCCTAATATGGTTGAATCGTTTATCATAATTAGGGTTCTGATGTTTATAAAATTACATCACTTTTCCCGTTTATCCAATTCAATGCGGACCTGTATACTAATTTGATTCGTGTTCTACTGAATAAAATAATACTATTAAAAATATTTTTTTATATTATATATAATAATATTTTTAGCATGTTTTTGTATATTTTATGGTTTTGTATTTTAAATGCATATTTAAGGGTTTTAAAAATGTATATACATATTTCAGTACATTTTTGAACTTTTTCAAAAACAATTTAAATTATACGAAATATAAAGCATACAATTTCATAAAATTAAAAACACAATTGTATCAATGTAACGCTTTTATTGTAAATTAAGATGTAGGATTAAAAAACTAATAATTACAAATACTAATAAAAATTAAATAAAGATAGATTTTTTGCTTATATTTTGATGGTTTTTTTTTTTAACGAAAAATTCAACATTTATGATTTTTAAAGTATATTTGGTAATTTTGAATGCATAAATGCAGTTTGAATGCAGTTATTTTAAGTGCATAAATATCCGAACCCTAGTCATTATATATATATTACAGAATAATCATGACAGTGGTGGATCCTGGTGGGAAACGGGGCCATTTTCTCCCTCCCCGAACACCGTAGTGGAGTAGTATATTTTGGTTCACAAGTTTTGGTTTTTATTTACTATTTTTAACACTATATCAAAAATTTTGCTCCCAAAATTGGGCTCTGAATTTGCCCCTAAATATGTATATAAAACAAAATTAACGTATAATAATAATTATCGTGCTGTATTATCTTACGATTAAGGCAATAATAAAAAAAAAAAATTGTAAATAATATAATTTAACCTTACCGTGACAAAATCTAGTAATATTAAAATATTATTTGGTATTGACTAAATTTCTCGTAATAATACGCTCGTAATAAAAAAAAAAAAAATACATACATATATCATTTAATTTAAATATGGTAAATATATACTTACGATTTCCCAAGCCTTTCAAATCGGTTGCTTACGACTATCAGCCGGTTTTCGGATGAATTTATAAAACAAAATATATGAAATTGATCTTCCCCGTTCGGAAGCAAACGTTCGACTGTCGTGGTACAGCGCCGAGTGACGGCCCTAGTGTCTATTTAATACAAGTAACTGTACGTCGAGCAGTGTGCACGTCATTGATTGAACATATATATTTATATATCCGTGGGGTCGGGGAAGGGACCGTAATCGGGTTACCGAAACTGGGTCGACCCACAATTTTCACCTACTTGACACTTCTGCCACCACCACTACCTTACTACCATCAATATATCGGATTTTATTTTACACGGTGTACAAATTACGGCATCTATAATACGGGATGATAATTTAATCATGAACCAGCGATTATCTATCCATACAGGAGTATCAATTTTCGATACTTATTATCTCAAAAAGTATTGTATTTCTTCGAAATTATTTATTTAGTTTTTAACTGTTTATAAAAATAGTAGTTCTAAAATGTACATTATCGTTATTTTTTTCACCATTACTTTTGGAAGCAAAATCAGTTCTCACTTTTTACTTTTAAATATAAACAAATTACATAAATATATGCATTTTTGGTCACAAATTTCGTCACCAGGGGCTCTATTTTGTATGCTTTACGAATATTGTTCGTATATATTTTTTCGTGTACGAACATGATTTGGTATTTTGTGCAACCATACGAAAATTAGGTATACGAATCATTGGCAATACGGATGTTTTTCATACTCCATTTATATTCGTACGTATGACGTCATTATCTTATGTCGTTTATCCGTATTTTAATTCCGAACCTATACGAACAATATTTTAAAATACGTATCAACATACGTAACCTATATCGTACTTATAAACGAATAATGGTGGTATTTTAACTTACTATAGGAACACTATATATTATTATAATAATAATATATTATTTATACAAAAATATTGTGTTTTTTACATTTAAATTTTTAAATATGTATCTACATCAAATTGTTAAATAACATTTAAATTTTTATCTGAAAATGATAGTGAAAATATAGACATAGTACTCATTATAGTTGAATTCTGAAATTTTGATTTCATATAGGTTTTAAAAATTTTATAATTGTATTATTATTAAATAAATAGCTTTAACTATGATAAAACAGGGATTCAATTTATGGTTAAAATATAACAAGTTTGAAATATATTAATAATTGATATTATATTGTAATGTTAATTTCCCGTACAGTCGTACTCGTGTTATTCTAGTGGTATGTGTGATTATTTATCGGCTTGTTTTTATTTGCCTTTAAAACAAAATGCCATTAGAAAAAAAAATTAAATCTGGCTCTGTAACCGGTAACCAAAAACAAACCATTATAGATTTTATGGAGTCGCATCCTCACCTCGCTAAAGGTCAATTTTTATCTCAATTACCAATGATTGAAATAATATTTGTTTTGTTGTAGTATATGAAAACCAGCTTTCACATACCCTACGGTATACACCATACGTTGCAATCATACTACAACCAGACGTATATACGAGCGACTTTGTTGTACGAAAATAGTTACAAAAAAAACGTTTATATAGTTAATATAGTTACAAACGTTAATTTGTACGGCCAATGTACAAAATACCATTTTCGTATACTGAAGTAGTTGCAAAATACCGAATCGGAATATCATACGAAAAATGTCCAATTTTTTTTTCCAAAAAAAACAAACGAACTATATTCGTATGGCATACAATATAGAGGTTGATAAGTTGTTCCACTGTTTTCGAACAACATTTTCTTCAGCGATGAGGCTCATTTTTGGCTTAATGGTTACGTTAACAAGCAAATTGACCGTATTTGGACTGAAGAGCAACCCGAAGAGGTTCAAAAGCTGCCATTACATCCAGACAAAATAACCGTTTGGTGTGGTTTATGGGCTGGTGGAATCATCGGTCCATATTTCTTTAAAAATGAGGCCGGGCAGAACGTAACTGTGAANAACAAGATGGTGCTACATGTCATACAGCTCATGAAATCCTGGCTTTATCGCGAGAACAATTCGGTGAACAATTGATTTCACGATTCAGACCGATTAGTTGGCCAGCTAGATCATGCGATATCACACCTCTCGACATTTTTCTTTGGAGTTACGTGAGATCCAAAGTCTACATAACCAAGCCGACTATGATAGATGAATTGGAAGCCAACATCAAACACGTCATTGGTAAAATATTAGTCGAAATGCTTGAATGGGTCATTGAAAATTGGAACTTCCGAATGGATCATGTTAGGCGCAGTTCCATCTAAAAGATATAATATCTAAAAAATAAATGTAAATAATAGTTTTTTTTATAATAATAAAGTTTACTCCATAAAATTGAATTTTTTTAATTTTTGAAAAAAAGTACCTCTAAATGAATCACTCTTTATTTCATTAGTAAACAATTCATTGAATTTTTTAATTCCATTAATTACTTCTGTTCAATCATAAATAGGATTACTTCTGCGTCAATTTTTTGCGATATACGTCAATTGTTCACCGAAAATAGTTCTAACGAACATTTTTCGTATGGCAATAGTTCACATGAAAATTATTCAAATACCATCTATACATCAGTCTATCAGTGAAAATACTAAATTAAAATCGTATCGATAACTTTACATTATCGAACTTTATATGGATTATCTAATAGGTTATGCGATAACATAAATAAGCGATATTAATTATATTATATTTACAAAACATTCACTAATATTTTGTCCAACCTATTTTATTTTATATTAAATTACTATGACTTTAAAATATATAAAAAGTGACCGGGGTATTATAAATTTGAATTTTTACTTCAAAAAGAAGAAAACATAAATATTTAAAAATTTAGCAGTATGTTGCGTGGCAAAATCCACTATTTAAAAAATGTATCAAAATAAAAGTAAAAATTAAAAAAAAAATATCTGTAGATTATAAAAATCGTACATCTTCGTGGTATTGCTTACAATTTCCAATTACAATTAATATAATGATAGAAATAAAACTTCGCACATGGGTGGGTTACTGTTGTAGATGAAAAGTTGGGAAGGTTAGATTAAATAGAGGATTCAAAAATTGAATATATCTGTAAGCAATTACAAATCATTTCAAACGAAAAACAATTCTGAGTGGAGTTCAATTGATAATGTTGCTTTGTCTACAATATATAGGTCATATTATTTTAAAATAATTGCATAGGCATTATATAATTTAATAATATTTGTTTAATGTGATACCTATTTTTCCATTTTTCCTAGGTTTTTCCAATTTATTAGGAAAATCAAAAAATTACCTCTCTAAAGTAACTTCTCAATCAGACATTTTTACCATAATGCAGAGCGCGCTTTTTGTCCTATGTAGGCTGAATTTTGTATGTAGTTAAATAATTATTAAAATTAAAATGATTGAATACTAAAGTGTATTAAATTTTAAGTTTAAATGTTGTGTTTTTTTTTTTTTTTTTTGAAAATGAGTATTTAATAGTTTTTTTTATCACGTGGCATAATATTTAATGCAATTATTTAGATCTTAAAATTATAATATAGGTATGTACATTAGCATTTTGATTTTTGAAACATTTTTATCAAGTTGACACCAATTATAAAATATAATAACTGTGTATAATATTTAGTATTTACACTTTGGATAATTGCATTACAATATTTTAAATCTTTAAATACTTATAAATTAATATAGGTAATTTAGTAAAACATAAAGTGGTCACCATCCAGTTGTCTTCTTAATTTGAATATAGTATATTATATGAAAATAATATCATTGATTATAAATTGTTGTAATTCAAAAATATGACGGGTGTTCCTAATTATATAAAATTGATTCACACGTGTAAGTTAATTATAAATTTGATTACCTTTCTTCTTCAGGCGGCAAATTGATCTGTTGAATTTGATAAAGGTGACCGTAGTAAATAAAATGATTTTTAATGTAACAACTGTTTTTTTTATTAAATTTTTTAAATATAAAACACTGTTCTAGGTTCCCGTGCTTTTGTAAGAATCTCTGCATAGTTTTTTACACTCGCTTGTGATCATCTGTCCAAAAGCAACGGGAACAATACATACACTGTGTAGGTGATTAGAAGTGGCCGGCCTCCTTATAACTGGAGATCTATGTGTGTGTGCGTGTGTAAATGTGTTATCTTAATTTGGTTAATACTAACAACTTAATCTAATAATTAATGGCTACAAATTATTATAATTATTTTACAATATTGATTATATAATTTATTTTAATTATATATGATAGCTTAAGTATTATCTCCTTACGATGAGTAAATATCGCACTAAAATATATGTTATTTGATAAGAAAAAAGAATGGCATCGGATGTAAATGTTTAACTATAATTTCCGTTGTTAATTGTTTGACTTATAATATTTTATTTTACATAATGTATGATAGCTTAAATAGCATATCATTACAACATCTCCTTCTTTAGGAATACAATATATAGAAACTTAATAAATATAGGTACACAATATGTTATATGCTTACAAATTACAATACTTAAATATGATGCTTACTAACTAAACAATACAAATACTAATTACTAGTTCTTAAGATTCTACAAATTAAGTTTATTTGGTTTTTTAATTTGTCTACCAGCCCTTGTTCTAATACACCCTGTCACTTCTTTTTTCTTACTATCCTCTAGTTGTTTTCTGTTATTATTGCCAGTGATTAATGTCTGACTCCCAGAACCTTTATTTTCATTAATGTCATCTTTATCGTTATTTTTCTTACTATCATCATCCTCTTTTTATCTATATTCATAACATCATCATTAATTAACTTGTCCTTAATTTTAAATTTCTTTTTTATATAACAATTATTTCTTCTCAATACTTTCCCTTTTGCATTTTTCACATAGTATGACCTGGGCCATTTTGTTTTCTTTACAATCTCTCCTTCATCCCATTCTTTTTTTAAATTATCATATGTATAAACTTTTTCACCTTCTGTAAATTGTTTTTCCTCGGGCCCTGCAGTTTTATCATACCAATGTTTCTGATAATTTTCTTGTTTTTGCATTTCTCCAGCACAATTTACTAATTTTGGTTTAAAAATGTTTGGATTTAAAAAATTGGTATATGTTCTTAGCTCCCTTGCCATTAACAATTGTGCAGGCGAGTATTCTAAACCTGCCACCGGACTATTTCTATAATTGAGTAAAACTAAATTGAGATCTTTTTTCTCATATCTAGCTTTGGTAATCATCCCTTTCGCTATCCCTATTGCTTTCTCTGCCAAGCCATTACTTTTTGCATAGTGTGCTAGACAATATTACCTCAAATTGCCACTGTGTGGCAAATGTTATAAATTCTTGTGAGCCACAAGGATTATTGTCAGCAACTACTTGTTTGGGAATTCCAAACCTACTAAACACAACTTTTAATTACTCAATAACTGACTAGCTTTATTTGTCTTTTAATTTTAATACTTCTAACCATCTGGAATAATAATCGATTATTATAAAATAATTATTACCAGATATTTCTACTATGTCTAAACCTACTTTTTGAAAAGGAACACTTGGTCTTTCATGCTGTTTTAATAGTTCTTTAATTTTTTTGATACTAAATTTTATGCAAGTTTCACATATAATAATTGCATTTGTTATATCTGATGCCATACCAGGCCAAAACAAAATTTATTTGCTTTTTCAAAGTTTTGTTTATACCTAAATGTGTTTCATGTAATTCTTTAATAATGTACTTACACATAACTCTAGGTACAACCAAACGACATCCATAATAAATTAAACCTTTTTCCAACATTAACTCATTTCTTATTTTATGATAGTGTCTTATATCCCCTAGACTATTCATATTTTTAGGCCATTCCTCTCTTAGATACTGTTCTACTAATTTTAATGTATTATCTTCTAATATAGCTTTTTTAAATTCACCCTCTTTATTATTTTTAAATTTTAAGTTAACAACCTCCATAGTATGTACAATATCTTTAAGAGTATTATCTGTTTTCTCAATTTTTTGTTTAAAATTTCTGCTAAGAAAATCAGCTACATATAAATATTTCCCTGGACAGTACTCTACCTTTAAGTTATAAATCATCAAGCTTACCCTCATTCTTTTAATTGTTATTTTATTTAATTCTTTATTCATTATTGGAATCGACGGTTGATGATCCCTTTGTACCGTAATTACTTTCTGTCCATAAATAAGCCAATGAAATTTTATGCATGAAAACTTAATTGCTAACATTTCTTTTTCAATTTGAGCATACCCCTGTTCAGTTATACTTAAACATTTAGATGCATAATACACAGGTTTATCTTTCTGAAATAGGCAATATCCAATAGCTTTTTGTAATGCATCACATTGAATTCTGAACTCATCTTTGACATCATAATTGGCTAAAGTGGGAATTTTTGATAAAATGCTTTTTAATGTATTAAATGACCTTTCACAATTATCACTCCATAACCACCTACTATCTTCCTTTAATAAATTTCTCATTGGTTCCACTATATCTGCCATATTTAGTATAAATGCCCTTAAATAGTTCACCATTCCTAATACTGATTGCAGTTCTTTCAAATTAGTAGGACTTTTTAACTCTAATATGGCTTTTATTCTATCTTCATCTAGTTCTATTCCTTTTTCACTAAATTTCAAACAAAAATATTTTATTTCATTTTTTTGGTATTAAATTTTATTTGGATTAAATTTTATATTTAATAACCTGGACCTATCCATTACTTTTTGAAGAGCCTCATGGTGTTCTTCCTTTGTTCTACTATAAACTAAAATGTCATCAGTGTACACACACACATTTTGAATGTATCCAAAGTATTAATTTGTCAATTGCTGGAACAATTCAGGTGCACAAACTATTCCGAATGGTAGTTTATTAAAATTGTATGTACCATATGGTGTACTGACTGCACAATATCTTTTTGAACCTTCTTCCAACTCACATTGATAAAACCCATCTTTCAAGTCCACTAATGTATACAATTTTGTATTCATTAATTTATTTCTAACTTCATCTATGGTTGGAATTTCAACCATTTCTCTCACAATATTCTTATTCAAGTCCCTAGGGTCTAAACACATTCAAAGTGATTTATCCGGTTTTTCAATTACTACTAAACTGTTTTACCATTCACTTGGCTCTTTACTTTTCTTAATTATTTTCTTAGAACATAACATTTTTAAAAGTTCCTTTAATTTTCGCATTAATTTTATGGGGACACGTCTGGGACTATTTATTATTGGTACACTTCCATGTTTTACCTTTATCTTAACTTTATCTGGAAAACAGCCAATACCTGTAAATACATCTATGTGTTTTTTTATAAACTTTTCTGTGCCAACTTCTTTTATCTTATTTAACTCACTAATGTAGTTCAATCGTTTACAATCCTTATACCCTAAAATTGGATTTCCATCATATTCCACAACTTCAAATATTGTAATAATTCGTGCTGACTGACCTACAACAGCTACCTGTACTTTACCTAATGACTTAATTATTGTCCCATCAAACACTTTGATTACCACCTTACTGTTTTTTATTTCTGTCTTTAATTTTTTATAAAACTTATTCGGCATTACATTTAATTGCGCCCCTGTATCAATCTTTACTTCAGTGTTTATGTCATTAATTTTAACCTTTTCTAACCAAATATTATTATTGTCTTTGTTATCTATTTCATCTAATATCAAATACTCTATACTCATATTATCGCTTTCACATTCAACCATGTCAACTTGTCTATTGTTTTTACATTTGTAGGCAAAATGATTTAATTTTTTATATATCCTACACTCTTTTCTATATGCTGGACATTCCCTAAATTTATGTTGCTTACCACATTTATTACAATTAAATACCTTATCGTGATCATTCTTCCCGTTGTTGTGGGTTTGATTCTGTCTTCTGTCCTGGTTCTGCTCATTTCCTTGATTCCGTGTTCTTTTCTTGTATTGCTCCATTNCTGCTTGACACAATTGAATTGCTTTATCCAATGTTAATTCTTCTCTCAGCATTCTGGTTTGTAACTCTTTTTTTACTATCCCCAATACAATTTGTGTTCTTAGTAATCTGTCTTAAATTTCTCCAAAATTACATGTTTTAACCGAACTTAGTTCAGCATAGTATTTATTAAATTTCTCATCACACAATTGTTTTCTAGTAAAGAATTTAAAATGTTCCATTATCTCATTGCACCTAGGTATACAATAATTGTCCAAGTGCTTCAAGATTGTCTCAACTGTTTCTTTTTCATCTTTAGGTCTCTTAATTGACCTGTACAACTTCAGCCCATCCGTGCCGATTAAGTTAAGTAATATTGCTACCTGTGTTGTTTGAGATTTTAGAATCGTCTCTGTTGCTTCAAAAAATACTGTAACTTCATCCTTAAATAGCTTAAAATTATCCAGTAATATAACTGGATAATTTTAAGCTTTCCGGTTTGTTGAATTCCATTTATATCTGTTTCAATTCCACAGATTCCTAAACGCAACAACCGACTGCGCTATGTTTTATATTTAATTATCTTTTAAGATTATGTGACACATTATATAACATATTTTAATAACTTATATAATAACATAATATATTTAATAACTTATATATTAACATTACATATTTGATAACTTATGTGATGTCTCGTGCTTATCATAATCTTATGATAATCTTATCATAGTCTTATCATTACAACAATTATAACCAATAAATATATGAATAAATAAAATATCAAAAATATTATTTAGAAAAAAAATAATTTACTGCGGGATATCTATATATAGGTACAATAATACCTCCTCAGTCAGGTTTCCTTTTAGAAGAAGTATATACTATCATTGTAAATCAGAGCAAAATTGCTAGTAAAAAAGTTGTCTACAGAAAAAAAAATCATATTATTTTACTAATATATTTCGTACATTTTCCCGTTTTTTCTCAGTTTTCAAGATTTTTCTCATTTAACGGTTGGAGGAGAGTGGTGGTGCATTATAATATGCCATGTACCGTACTACCACACAAACGATACTTCATTATAACTCTCCTCCAACCCAAATTTAAAAGTGGAATATCCCGTCAACGGATATACGGAAATCAAAAATGTCAACACTTAAATTGCTATTTGAAAATCAAAAGTAGTTATGTAGTAGTTTTACCCCTAAAAATAAGGATGATAAAAAATAACTTATTTATAAAACTGTAGAGCAGCTTGTTTCTTTATTTTCTAGAAAACAAATTCTGGAAAAAGATAATACTTTCCGAGATAATGAATGTATCCAGTTAAATAGATCACCTTGTATGACTTGTATGTGTGTGTTTATATATATATATATTGCGATATACCTATAATAACTAATAACTAAAATGATTATATAGTTTCTAATATATATTATGAAAAGTCGATATACATCTATATTAAATAGCATATTTGAACTTGACTCGACTCAGCAATATGAAGATTGAGATGGTGAATATCATTATTGCAACAGTTAAATTGCAGAATACAAAAACAAGCACACGCCGCGACAGACGACATAAATGGCTTTTATACCATGTTGTATTAAGTATATTTATTATAATTTAAATGTTTTATATTATTAAGTTATTGATTACATTCTGTCGTTAATTTTAAGAAATAAGATCATTTAAAATATGATTGAAAAATATATAATTATGGTACACGAGGTGATAATAGTGTTCAAGGTGAGCACTTTTGTTGTTGGTATCTAATGCACACGCCAAGATTGTCATCAGGATTCTCTTCCTTGTCACCTGGTCCAAATTGTACTCTAATCGTGAATGGTGTTGCAGCACCTGTAATTACGAACCAGTAGGTAAAATAAAGATATCGAAGAAATTATGTTTAAACGACTGACTTGGTAATGTTTGGTTCTATTATACATAGTACTAATGTAAAATGTATCTTACTTTCGATCAAGCACGGTGTTTCCTTGCCTGAGCAAATATCGTAGCCACAATTTAGTAGGTCACACGTACTTTGTAGTTTGTCTGTAGAATTCTACGCAAAACGAAACGGGCACATTAAAAAACAAATTCTGGGAAAAATCCAACAATGTCCAACAAGTTACCAACAAATTTGTTGGATGTATTTCATAATTGTCTATTATGGTTGTGCCACTTATGGGGGTAATTAAAAACCGTTGACAATTACGAAATCCCTATATATAATGAAATAAAACCAAGTCTAGTCCTCTAAAAACTCAAACTCTAACCCTCTAAAAAAAGACTATAGTCGTTTAAAAAAAAAATAGTTTTATTCCGAACAAAAAATTTGTTCACTTCCACCTAGCAAAAGGAATTTATCAGATTCATCCGATCCGCGTTCACCTGATCCTACTATAAATAAAAATAAACAATTATTTAAAACTAAAAACCGTTACAAACTATTACAATCCGGACCTCTAATCACACAAAACTTTACCATCGACATACAAAACCCTACCTTAGGAACTCCCAACTCTGTCAATTCAATCAAACCACCACCACCAATTTTCGTGAAAGGCATAGTTAACTTCCCAGATCTGTGTGCAGCACTAATCGATCGTATGACAACTATTTCTGCAAATCTTCGCCAGACAGTCTAAAAATTCAAACCACCAATCCCGATGCATATCCGAGATCATTGATCCATTTTCTAAAAAATCAAAATGCCCAATATCTCACGTTCCAGTTAAGGGAAGACAAGCTTACTCGTATCGTCCTGCAAAATTTACACCCATATAAACCCACAAAACTAATAAAAAGCAAATTTGAATTGCGCCTCTTCGAAGTAAGAAAGGTCACAAATGTCCTACATCAGACCATTAAATTGCCACTACTTCTATTTGTTGTCGATCTTGAGCCCACTGGCCACTCAAACGACATCTTTGAACTCTCTTCTTTTCTCTATACAAAGATCAAAGCCCTACAAACCTAAAGTTATAAGCCAATGCCTGAAATGCCAAGATGTCCACACAAGAGTTTACTGCGGATATCCTTTTCGCTGTGTCCACTGTAGTGTATTCCATCCATCCACCGAATGCACCGAACCACGTAACTTAGCAGCCAAATGTGCTTTATGTTCCTGTGACTACCCAGCCGACTACAGAGGTTGCAGTGTCTACAGACAATTGGAACGTCGTAAAACACCAACCACAAAAAGTAACTTCTTGCACGATAATATTAAGGACAACTTAAACAATTATAATGTAAAAGCAAACCACCCATTACTAACTTCACCTGGAAAAAATTCAGATGTCCCCTCTAAAACTTATGCCCAGGCTACTTCTAGTCAACCATCGCAATCCTCTCCTCCAACTCCCCCTACTGACCTAACAGCAACCATATCTTCGTGGACGAACTCAAGTCACTCATCAATCCGCTGATCGCTCTCTTAACCAAAGTAATTACTTCCCTTTTTAATAAAAAAAATGAAAAATTCATACACTAATAATTCCTTATCAATTATATTATTTAATGCAAACGGTCTAAAAAATCACGTCAATCAATTATAGAGTGTGTTATTTGATAAACGCATAGACATAGCTCTAATTTCTGAAACCCATTTCACAAAGCATTCTTACATCTAAATTCCTCAATATCTAATACAATCTATTCCTGGTTAAAGCCTAATCAAATCAAACCATCCAGATGGCACGGCACATGGCGGAGCAGCCATACTCATAAAATCCAATTTTAAATTCTACATACTTGTCAACTACTCTCAAATACATTTCCAATCATGTGTTATCTTTATTAGAATAAATAATATTCCTGTTGCTATCGCCGCAATCTATAGTCCACATAGGCACAATTTAACTATTGATAACCTCGCCAACTTTTTTGACTCAACGGCTAATAACTTTACTATCGTTGGTGATTATAATGCTAAACACCAAAGTTGGGTTTGTTAAGTAACTAACCCTCGTGGCAACTTACTCTTTAATTTTATCAATATGAAAAAATACAAAATTCTTGCACCTTCTTGGCCAACCTCAGTTAGGAAAAAACCTGACATTCTGGACATATTCGTCACAAAAATTCCTAACAACTTATACTGTTCAATTAATAATATTCTGGATCTAAACTCCGATCACTTGTCCATTATTTTCAATATTAATGTCACATCGCTAACACGAACGGCTAGTCTTAAACTTTTTACGGCATTGACTAATCGCCTTAAATTTCATAACATCATAGCCGAAGAAATTAACATAAAAATAAGTCTAAAATCTGCTCATAAAATTGACGATGCAGTTAATAATTAAGAAACGCTTATTCAGTCAGCGGCTTCTACGTCAAACATCTTAAACACTACCAAGTACCAACATAATTCCAAATACCCAGTTCGGGTTCCGCAACTCACATAGCACGATACATCAATTACATCGTGTGGTTGATGTTGTTTCTACATCCCTTGAAAAAAGCTTTATTGATTTTACGTTTTTTAGACGTTGCACAAGCCTTTGACCGAGTTTGACATAAAGGCCTGAAATTGAAAATTAAAATTTGTCTCCCCTTCCCATTATACCTATTAATTAAATCTTATTTAACTGATAGACACTTTCAAGTCCAATATAATTCGTCGAAATTGGAAATCGCACCAATTAATACGGTTGTATTATCGTAGCGGATTATGCTAATGACAAAATCATTTTATCCATCAATGAAGATCCTTTAATTGCCTCATAAAACTTATAAGTACATCTTAACCACTTAACCGAGTGGTATGAAAAATGGCAAGTCAAAATTAATCAAAACAAATCTATACACATAACGTTTGCACTCAAACAAGGAATATGTCCAAATATTACTCTCAACAACGTACCAATTCTCACATCTAACACAGATAAATATTTAGGACTATTCCTTGACAAAATAAGAATATGGAACAAACACTTTCAAGCAAAACGACTAACCTTAATCAATCGCATACGTATGCTCAGACCTCAGCTAATTAAGAATAAGTGCTCCACTCTAAACTCCAAACTACTAATCTACAAAGCTCTACTAAAACCGATCTGGATGTATGGACTTCAACTGTGGGTTGTGGCAAAAAAATCAAACACTAATAGAATCCAAACATTCCAAAATATATCACTCTGACGATTACCCAATACTCAGCTCTATATCTCTAACCAAACTCTTCATAACGATCACCATATGAGAACAATTGATGAGGAAACACGCATTTTCTACACACGTTTTTATAAACGACTCCAAACCCATTCTAACCCTCTCATAAAAGATCTTTCTATCCTTACTCTCCCAGGAAATCCTAACCACAGACTAAAAAGGAATTGGAGCCGAAACCTATTACAAAACTCCAATGTCTAACGTTTCAACTAATTAATAGCCAGGAGTCACTAATAATGGGGGACTGCTTAATCACATTTTGCATGTTATTTTTTTTTTTTACTCTCATCTTATAAACTTATTATGCTAAATTGTATAGATTCTTTATGTCAAATAAAAATGGAAAAAAAAAATATCTTCAACTTATGTTTTCTACTCAAAAAAAATATTACTCCAATCAAAAAATGACAAGTAATCGATTTTGTTGAATTTTTAATCTAATCGGTGACCAAGAATCCGTTTTTTAATTTTTTGAATAATTCTAGTTGGCTCCCAAACGATTTTTCGGGTTTTCTTTTTCAAAATGTGCGTTTTTGAGTGTAGATTAAAAATGTAAAAAAAAGTCGGGTGAACTTCGTTTGGTAGTTATGGAGGAAACTTCATAAATAAGCAATATATTTGTGTAAAATACGATTTTTTTTTTCTGTAGAAAATTTCTCTACCTATAATTTCGCTCCGATTTACAATAAAAGCATTTTTTCTAAAAGAAAATCTGATTGGGAAGATACTTAAGGGAAGTTATTTTTTGATTTTCTCAGGAGTTTTCTCAATAAATGAGAAAAATCGGGGGAAAATGGCCAAATATTAAACAAATATCATTAAAGAATATATATAATGCCTATTTAATATTTTACCATAAAATTACACATATATTATTGACAAAACAATACAGAATCTTTTTTTGGTTTCGAATGGTTATACGTTGTTTACAAATATACATTAAATTACTTATAACAATAGCTGCACCTGTTCCCAATATCCAAAGATAGCTTTCAAATCAAGCCTTAAAAGGCGTCGATGATAGAGATAATGGGGAAAGGTTCAGCCAAAGTTGTAGATAATTTAATTTATCTGTAAGTTTATCTGTAATTTAACAATTAACCATCCCTAACGAAAAAACGATTCTGAGCGGAGTTCAGTTTATAGTGATACTTTGTCAATAATATATATGTTATGTTGTGGTAAATAATTAAATAGGCATTATGTATTATCTTTAATAATATTTGTCATCTGTACCGATTTTCCCGAATTTCACAGTTTTCCCATGTTTTTTCCCGGTTTTTCACATTTGTCGGGAAAATTCTTGAAAAAATCGAAAAACTACCTTTTTAAAGTATCTTCCTAGTTAAGTATTCTTTTAGAAACATAGTAAATTTAACATTATAAATTAGAACAAAATTGCTGGTAGAAAAGTTGCCCACAGGAAAAAAGAAGACCATAATATATTTTTATAATATGGTAAATAATAAATTGTCCGTGTTGCATTCTTTTTTCTATCCAATAAATCAAAAGTTTGTTCAGTTTAATATTTTTACTTATAATTTGAATTTATCAATAAATGAAGAAATGGTTCTATATTTTTATCGAAATAAATTCTTGCAAAATGTTTATTATAGGTAAACCAGTTTATTTTGGTTTCAAGTTGTGGTGTTTTATTTCTGAAAATTCATACTTATATCAGTTCTCGCCTTAAAGTGGGGCATGTACCAAACGAATAGAAGCTTTCGCCACTTGGCTCAGAAGTAGAATTAAATTTTTTAGAATCTGTTGAAAATTCAACGTTTCACATAGTAATTTTTTTATAACTTCTTAAAATATGTATTATCTACTGACAATAATAAGAAAAAAGGAATTCTTTGCTATCAGCACTGTTAGATAAAATCGCACGGGTAATTGTAATTTCAAATCTATTAAATTATTGGAAAAGGAACTTGCTTTTGGCAAAAATAATGAAATTTATGTAGTACAATGGAAAGATAATTAAATTTTAACGGTCATGACAAACGGGGGTAAAATAGTTCTCTTAGTAATTTTACGGATTCTGTCCTTCACGTGTAAAATTTTTAAAATTTAAATTAAGAATTCCACGTGACAAGATATGAAGTCGGTCGTCACATTAAGTATACGCACGTTAAGACCATTAATACGGGTGTGGTAAACCAACGACGTTCCCATGCAACAACGGATGATACGTGTTCATGGGCCGAAGGGAAAACGTGTCCGGATACGGACGACGTGCCACCAGTGCACAACGGCGGCAGCGTCCGTCCATCACCACCTATACCCCGATCGAGGTGACAACCATATATAAGGAGACCGGAATCATCACCAAAGAAGGACTTGAACTCAGTCAGGAGTCGAGACAGTTACACTACCACTGACGCATGAGAAGGAGGAGCACCGTCATCTCGACACCAATCCGTCCAGTCATTTCTATAGTGTAGTTATACCTAATAATTACAACTAAGTCTCTATCTGGGTCTCAAGTTCTTCACTTATAAATACAACTTGTTAACTGTATTTTGTTCAAACTCTAGTAAAAATCCATTTGTAGACCTAACACGTGTACATCTTCCCATCGAAAGGCTGTGTTCGAATGGCTCGTAACAGTAAAAGCAAAGCGTTATAATAGAAAAGAAAAAAAATGTCAATATTTAGCAACCGAACATAATCTAGGATTACAAAAAACATGAACGTTGTTATCTGTATATTTATGGTATAGCCAATTACATGATTAAAGTCAATGAGAAAAAGTAGCCACGCGCGAATATGCCGCAATTGTCAGTTACAAACAATTTCTTTAGGCAAGAAATGCAGTCTTTTATATCTAGATTATTTTAAATAATTCTATGAAAACACTACCTATGTAACGAATTGGAAAATATTTATTTTTTATCAAATAATATGTTATTTTAGTAAATTATCAAAATGTATACTTCCGATAAACTTATTAATCATGATTTTATAGTTAACAGTAAACTTATCCTTATAATAAACTTTTAGTAGATAGTTTAATAATTATTATTTGGTATATTTTCAAAAACAGAAATCAACGAATAAAATTCTATTTAATGTGTCTCTCTGTCTACCCCTAGCTATCAATCATTCCTCGTACCACGATGACCGTGTTGTATACAATTCTCGGTAATGTATACTGCCGACCCCCTTCACTTGTAGATTAGGATCATCTTCTCACCACTAATAATATTATAATCTTTTGCTGTCCATTTATTTTATCGTATTGTATATTCTCATATAATAGTACACTCTCTGATCTTTTAACTTTTAATTGTTACTAATGCTCAAAAGCTGAATTACGGGAAATTTAATATTTTCCAAAATAAAAACAATACAGAATAAAAGTATTATTAACAACATACTGTTAAAAAACCATCGGTTTTGCAATTAATCGAGACACGGTCCTTGCAGTTTGCATACGAGTCGGTATAAGCCAAATTATCGCTTTCTCCGGATCCTTCTTCTAATTCAGTATCTATGATGAAAAGAAAAAAACGAATGTAAATCATAAGGCCGTATAATGTGTCAACTTATTACATTTACCGGCGGACAACAAGGGAGTTTCGATTTTGAACGAAATTTTGTTGCACGGCTGGTATACAATCGAACACATATCTGTAAAATATGACAACCACCGACCAATAATAATAATAAAAAAAAAACACATAATGTTTATATTATCTATTTTCTATCTTTACTTTTTTCTTGTTTTATACAAATAAAGTAACTTTGGTCAGCCAGGTGTCGACCGTTGATCCCGTAATTCATCGTCTGTATAGTCCCGTTAATGCCTTGAAATTGCTGAACGCAATCTTCCGACGCCCAAAGCAAAGACTTAACTTGAGTGATCTATAATATAGAAAAAATACAAATTTCAAAATGTATTGCTGCGACACTACAACGGCGTCTTTCTTTATATTTACTTTGATTTCCCACATCCGGCTATAATTGGCGCTGCCTAGTGAAATTTTTATCGTCACGTTTTTCGTGTTATGGACGTCGTAGTACACTTGTATTAACAAAAATATTTATTTATACAAATATTGAAAATAGAAGTGAAATACAATTCTACATAATACATTTTTTTTTTTTTAACTCATAACCTCTCAAATTTCCCTTACCCAAACGATGTTCCAAACAAAAATGAATAATACATAAGATAATATTTACAACTATTGCAATGTAGTTATAATAATAATAAATTATTAAAATATAGAAATTGCATTGTATCAGATGAAAAATCTTAGTTAAAATTAATCAATATAGGTAATTGAAATAATGAAATGAATAATTAATGAAATAGATATTAATAAACAATAATAATACACGTGACATTTATAAATAATTATACTTTTGTATCTATTAGATTCGGAGTGTAGTGGGGGATCTATTGGTTTTACTATGATGTGTATATTTTTTTTTTTCTATCTGTGAATAATGTTTCCAAAAAACTAGCTTCGAAGTATAGACTATAATACATTTTCTGAAAGGTAATTTTCTCTAGTTGGTGTATTGAGAAGGTTATTTTTTTGATTTTCCAAGTGATTTTCAAAATAATGGGAAAAACCGAAAGAAAATTATAGGTAAAACGACAAATATTTACAGCACACCGTGGTGTTACCGTTTTCATTGTGTTAGACTTAAGTTTTCTATCAGAAATATTACTTCAATCGAAAAATAACATGAGATTTATTTTGGTTTTATTATTATTTTGCTACTGATATAGTAAGTTGTTAAAATACTCGTAGAGACTTGAAATGTTGAGAGAAAACTTATATTTACTTTTTCTAGACGTATTAAAACTATCAGAATATTTAAGCTCTTTATAGACACTTTAATTTTGCGAGTTTTTTACGTAATTTTTATTTGGTAGGAACTCTGTAGATAAATTGTTACAACTTAACATAAATGCTTGGAAATTTGATAGGAGGTTCATTATAAGTCATATTTAATGGTCAACAAATAAAATTAAGTTTAATGTAGTATTTTTTTTTTTTTTTTTACATAATTTTTAGAATCAAATTTTGACGAAAAAAGTAAATATTATGATCTTTCAAAACATTTATAACCGAACTTCGCTCCGAATCATTTTTCGTTATCAATGGTTTATCGTTAATAACAGGTATAAATTAAATAACTTTATGTATCCAACCTCCCTCATTACCCACCTACAACAGTGGCCGCAAACATTTAGAGTATAAGCTCTTTTTTTTTTATAATAATTTTACGTTTTTTAACTGACAATCATAATTTGAAATTTTGAACTAGTAATTTAATTATTAATATACATTAATATATATAGTTATAATTTTAGATGGTTCATACCAATAATTTTAACACAGGTATCTTTAAATTTATATAAAAACTAAAAAAATATTAAATAATATACAAGACTTAAATTTATATAGCTGGCTGTATAATACTCATATTAAAAATTATTAAATGTACTTAATATTAGTGAACAAATAAATAAATTGTATATATAAGGTAGGTATTTTTTTTTATTTGTTATGTAATGAATTTTAATAAATAATAATAATAAAAAACAAAGTATGGGAAATATAATTTTAAACCCCAATATAAAAAAGACGTCCTAGGATAATGGGAACGGGCGCAATCACTGTTATAGGTAATTTAATATATATCTGTACTTAAACTATTTAACCTAACCTTACCTAACCTAATCGAAAAAAACTGAGGAAAAATGGAAAAATGTACAAAATATATACGAATTTAGCAATTTTGCTTCAATTTATAATGATAGCAATTTTTCTAAAAGGAAATTTGACTGGGGAGGTACTTTAGAGAGGTGATTTTTTGATTTTCCCTAGAATTTTCCAAGTAAATATGAAAAACCGAGAAAACACATGGAAAACCCGGGAAAAACGGGAAAATCAGTACAATAGTTAACAAATATTATTAAAGAAAATATATAATACCTAATTAATTACTTTACCATACTATAATACATATATATATATTGTTGACAAAGCAACTACACTATCAACTGAACTCGAAATCATTTTCAGTAAGCAGTGGTTGGGTTTCTGGAACGCGTTTCTTTTACAGGAAAGAAGCTTAAAACGCGTTATTTTTAAAACATAGGAACTAGGAATGAGAAAGAGTTCTTAATTATGTGGAACGTGATTTTTGTTTCATCTATTACGGAAAAAAAATGAAACGCACGTTATTTTTGTGATAATATTATTAAGAAATTGTTTAATGTTGGTATCACTTCGTCAGTTACTAATTTAATTAAATATAACCGTAATATAAACGGTATCTTAGTGATAATGGTTTAAAGTATTAACAAATAATATAACTTATAATAACGACAAACATCAAATTTACATATGATAATTGGTATCATTAATTGTCAATAGTTTGTTTGTATAGTTAATAAAATATTATATTTTGAATAAATTGATGATGAATTTTTTTCAAGTAAATATGTTTTTTTCATTTTTCACTTTTTGGGTATGAACTAGGAAATTAATTTTATTTTTATTTGTTTAGGATCTTAAACATATAGATTCTAAGAAGTAAGAATAGTTTCTAATTTTAATTATCCTACCTTCCCAATTTCTCACCTACAACATAAGTTGCACCCGTCCCTGGTATCTTTTTTTTTTATGAATATTTAATATACGTATTCATAAAAAAAAAAAAAGGAACGAGTTCCTTTTTCTAAGGAACAAGGAATGGGAACGAATTCCTTTTTTAAAAAAAACTCTCCTAACACTGTTATAGATACAAATTAATTTCCCCCCTAAATCCTACCTTCCCAACTTTTCACCAATAACAGTGGCTGCACCCATCATCCCCATATTCCTTAGACACCTTTTTAAACGTGTTAAAACAATTTTTGTGTAGAATCGTTGTGTAACGAGTAACGAGTGTAACGTTGTTCAAAGTCATGTAATGCAAAATCATGAATCAACGAAAAATATTTACTTGAAATAATTTTATAAGGAAAATAATGGAGAATTTATTCCAGATTGACAAAGCGATTTGCTCGACTTTGCATACTATATTATATAGTTCTGCACATTAGCACTTACTGTGTTGACCAGTGTTATTACCACAAATCAATAAATGTCTTGACGAACCGCCAGTTATAACGAACTTATCCATCACACAAACTCCCGTCGTTCTGTTTGGTTGTGCCTGAAATTAGCGTACATAAAATCTTGTGATTAGATAGGTATTGTTGGCTAGATCATTTTATCTATTTAATACTAAATACCACTCACCAGATTAAAATTGACGAAGTCTAAACGTAAATGTCTGACATAATTAAGAATATTAATCCGTAACTCGCACTCGCTTTTATTGTTCAACACGCCCGGGAATGTTGGATTGACGAAGTATGTGTTATTGTTAGTAATAACGTCGTTGCAAGTAGCCGTGACTGCAGACATACCACAATAGTAATATTTTATTGCTGTCGATAAAATAAATATAAAGCCAACAGAAAATAATTTAATTATAGTATATAGGGAAACATGTACTGTGAAGGGATTTTAGCTCTAATAAAGCACTAAATATGCAAGCACTTACGAACATAAAAACCTTGCAATACCTTTGCTCTTAAAATATACTCTTATATTTTTTTTTAAATATATACATCATTTTTTAACAAAGTTGTTAATAAATTGAATTTCTTGAAAATTCTTCTTCTGACCCTAAACTTCAAGTATTTAAGTAAAAATTATTAAAACCTGTAGATAATTAAATCAAAAGCATTTTTACTTTGAAAAATGCATTGAGTTGCCAAATGTTTTCTTAATTTGTCGAACTTGAATGATTGCCTATTATCAGTCAACAGTAATTTGAAAATTTAAAACTATATTTCTGCATCGACAGAATTAATGGTATTTATAATAAACCAAATTATTTATTGCTAAGTATTCAGATTAAAATTGTATGATATAGAAAACGTGTTAATAAAAAAAATTATTCTATTCAGCAACTTTTGAGATGTGTTTCAATGAAAAACCCCATTATACGATTATAAAACAACCATAATAATATTATATACGATCAAAATTTAAAAATTACATAAGACACGACCTAACTTCTAAACCATATAACAGGCACAAAAAGTCCATAAGTCCAGAAGAAAATCATTATTATTTATGTAAAACTTTACAGCTACACGTGAAAAAACGTTCGGAAAATGTTTGACAACGTAATGACGGCTATCATACAAATAGCGGTACCATAATATAACATTACTGGCATCTCCCACCGAAGTCACATGATGAGTTAAACTCCCGAAAGTTGTTATTGGAATAAAGGGAAAACTACTCAAATCTGTGCACTGATCAAACATGTCAAATCACGAGTCAGTATTTTTTTTTGTTTTTATTTGAGCGCTAATTTTCTACCAGAATTCTAGTTTCGATTTTTGTGTGTACCACCATTTCTGGACGAAAATCTGTGTGGAGAGGTATTTTGAGGAAGTCATTTTTCGATTTCCTCAAGAGTTTTCTCATCAAATTTGAAAAACCGGAAAAAACGTAGGAAAAATGGTAAGATCGGAGTAAGATTTCTAGTAGAAAAGTTCCGCACAGATAAAAAAAAAACTAATAAAAATCTTAATAAAGTTATTCAAAAGAAAGCTTGGTAAAAAGCCTCATTGTAAATTAATATAATACATTTGAAAAAAATAAAAATTGCAAAAATAATTAGACAGTTATTCAAAAACACAATTTACGTATATTATTGTTTATTGTCTACTTTTGTTGTAAATCTAATAATCTATATATATTTATCTTATTTTTCTAATTTATTGCTTGAAAAACCCTATATAGAATAGTATAAAATAATATATTGTGGGTATAGGTATCAAATATAGGTTATGCTGTATATTTGAACTCAGGATTTTTAAATAATAATTGTATAATATTTGTAGTCAATTTATTCATGTCGGTTATTGTAAGAATATCTGATTGTAGTTTTTGTAGTGGCTAAATATTAAATAAATATTTGTTTGCTTCATCAGGGCTTTTTTTTCTTATCTGGTTTTTGGTCAGGAGCTTTTTTTTCTTAACACCATTATTAGCCATTGTATATAGTCATTCATTATTTCATGTATTTAATGTATTACGAATTTCAGTATTGAGTATTAATGAGAAGTGGTAGTACAAACGCCGAAAACTAGGTACTGCAGACCTATAATGCCGTACTCGTACCATTTCTTTCCATTAAAGCTTATACATTTTTGTTATGATGTTATCACGGTTCTATGGTCTCATTTCCTAAAAATAGAATAAGTTAACACAGACCACGGTTGCAAAGTGCAGACAATAATTATATAGATAATCACAATATAATTATTATAACTAACAGTAGATATATAATGTATATGCTGATGATAGCTACAATAGTTCTAATCTTTTATCAATCTCTTAAGAAGATTTTGATACCATTTTCGCACAAAAAACTTTTTTTTTAATTTTTGATCAATAATAATAAAATAAGTATGTACCTATACATGAAACAAATTCAACAATGTCCAAGGGTGGAGTGATCGCCCACTTCTGTATACGTCCCTGAGTGACTTCGTGGGTATGTCAGTATAAAAGTATAGTTGCTCATGAGTTTATGTTTAATTTTCAACAATTTATCACAGGAAATTACTGAATTGGTGACTAAAATTAAAATAAACTAAATTAAACTAAAAACTCGACAATATTTCTGTAATATAATTCAATATAGCCAAAATATGCTAAAATATTCGGAAATATTTCCTAAATTAAAAATATGCACTCACATACAGAAAAAAACTTTTTTGTATAGATACTACAGGTTATGAAACTCAAACATTTTTTACTCCTATCAAACCGAATATTACGTTTGTTTGAAAATATATTTTTGCATAAAAATCTGGATTCTGTATATCTATATATCCACATCTATAGGTTCACGACCTCCTTGGAAGTTATGACCCTCAAGTTGAGAAGCACTGGTTTACTCTAAATGTAAAAAGAAATGTATCTCTGTCGCAATCTAGTCCAAATGCTTTGCTAAAAATTACTACTACCCAATTTTTAATAATAACCTCAAAAAACTTTTACTATCAGACAAACGTATGTTTACATCTAATTGTAATATTATAGAATCGTCACCAAAGCTAGTTAAACGTCCAGGATCTTCATTCATATCTCAGTCACTGTCACCAAAGTCTCATGACTCAGCCAGCTTATTATGGATTATAAACCCTTCAATGAGTGTGACGACAAAAATTCTAAGGGAAATGTGACCAAAAAACTGAAAGTTTAAACTATGATGACATCAAATGACAGCGTCTATTCTAATTTGACCACTTCCTTATTTCTATGACGCTCAAACACACACATTTGCATAACTAATATTATATATACTAGTGTAGTAGGAATAGTCAACCTACTGTTCCGACAGTGGATAGGATTAGGTATATAAATATCGACACCCCCTTACGTTCCATTTCGGAAACTAATGAGGTATGTAGCTCTATCATCAGAAATCGAATGATATCTGACCATCACTATACAATAATTTATTTGTGATTATAATTTAATTTTTATATTTTATTGGGTATGTATACTGTGTAGTAGTGTGCTCAACACAATACTAATTCAAGAAACAATTTAATAATAATTAGCAGTTGATGGATACTACCAATGAAAATGTATTTGCCATTTCTAATAGGTATTAATTGGACTTTGTCCGTAACAAAAAAAATGTTTCCGGTTTTTGCTAAATCACCCGTCCTCTCATTACAGTTAAATAGTACGTTAAAAAGTAACGTCTATGTTTCTATTTACCAAATACTTACAGACACAGCATTTTCCAATGTCATATGCACACGCACTATAAGACTCGCCGTGTAATTTTTTGCAGACGTTCTTAAGTAAGCATTGACCTGCATGTATAAAACATAAGAGTTATTTATCAAATGATTAATAATTTCTATGTGTACATGAAACTATACCATGGGTATGATTATAGTCTGTGTATATATATATATATATATATATGTCAATGGTGTTTTTTCAAAAGGGCATTTACCATTCAAACACTTTTTTCGCGAAGCAAAAAAAAACTGTTGTGCAAAGAAACAGCAAAACAGTTTTTAATGAAATTTTTCATAGAAAACAATAAAATTACACGTACACATTACACGTACCTTGTACATCAAGTATACATATATTGAATGTGGTATGTTCTCTTATCAAATCAGTGTTGATTTAATTATATTTTAAAAAGGCGATTAGATATCTTTTAGTCAACATTATCAATTTAATCGTCTGTATTTAAATACGCCCTTTTACCAGTTTATGCTTCTAATTTTTCTAATATCAAAAAAGTATTTTTCAATATTTAGTGGTATACATCCTTTTAACAAAACACTATTGATATAATATATATATAATACACATATTACCTGTTCTCCCGAAGTCATTGGGTAAACAAAAATCGATCACTGGTAATAAGTGATTATTACCGCTATTTTTTTTTGACACTGTGAAATAATTCAATACAATATTAGTCATATTATAATAAGGAAGAGATGGTGAAGGTCAGTCAGTGGCTAAAACCGGTCACACTGGATGGTAATCTCAAATAATATGATTGATAAAAATCTGTTTATCATGCATATGATTTAAATATTATTGTATGATAACCTAAAATTGTTGTGCCATATTACGGTGACAACTCTTAATAAAAAATCATGTTTTATTTTTTTCAAAATCTGTGTTATATTAATACAAATAAAAAATTATAAATTACGAATAAACATATTAATAATACAAAATCAAATTACAAGTACAGTAGAAGTCGCTTATTAAGAAAACGGATAATTGATACAATCGTGTTATTGAAACAAAATATATAGGGACGGACTTGTCATATATTAAATCAATCGTATATTAAAACCAATAATTTATTAGAAACAATCGGTTACTTGACACGTTTCACCTCGGTTCCAAAGTGTTCCTAATAAGTGGCTTCTACTGTAGTTTCATCAAGTATTTCAAATAAAATATTATTACAATATGATCCAAATTAATAAACAAATCACAGGCATTTAAATGGCTTAGATATTTTGTATATATCATAATATAATATACACATTATATATTATTGAATATATATATATATATATATATGTATATATATATTCTCTTTAAAATGTTCATGATTAGTAATTTTATTTAAGTAATCATTAAAAAAAAACTGTATAGGAAAAATGTAACAAAATATGATATTTGTTGAAATTCTTGAATACTTAATATGTGTACTTTAATAGTAGATGACGAATGATTTTAGAATAGGGAATAAGTTTGCGAGGTTAATGGTCTCATTTATTTGCTATTTTATTTACAATCATCAGTAGGTTTTCTCTAAGATAATGGGGACGAGTGCAGTCACTGGTGTAGATGGAAAGATGAGAAGGTAGGATACAGGCGGGAATTTAATGCATATCTGTAAGCAATGATAACCCGTTGCTAATGAAAAACCGATTCTGAGCGGAGTTTAATTTATAGTTGTACTTTGTCAACAATACATATGCCATGTTATAGTAAAATAATTAAGTACTCTCTATAAATTTTTTTAAATACTATGTTTTTAATGTTGTATCGATTTTCCCGGTTTTCTTACGTTTTTTCCGGTTTTTCCATGTTTTTTTCCAGTTTTTCGCATTTACTGAAGAAAACTCTGGAGAAAATCGAAAAACGACTTCTTTATAGTATCTCTCCAGTGAAATTTCCTTTTAGAAAAATTGCTATAATTAATAGTTGGAGCAAAATTGCCTCTAGAAAAGTTGTTCACAGAAAAAAAAATAAACATCTTTTTAAAACCATAAGCTTCTTTGCTCCACTCAGAATCTAAAATGAGCTGTTTGTTCTTATATTATAAATTGATAATGCATACAGGAAAATATAAATTGAGCTTAATTGGCGAAAAATGTCAAAAATTGATTTAAGTCCTTCTTCCCTGAGACCAAAGGTTACATTTTTAATTATTTCAGTAAAAAGTAAAACTATCACGCCTGTTTAAAATACATGTGTACAAAAATATACAGTGGCGCCGAACCACTCTTATCATGTATGGTAATGGGTATGTCTAGACTTACCAAAAATCGTAAATATCGTAAATGGGTAAATGTAATATATTTTTGAATATTTCGGGGGGAAGAAAAAAACAAATCGACAACGTAGTCGTCGCGTCGTAGCGACTTCCGAGTCTAATGAGAAAAATCGATGTTATCTGGTTGTAAACTAGACATATTACAAAAACGCATTAGTTGTAACCGTATAGTGTGCACCGTAACTGTAACCGATATTATTTATATACGTAGTTATGGTATTTGTACATTGCTTTTAACTTAAAAACAGAATTGAAATTCGATAATAAAATAAATGAATAATCGATATCCTCTTGCTTAAATGCCCATTTTTAATTGTTTATCCATTTCCTTTGTATTTTGAGACTAGTTTCAGACGAACATATTAAGTCCAATTGAAATATAATTCATGTACAATCATATGATAGTATATTGTTGTATACAATACACTTAAATAACTTCTAAATGTACATTTTGTTTAAATTCACATATTATACGGAGATGGAAATGGACCGAAACTTAAAGAATAATAAAAGAATTCTGGCTCATAAAAATATTTAGTTGCTGACAAAACAAAACGCATACAATATTGTATTACTGATATTTTAATGAATATTAATAAGATATTTACTTCATGGCATTTTTAAGTATTTCACTTAATAAATGGTTTCCATTTATGAAATGTACAATTCTATCAATGGATGCAATATAAATATGAAAAACAATATACATAATGTATATACCTATTCTAAAATTGAAACGGATCTAGACACTAGGTATTATAAATTTATACTACGTATAGGTATAGCTACTGTATACTCAAAGTATTACCTTTCAGATTCGAAGCGGATCAAGAGATCTATTGATTATTTTTATTTTTATTTTTTTGGGGGGTCTGAACAACTTTTCGAACAGAAATCTTTTTTTGATATATCAAATGTATCACTTTTTTTAAAAAGAAATTTTAAAAAGTTGGAGCACTGGTGAGGTCATTTTTGGTTTTTCAGTAGATTTACAAAATAATTGGAAAAAACCAGACACAAAATTATAGAAAAAATGGAATATACATTTTTGTTTCATTTTGGATTTAGTTGCTCACGAAGTAAGTCATTCTAAGTAATTTTCATAAAACTAATATTAAACAAATATTATTAAATACAATATATAATGCATATTTTTTTATTATTTTACTTTAAAGTGACATATATATTGTTGAAAAATCAAACACTATTAAACGAACTTCATTCAGAATCGTTTTTCGTTTGCATGGTTACATACAGATGTACATTAAATTTTCTTTCTACCTTTTCAAATTCTGACCTACAACAGTGACCCACTCACGTGCGATGTATGTCCATCTTTTTTTAATATTGTACCTATTTTCTCGTTTCCTTGGTTTTTCCCGATTTTTACAATTCAGAATGGAAAATCAAAAAATGGCCTACAGTACCTCTTCATTTCGATTTCCTTTCAGAAAAAGTGATATCATTGCAAATTGAAGCAAAATTGCTGGAAGAAAAGTCCACAGAAAAAATAAAAATAAACATTATTGTAAAACCAATATATTCCTTGCTCCACTTAAAATCTAAAATATACTATTTTGTTAGATGAAGTCACTTTAATGAAAGGTTTGGAACATAATAAAACGCTTGAATTAGTAGGTTTCTAAGATTTAGGACTCTATAGCTGTTCTTTTATTATATCTAATCATGCATTAGTAATTATGATATTTGGTCTTTATTATAACTGGAAATGTCCATTTTATTATTTTTTAACGGGGCATGGTGTAAAAGATATTGATTTTGTTAAAATTATAAAAGATTGTGCCAATATAAACTCACAGATATAGATTAATTACCAATAGTTATAGCTTGTGAATAGGGTACCCAAAATCAAAAAACGTATGATTTACTTAGAGGCAGTCAATTATATATTAATGATACGTTTGAATCGTTTGATTATTTGAATAGTAAAAACTTATATGAAAAAAATTTAGCATTAACGGTGTGGGTATTCAATACTACTTTGCCTTTATAAACGCCATGTAACAATCTTATCCATTGGAAACGTAACACATTTTTCTATTCTGTACCGTATCTTTACTATATAATATAATCAATAGTACTACGCATATACAATTGTTTAACCTTACAGAAATTTAAACAAGTTTAACAAGAGGTTTATTATAAATTGTAGGTACTTAGTTGTCAAAAGTCAGAAGTATTAACTCTTTTTTTGAATAATACTATAAAACCTAAATTAAATAATTTCATGGCATACGTATTTTTAAATTACCATGGTGAAATTGGTAAAATATTGCAATATAACAAATCAAAGAAAGGAATATTCAGCCTTGTTATTTAAATCGTTTTTACATAATATTACAAACAAAATCATTAAAAACTTAGTTGTTTAATAAATAATAATCAGATTAATATAAATTAATATCATATAATTTTCCTACTAAGAAAATCATTTTATTTGTGTTGCATACTATTTTCCTTTGGTTTTTAATCTGTATAATATAAATTATAGTATAAAACTACTTAACTGGTTCAGTACAGTCACTCGTAAACACGTAAAACAAATTAAAACCTCGATGTAGGTAGGTAACTATAATGTTCTCGTTAACGAATATAATCGAATAAATCTACACGAAATCCGTTTTACTAGAAGTAAAATAAAATAAACTACTAGCTATAATCTTACAATTAGCTGGTTACCGTTTGCCGTTACCGGATAGGTGATGAAAGTTCATTTAATTGGACAGGTTTTTTTTTTTCTAAAAATTTGTTGCTAATATTATTTACGCTGTAATAATACAACAAATAACCACATATATTTACGTATCCTAAATATTTTCAATTAGTTCTCCTTTCGTTATTAAAAAAACCTAAATTCAAATACAGGTAGAAATTTGGGTTGATAAAGGATCCGTATAGTTATATTATTCATATATGTATGCAAAAATAAATTATTGCTAATGAATTACGATTCTGAGTAAGGTGGGGTTAAACATGTTTTGAAATGCCATGATATCTAACAATTAAAATGGAAAATTCCTATAAATTGATAAAAAATCACCAAAATTTTACCACGTCTAGAAAAGACTAGTATAAGTATTCAGAGGAAATGCTAGGTTTCTACGATTATTTTTAACCGAATTACCATACAAATCGAAAATAATTAAATCGTTGTGATCGCCTTAAACTTTCCCTTTTTTCCTCGGTTTTTTATAGTTATTAAATAAATTACTATAAAAATGTACCAGGTATAATTTAATTTCAGAAAAGATGCTAAAATTTAAAATTTGAGCAAAATTTCAGGTAGAAAAGTTTTTTTAAGATAAGAAAAATACACACATTATAATAAGGCTTTATTATAATGTGTGTATTTTCCACTTTTTAAACTCTGAGCGCAGCCAGTCTATTCCTGGATGCGTTCAGAATATAAATAGCGGCAGCTATACAAGGTAATTAATTTAAGTAAATATACTTATAATCTCGGAAATTAATAGCTTTTTAATTACTTTTTTTTTTTTTTGAAAATTTAAGAAACAAGCAGCTCTAAAATTTTACATCAATTTGTTGTCACCCTTCTTTTTGGAGGAGGAGAATTTGAATTATTCAATCAGCACTATTATTTTCCCCCTACTCTAACTTAAAAGTGAAATATCTCATCAACGGGTTGACAGAAATCAACCACTCTAACATCAAAAGTTATTTATAAACTTATACCCCATATATTTATGAAATTTGTACTATTGGTTAGAGGTTACCATTTGAAAATTAAAATTGGGCAGTCGTTTTACCTAAAAAAAATAATAGTGACAAAAATAATGTTAATGCAACATTTCAGAGCTGCTTTTTCCTTAAATTTTCAATAAAAAATATTTAAAAAGTTTATACTTTCCGAGATAAACAGTGTAATATGCACTAAAATGGGTCACTTTGAATAAATAATTCAAAAAAAGCCAATATAGTATGTTGTTTCAAAAAATTATATCACATCGAGAAATGCTAAAATTGATGATCTCTGTAAATTTTAAAATTTCTTACTGAATTATAATAAACAAAATTCATTTTGACAAAAACTGTGGTGTTACGTATATTCAAGAGCGTCCATCTTCGAAAATACAGGGACACACACACACACATACACTATATTTTTCAATAATATTTCCTAATCGCCTATGCTACTTTGATTTTTCAATTATGTCGTCAACAACTTATGAAAAAACATTAGTGAAAATAATTCTAACATACAATATATTTTATGATCATCAATTTTTCATTTATTCAATGTATTTAACTATTTAATATAAATTATAATATTTTATGTATTAATGTATAACAGACACGGAAAAACTAGGAGGGGAAATGCCCCCTCCTTGTCCCTCTCAATGGGCGCGCATTCGTATATCTAAAATATATATAAGTATACTGCAATTTTCTCGACGTTTGTTTTTTTTTCCCCAATATAAATAGAAGTACAAGAAATTTCGGATAATTACACTAATTAGATCCTAAATTGTTCAAGATAGCTCATTTGATTCTTACGATTGGAGTAAGTCATGAACTTGTACAGACTATAGCCATCAGAATTTAAAAATATGTTAAACTATAATATACAATTGGTTTATCATCAATAACATATTTGCTTTGCAATCGTTTGCTTTTTGGTTAAAAAAAAAATCCTTGATGAGTGACATTTGTTCATAATCGTGTTCATAATCAGGTTTCACCTTTTCTTGATTTTCCCAAGAGGTTTCCCAATAAATAGAAAAAACAAGGGAAAATAGATATAATATAAAATAAATATTATTAAAGAAAACATATATCTAAGTAATTATTTTATCATAATATGATATACATAATATTGTTGAAAAAGCAACACTATAAACTGAACTTCTCTTAGAATCGATTTTTCATTGGTTTATAGTTGCTTACAGATATACATTATATTTCCCTTCTACTATCTTCCCAGCTTTTTTTTTTGTTTCATACTAAAATGGTTAAAAACAAACCAATTCCATTTTTTGTACAAATCCCGTTTAAATCCTATGACATATGAGTGTCTTGCGGAAAATTAATCACCCTGTAATACCAAATGTATAATATAAGAAATAACAATAATTATATTATGCGTTGGTCACGCTTATGATCTCCTGTATTTCGGTAATTAAATACCTATACCGTAATTACCGGTGGTAAATAAATGCGACCAGATACCATGGAATCAAAATTTGGAATGGAACCACCATTTCACTAATAGATATTTTAGTAATTTTAAAATTAAGTTGGCAATAGTTTTTAATAACTAAGAGAAGACGAAACTCTATATAATTGTTATTATACTTTGCTTGTCGTCATATAATGTTTACGGATATTAAAGTAATTTTACTATTTTACTCGTTATCAAATTAATGGCATGATTATTATATAAGGAGTTTTAACATAATTGTAACATTTAAGTACAAGACGTATAAGGAGTAAGTATGTAGTAAGTAGGTATTGCTAGTACCTAGTAGAATCGACTTTCGAGTTGTGAAACTTTTATAGTTTTTTTTTTTTAAATCAATATTCAATTATAGTTATGTTTATAAAAAGTAAGCGGGATAAAGACATGTTAGGTTTTAATTAATATAAGCATAATTTCGCTCATAAAAATGTAAGCAATGATGAAATTCGTTGGCAATTTGTAAAACGTACATACTCGGCTACTCCACATGCATTTGATACTAAAGACTAAAGTGTAGAACGAAGTAAACATTTTAAACACCAGCTTTGACATAATCATAATTTATGCAGTGAATAAAAATAATTAATGAACTGTTAAATAATTGTTTATGATATTTTTAGATACATTCAATAAAACAATTTTAATATGGACATATTATATTTTGATAATTTCAAATTTTTAATGTACCACACCCTATACAAATGTTTTTATAAAATTGTTTAACTTAAATAAGTAAAATAGTTAAAAAGTCCAAATATAGCCGACTATTATTAAATGTGGAAAGTTTGGAAGGTACTGGATATATAAAATATTTTAGTTTATGTATCATTGGAAATAACGAGAAATCATTGCCATTGAAAAACGATTATAAGTGGAACTCGATAAACTGGTTAGACTATAGTGTCAACTATGTTTTTTCCCCTATTACATGCAAAAGATAACCCAGAAATCAACAAGAATAAAACCAATGTATGTATACTTGAATATTATATTGTGATCAATCTATAGTAAGACATTATCACTATCTCATTATGTCGGAAACTATTACATTTTTTTGGAATTTGTTTTATAGAACATTTGAGAAACTAGTAGCTCTAAAATTTTTAATTTTATAGTAATTTTTGTTTTCCTGATTTTTAGGAGTAAAATTACTATCTACTTATGATTTTCAAATGAGAACTTTTCTTAAAAATTCGATAAATAGATAAAGTATTAATTTAAATAAATGTTGGTGATAAAATGTTTGATTTCTATCAATCCATTGACGAGATGTGTCACTATTAAATTTAGGCCGAGGGAGAGAAGTGGTGCATTATTAAAACACCGCGCGCCATGCTCCCACACAAATTATGCTCCTCTAATCTCGATTCAAACTTAAAAATTACATATCTTGTCATTAGATTGACGGAAATCAAACATATCAACACCAAAATTTATTTAACCAATACTCCATCTATTTATGGCATTTTTATTTTATAAGGTGTAACAGAAATATTTGACATTTTTACATTGTAGTTGCATGTAAAAATGTCAAATAGTCCAGTTACACTTTGTACAGCTTGCTATTTAAAAATCAATTGTAGATAGTGGTTTTACACAATAAAATAAGTGTAACAAAACAGCATAAATTTAAAATTGTAGAACTGCTTGTTTCTTAAATGTTCTATAAAAAAAAATATTCGAAACAAGTTAATAATTTTCGAGATGAGTGTATTACGATAAATATCCTGTATAATATGATGTATCGTAATTTGTTGTAAGTTTTCTTTTTTTGAAAAAACTGACGGGAATATAGATAAATTGTGTAAGTATAGTACCACTAAACCGAAAATCTGCATCCTGAACAACATTCAAAAATTGGAACTTCTTTAATAAACGAAATTTATAATGGGAAAAAATACCTTAAAACTATATGTAGAACTGAACAAATATAGTTTCTCGCTGAAAAAAATAATTATATTTTGATAAAACAAAAAAAACACACGGAAAATGTTAGAGCCATAAAACATAACATATTCAAGTTTTAATATACCTATAAGAAATAAAACAAAATGATTTTACTCAATCAGAGCGTTTTTCTAATGACTAATTATTTTTACTTAATCAAGCAAATGATATACACATAATAATATTAAATTTGCAATTACAAAAATTATTTTTGTATACATACGGTTACTATGATTTATCAGCGATTTAAACCATTTCAATATTGTTCCGTTAACAAACGGCAACATCAGTAACAATGCCATCAGCCATAGCATCAGTTGTTTCGATACTACCCAGTTCATAATGTATTTATTTCAGTGTCTATCTTAATTATTGGTATATTATTAAAATGCGTCTTAAAAAGTATTACAATCGACGTAACGACCGACAGCTCAGCGTTTCTTGGGAATACTAATCATATACTTGGATGTTTCCGGGCGAGATACGATGTACCGAAGACCGAAAAAACAAACTGAAATTCTTCCGCTACGACGCACAGCGCCGGACACTATTATTATTTTATTTTCCTTGTACAGTTGTTTGATTTTTAAGGAGTATTGTATAGGCAACTTATTGTACAAAATAAAATATGGTGAGTAAAAAAAATTATTATCTTGGTTGGTAATTTACTATTTCATGTTTAGGAATGGATGTATATGTATTTTTAACGTCAAGAGAAATCATTTTGTAACTTGGCATAATATTAATTTTATCTATAAAATCGTAAAAAAGTATCAGTATTTATGTTTAATTTTTCTTTTATGAGAGAGTCAAAATATTTAACAAGGTTATAAGCTGGAGCAGTTTTAAAGTTGATCAATATACGAATCGGATTATCTTGTTTATGTAATTTTATGAATGGGCTTAAATGTGGAGCCTCTATTTTGTAATCATATTTGAATACAATTTTCTTTTGGACTTTAGGTATAATTTCTTTCGAATTTGTTATTAGTTTATTAATTTGTTTAGTGAAAAGTATAGTTGTGTCATATATAAGTTTTGAATACTATTATTATTTATAATATCTAAAAATTTTTATGAATTTCATTAGTGTAAATAATAACAATAGCATTAGATTTCATCTACTGGAACTATTTTTGAATTATTTGTTTTAATTTATTCACTATGTTGTTAATAATTGTATTTTGGTGTTTAACTATACTATTTTGTTTTAATATTTTATCAGGCTAAATCTTGTAGTTTTATTGATGCTGTTTATTAAGTTATATCTTTTTCGATTTTGATTATGAAATTGCATAATTTATAACAGATTAAAATTGTATTAATTTTTTTTTAATTGATTGTAAGTTTAATATTTGATATATATTGAATTTAGTACTTTTATTCGATACATTTTTTTCAGCTTCATTGAAAATTATAAAATTAGTAACTCTTAGTTGAAAAGAATTCTGGTAGGATTTTTTAAGTGTAAAAACTGTAAGTGATTTAAATTTTGTGATAAAATTATTTCTTAACTATTAATCTTTCCTACTATTACGTTTTTTTTGCTGAATAAAAATTTTATTTCGGAATTTAACCATATCGTCTCTGCTCCTTTCTTGGATTTGATAGTAGCTTTAGATGTAACGGGTTTTCCATGAGCGAGCCGATGTTATCTGCGCTATATGGCCTTATCGTTTTGGTGACGTCTGTCTAATTTATTGTTTATTATTCAGTCACTAATGCTAAATCATTATGCAAATTACACTATTGAGCAGCACGTCCAAATGATAAAATTGTATTATCAAAATAAATGTTCGATAGTACAAATTTTGCGCTCGTTACGTCCATTTTTCGGCCAACATAGTAGCACTTCAAAGACGACTCTCCAACATTTAGTGGCGAAATTTGAAACAACCGGTTCGATAAACGATCAGTTAACACTCGTACGTCAAAGTAATACCATATCGGCCGAAAATATTGCCGCTGTACGTGAAAGTGTGCAGGAGAACCCGAGACAGTCAATTTCTCGCCGAGCACAAGAACTCGGTCTTTTACAGTTTTCAACTCGGCGAATTTTGCGCCGGGACTTAGGCTTACACCCGTACAAAACCCAACTGACCCAGGAGCTCAAAATTAATGACTATAGACAATGCCGATTGTTTGCTGACTGGGTTTCGGAGCGTTTGGAAAAGGACCCTAATTTTGTCCGAAATCGTCATCTTTAATGACGAAGTGCATTTTTGGATGAATGGCTATGTAAACAAATAAAATGGCCATAGATGGGGAAATACCAATCCACACGAGGTTCAACAGGTAACAATGCATTCACAAAAAGTTACTATTTGGTGTGGACTACAGCATCAACTACTGCAGTACAATGTATACAGCTATAATCTGCAGTTAGTAAAATGATTTTAGTAGAAATACTTATAACCAGTGTTTTTTTTTCAGGGGAAGAGAAGGTGGGGGTTAAAACTTGTGATCAACCCCCTCACCCCTACAAATAAAAAATTATAATAAAAAACAAGTGTCATCAAATATTGCTCAACAGAAATCCTTCTCCCCCTTCCCTAAAAATTGGTTATCAGTTACAGGATTATACATAAAGGTAATAAAAGTTAACCTTTAATTCTAAAGTAAATCTATTCTGAATAGCGGACACTATTACCATAGCTAGGATAGACCCACTGTAGACATGCCCCTTAATTTATTTGGTTTCATATTGGTTATTTTGGTATATTTTATCGTTTAAAAAATAGTTGGCAATGTTCAAATTATTTTCCGGATTATTTTCTTGGGGGGTACAGTACGTGGTACCTTGATTTGTTATACGAGTACAAAACCACGTCGGGTTGGTACAGGAGAAAACTGTCTAATTTTTAATACGAAAAAGTCCATTGAAAAATATTTTCGTAAAAAAAAGTGTACAAATTTTGTATACCTATGGAGTTTGAACCCTGTACCCTGAGATTCTCACTCAAAAAAATGATCATTGCGTCACAACAATTATTGATTTAAACGGTGTAAAAATTTGTAAACCAGCAATTTTATACACCTTCGCATTATTAAATATTACCAAATACTACAAATGAGAATACAGGAAATTCAATGAAAATCTACTAGTGAAAAAGTGCTTGAGAATTTGGGCAGTTGCCAATTCGTCCCTTATTCCTTATTACTTGAATGTGCTGTATAATATAAATTATTTGACTAACTAATTTATTTAATCTATAAAGTTTTTTCAAGTTTCTATAGTTTATAATTTAGTGTGTAAATTATATTTTAGTATATGTCCATTTTTTTAAACAATAAACTCACTTTTTTTATATATTTGAATTACTTTATCTTCTAATTTATCTTTATTTAATACATAATTCCTCATAAGTTCTTTTTAAAAGTGGATCAAGTTAACCTCTTCCTTCTCCAAGACAGAATAAATAATAGGTTTATAGTTAAAATAAACTTAATAATCATAATAATAAGAGCTATTTACAAATATAAAATCCGTATTTTAATAAAAAATGATTGATTATAAATTTATGATTATGAACTTTATTTTATGATTATGATTATGAATTTATGTTCATGATTATGAACATTTTATCAATATTACTTCAAAAAATTTCAGCACTTTTGTTGTTTGTATCGAATGCATTTTCCTTCGCTAATCAGATTACCGATCTTTTCTTGTAGCACAATAATAGGCGTCGTGACATCTGTATAAATATGGAAAGTATTAAAATATGTCATAATGAGCCATACTAGTTAAATAATATAATTTGTATTGTTATATTGATACATTTATAATTTCAAGTAAAATTATTATAACCAACTTATTTTTCTCCTTCGTCTTCATCCCAACTATTTGGAATCGGTCACCCTTTCCCTAAACTTCCTCTTTATCCCGCACATTGTTCTCGTATTCACAAGCCTCATATCATTTTCTTTCGTATCCACTACCTTTTTTTTGGTCTTTTTCTCCCTCTATTTCTTCCAACGATTATTTTCATTACATTCCTTATTGTTTCTGATTCTTCTCTTCTCATGACATGCCCAAAATATCTTAGCCTATTTTCTTTCATTTTGTCCACTGTTTAAACCACAGCTAACCTTCCTCGTATATTTAAGCATTTTCATCTCAGCTACTTAATTCATTATTTGTTATATTTTTCTGTCTATCACCCAACACTTCGAACCATACAACATAGACGCTCTCACCACACTCTTATAGAACTTATCATTAAGTCTCATTGGAGTCCTCTTATCACATAAAATACCCGACGCTTCTCTTCATTTAATCCTATGTTTTACACCCTGACAAAGCAACCGTTTTTTTGAACAAACAATCATAGATATTTAAAACTATAAATAGAAGGCACTTGCTGTGATTAAGAAAAAGTGGTGCTAATTCGGTATGCGCTCTACAGACAAGTTTCTGATTCTGTATGCACTCTATATACATCGTTCTGTTTGCGTTTTATTTACTGCTGATTTATGTTCTTAATGTCTTCAAACATGGCGAGAAAAAGGTCAGAATTGTCTTTACGGTAAAGTCGCCAGCAATAGTGGTCAAGATGGGATTGTAAATGATGAAGAGGAATACCCCTCATTTTCTTCAATAATTTAATTTTCGCGTCCAACCATGACCTCTCAATGTTTTAAGTGTGGGCTCCTGCATTTTCATAGACATATGAGATTTGGTGATCTAATGTCTTGTATACAAAACTTCGGCTTGTGTGTAGCACACCTATATGTAGCACATTTATCAGAATGAATTTCTAACCCTGTCTCGCATTTGCGTTCAATTATCGGTAGAAATGTTTCTCGATCGCGTCGATGAACATAAAAATAACGGAAATCAAAAACACGCGATCTCATTTAGTAGTGCTAAATGAGAAGAATAAAACTCACTAAACATCATCACAGCCATCATAATTAATAAATAATACACAAAAAAATAAAATACTCGTAATGAATAACTTCCGGAAGCTACGTAACTGAAAACTGAAAAGACGACTGTTACAAAACCTACACTAATATAATTAGTAATAATCAAAGATAAGATAATAAAGAAATATCCAATATATCATATGAATAAATACGTTATCTGCCTCTTTTTTATGAGGCAGATAACGTAACTAGATATACCAGTTGTCTAATATCCCCGTTCCGAACGTAGAATAAGTGTAAAACAGTAAAACCTGTAGAGCACATACATGTTTGTTTAGATAAAATGATTAATATTAGAAAATTAGCCGATTAAATATTATGAAAACTATTAATCTGCAGATAACTACGGTAGTTTACGTAACGAAGTAAATGGATACTTAAAGTATTTAACTATATACTTACTGTGCCTTATTGTGATTGTGAATAGTGAATCACATGATTCGTACTTTATCCAGCATATGTCTATAAAAGAGTAAAAGCATCTATGTTATCTTGCAATATATCCTCTACATTAGATTGTAATTTACTAACGATTACAGGACGCTTGTCATATTATGAACTCTACCATATGATTACGATTATATTTTCAAATGCTTTTTATAACTTGCCAACTAGTCATGTTATGGAAACTTGCAATCTATTCGTTACCCACTTTTTGTGGTCCAATTAATTTGAAACTTAACACTTATACTTATGATGGCAAAGCAATAATCAACAATCAGATCTAGGGGGTAGAAGAGGCCGTGAGCTGAGGTTATACGTGTATAATATATTAGACGTGGTATAAACATAGTGTTTTACAGTGATATCCTAATGTTAATAACTCTATGAATATTCTTTTCTTTTTTTTTTTTCATTGGGTTTTGTGCGAAGATTTTGTACATATATGTATATGCAGATAATAAATTAAATTTTAAATGTCATTCTTCAATCACTGAAAAAATAACTTTTTATTTTCTCACTTTTTAAAATTTCCAAAATAGTCATTTTGTAAAATATATATTATTCTAAAAATTGTAATATATTATACACGCTGTCTGTACATTACCATGCTGTTTGTGATTCCTGATCGGATAACGTGTTATTCTATTGAAAATTAATTGTTTTCACGTTAATTTTCTAGAAACTAAAACGGCTATTACTAAGTAATAATTCATCGGATATGAATTTTGTTACAAGTTTTATAATCATAATATTATTTAAAAAAAATTAAAGTGACAAAAGATATTTTTTTCAATAATTAAGGGATAAACATAAAAAAATTATTTTTCTCTACATATGTATTCCTCCGGAAAAAACCAGATTGAAAGAAAAAAGTGAATATTGACAGCATTATTATTGTAAGGATAACACTGTAGAATACCCTATATGTATCCCACTGTCAGACTACAGCGTTCACGCTATCAACTAGTGAGTATAAAATCTAATACGGTTCACATTAATATATTAGATGATGACAAATTACAAGATTAATTAAAATAAATTTCACTGATTATTAGAATTTAATGTGGTGTGGTCCAATTGAATATTCACTTGGTTCGATTTAAGTAACTGATCATTTATTTTTAACTACTTTAAAATATAATAATTGTAATTAACTATGCAAAATTGTAGTTTACATGTTTAGGTATTATTATTTTAATACAAATTTACATCAATAATTTAGACCAATTAATGCAATAATTAAAAATGTTGACACCAAAATGTATTTAAAATAATACTCCACCTATTTATGAAACTTTTAGTATAGATTCTTAATTAAAAAAATAACGTTGGTTCAGTAGCGGATTCAGAAGTAACCCAAGAAGAAGAGGAGGCGAATTTTCAAAAATTATATTACCTTTTTTTCTATTTAACCTGTATTGGAGACTAATTATTTGTATTATTTTACCTATACAACTAAATACATCTGAAATTAATAAACTTAATAAACAATAAATAAATAAAAGCTATTTTTACTATTTATTAATATACAAAATAATTAACATTATACTATTGTCATAATTTTATTATACAATCAATACGATTATCTACAAAATCAAATCAACACATATTTTTTTCTCCTCGGCAAATCTATCAATAATATCTTCCACATTTCGGGATTGCTGTTACAAATTTGTACGAATCATATAAAAAATGTTGGTACTGGTTTCGAGTCTCTACGACAAAAACTAAGAAATGCGAACGCTGGTGACACTGAATATTCAAGAATTACTTTAAATTTATATGGATATGTTTATTAATGATAAACAACATGATTATATATTAATTACTATACATTTATACTTTAATATTTTTCCTCGGATATTTTTTCTGCCTGGATATTTTAAACTGGGAATTTTTTCCTCAGATATTGTAGATACGGATATTTTTACCAGTTACCAGCACGCTTAGTGAATCACTCTGCATATAATTAAATGCATATTACAATTCTTAGAATATATCTCTAATTGGATATTTTAATTCAATTAATTCTCTTTAGGAAGGTTAGGTTAGGTTAAAATCATCATATGACACAAAAGTATGAAATATATTTATTGTATGTGACAGAATACGTATGTTTAAATTCCTGAATTCGGTAGGTAAGTAATTCATTTTTTAAAATACAAATTGTTTGGGTTTTTTTTTTTTATAAAATTTTGTTTTATTAAACAATGTACACAATAAATTCGTATTCAATTGCTGTAACTTTAAAGTGAGTTTTGACTTTTTTTCGTCAAATAGCTACAAACTATTCGACCCACATGTTTTAATATTGATATACTATTTTAATTAAATTAAGTATATTTTGAATTTTGTTTTTTAATTACAATAAAATCCGTTCCCTAGATCTGATTGTTGTTATACACCTGCATAAAATAATTGTTTAAAAAAAAAAAATACTCATTTCAATACGCGTGTACAGATATTTTTCAACAATTCACAATTCTAAAAGTACCTACATTATATAATTTATGTATTAAGTAATATATGTTAATACTTAATTTTTGTATAGTCTTCTAAATGAATTATTTTTTCTTTAAAATGTAATATTTTATCAATAAATTAAAATGGAATAATAGTAGGTTAAATTCCAGTCATCGTGATAGGTAGTTAAAATAAGTAATAAAATCTCTGAAAAATCACTGAAAATATAACAATCTACAACTATACATTTTCTAGTGAACTGATGAATCTAGTGATTCAATTATACCTAAATATAGTGAAAAATCCATTGGTGTCGTTTAATTTTCAATTTTACGTATATTTCTATTTAAAAAAAGGCAAGCGAGATATCTCTTCTCCCATTTAAAGGTTGATTTACCTAAATAAAAAATATCACATATATTCCAGGATTGGTCAGATAAATACATACTAAATATTGAAATGAAAAAAAATTGACAATCTGTATATTTGTGAGAGGAGGGTCTTTACGAATCGTGCGTGGTAAAGAGCATCCGACAAGATATCCATCCTCGAGTTAGTAAATCGTCAAAACAATATAACTTAAGATGTATTATATCGTTTATTAAAATTATGATCGCTTACTTTCTGCACGTTTTATGCATATTTTAAAATCTGTGTTTGCCAAAAACTGACCATTAACCGAGAGCTTCGTCGTCTGCAGGATTCCCGTGGCGTTTGGATAATACTGCAAGCAGCCTATCGGAATCTCTTCACTAGGGTCTACTCGAGTTATCTATAAAAAAAAATACGACGTCCGGTTAGGGTATGATTCGGTGACGAAGAATTTTCTTCAATCTAACTTTGATTTTCCACGACCGGTCGTAGTCAATATTGCTTGTTATGAATTTGATAATCGCAACGTCGCTATCGTCGTCCAGTGTGTAATAAACTGTGAAATATATATATGTGTATAATGTATATATTCATATATAAGTATTAGTATTATATTCGAATTTTAATAACTTTCCATCATCTATCATCAGGTCATTATGCTTCTTTATTTCGTATTTAATATGTGAAACGAAAAATATTTTATTCTGCACTTACGGTGTTCATCGCTATATAGGCCACAAACTGTCAGATCACTGGACGATTTGCTGGTGACGATCAAACGATCATTTTCACAAACCAGAGTATTCGCGGTTGGTGGTGTTGACTGTAAATATCGTATTGTATAATAAATCAATATATAAATGATATAAGATCGATTATGTATATTAGCCTGTTTTGATTTTTATAATTTTTTTTTCACATTATACAATTTTATAAATGTGCCACAATTCACTAAAAATCTTCAAGTAAGGTTCAATTTGTAAGTTATGAAAAGACTTTACTATTGGTCCTTGGTTATATGAAGCTGATCTATAGATCAGATTCATAGACAATAATATGTTAAAAATTTTAAAAAAAATCTGATAATTTGTATAGATTTCTACAAATGAGCTATTCTTATAACAGTTAAATTTCACTTTATTCCAAGTGAATCTTATGTATTTTTTTGTGATCTTTAAGAAAAATCTATGTACAATCTCGTAACTTTCGAATCTAATGAGTAAATGTGATTTAATCTAAAGTATAGTTACTTTCCTATATTCTTTAAATGGAAAAACTAAATATGCGATTAGCAAGTTCTTAAATGTTTTTTTTTTTTGGCTCAAAATATTTTTGGGTAGATTTAAGACCACGAGGAAGCAATTTCCATTCTTGATTAAAAAAAAAATTGAAAATTAAAAAAGCTTAATATTTATATATTATATAGATCATATTATGCAAGAGAGCCTTAATAAATTAAAAGAATGGCTCATCACATAATGCACTTTGATCGATTTATCTATATGGTTGATCTATATCTACAAACCACCATTTGGTAAACTACATTTTGAACCATGAAATAGTTACTTAAAATGACCATTGCAAAGTATTTTTTGAGTAAGATATTCATAAAAATAATTAATTTTACATCAATTATTAGAATATGTTTAAGTTAATCATTAATAATAATACTTTTTATAATAATTTTGTCACCAATCACAAAGACTCTAGGCCGCACTATGTCATAGTATACAAAATGGTGGTCCATTCAATAGTGATAACCCGAGTTGTTGATTGCTCTCTTACTATAATATAGATTCATTAGATCAAGTCATCACAGTGATCCTCACGAACAGGGACGCATCAAGAAGGGAGGTGAAAAGTACAGATGCTCCAGACGGTGCGGCAAAATATTTAAGGGTGACTTCAAATAATATATTGCTTATAATAGCTTATTACAAATTTCTATAAATATCTATCTATCTATAGGTACCTATCATAAATGTATCAACGTAAATAAAATTATTTTGTAATTTTAATTCATTATAATCTTTAATTATTAATCTTGAACAATTCTATAATTTATTCTAGGTCCTTAGAATGTAGAACAATAATTTCCAACAGCTATATATCCACTTTAACACATTAAAAATGTTAACAGCTCTCTAAATCGATAATGGTACTGGTAAACCATTATCCATACATCATATACCATTATAAATATACAAAATGGAGAAAAATGTCTCATACAAAAGTTTTTTAGATTTATAAACATCTAAAATAATTTATCTCTATTTTTTAACTAATACTCACTCTATTTATGAAATGTTAAACATCGGTTCCCATTTAAATTTAAAAAGTTTACCTCCAACCCCCCCCCACAAAAAAAAATAGTAAAAACGAATAAAATACACAAATTATTTTAGATATTTATAAATTAAACAACTTTTGTAAATTTTTTTCTATTTTGTATATTTATAGGAGAAAATCGCTGTAACATAAAATTCTGATCATCCTATCTACACCAAAATTACATTTTACAAATTTTGCAACATTCCGTGTGTCAGTTTTTTTAGTTTTACAGAATAATCAAAAACCATTTTAGGAAATACTACCCTGACAATTAGTATACTATTATGGTTATATACAAATGCGTAATAAATAAAATACAAATTATAGACATTAAGTTCCTTTCCAATCCACATTACTATTGTAAGGCCTACGGCCAATAACCACTATGTAAGAGACAATGGTTCCCTGCTACTACTATCTTGCGTATATAAATTCAAACGGACGACATAAAAACCGATAATGAGTTTTCATAAGATATTATAGATTAATAAACTTATCTACATTTATTTTTAATATTAAAATCCTATAAACCATCCACACTGCAGAGCTATAGTTAAATATATTTAAAAGACACTTTCCCAGAATATTTTATATTTAACGGCTCATCCCAAACCAAGTTACAATATTTATCTTAACAATTAAAAAAACCAAAAATTATCTCATTTCGATAACCATATTTATTGGTAGAAATACCTATATTGTGTTGATACGAAGTTTTGATGTACCTAATTATCGTAAGGGGCATCAAAATTTTCGTGAATAACAGTGTAACCTAGAGTCTAACGATAAATATTATAGAATAACATATCTTCAGAAATACTTAATAATAATTTATTAATAATTAATATCAATAATACTAATATAATATTCATACATTTTAATATACGGGATGTTAAAAGATAAACGATGTAATATCCATGAACTTTAGTTACCTACTTAATGATGAATCATCTTAAAATTCTAAAATAAGTAATGCTAAGGTAAATAAAATATAAATATCTAAATAATTCAAATACATGACACATTTATTTGTGTGTTTAAATTGCGTAATATATAAAAAAAAATGGCAAATAAAGTGTATAAGGGATGGACTTAATATTTATGTTTTCTTCCCTATACATTGTTCCTTGATACGGCTCTGATCACAAACAAAAATATACCAAATGCTTACCAAATTGAAGTCGACAAAATCGAGACGTATTTGATGACGGCTGTCGAACGACGTCTTTACAATTTTCACCTCACAATTAGTCGATTCATTCATTCCCGTAGAACTTATGTATATTATGTTGTTTCCGTCCTCCACGATTTTACAATTGTAACTAAGTACTGCAGAAATCATGTATATTGAAACATTTTGTTTTATAAATATTATAATATAATAAATTAGTGGTAAATATTACTAGACTAATTTTATGTTGTTGTAGTCAAAGGAATATTCAGAATTATTATGAACACATCAAGACCATAAAAATTAAAATCCCAAAAAAATCGAAATTCACGTAAACGGATCGAGTACCAATGGATTTAAATTTAAAATTATTAATAAAATAATAAAGTAAAAACAAAATTAATAAAATGGTTAATACTCGTAACTAATTTTTACATATTATTATTATACAATAATACATATTTGATATAATTAAAACTAACAAATGATGGTTAATAAATATAGTAAATAAATAAATAAATAAAAAATGTATATATAAAAATAAAATAAATAAATGAATCAATGCGTCGCCGTAGTATTATGATAAGTGTATTTTACGACCGGTTTCGAATTAAAAATCCATCAGGTATATCTCATTCAAAATGTAAAACTCGACTGTGTGATATACGTGAGACAAGTTCTATAATATAAAATAGACGGAAGAAAATTCAACTCGTATGAGGGAATTCTATTGCTTATGAGTCACGGTTGTTATACTTACAAATACAGCATATATTCCAAAAAAAAGGGCACACGCCAAATCGGTATGGAAAACCACCTTCTTCAATACAACTTTTATCATCCCAAAAGCATGCACCTGTGTAAAAATTAAAATATTAATATTATATACTCGTATATTTAGATACTGGCCTGTTAAGGAAAAGTGCCATAACTCGAAAAAAAAAAGAATTAGCTACAGCATTTGTTATTATACCAATTAATACACATTTTCTGTAGAAAAAAACCCTCGAAATTACATTTAATAGGCTAAAAACACAATTATAGTTTACTAAAAATGCCATAAGTAACTAAAAAAATTAGTTATACTAAGTAAGAACGCCGTAAATATTTGTATAGATGCGGCATTTTTTCTTAATATTTCCATGTGTATTCAAGTTACGGCGTTATCGCTTAGCATTTTTCTGAAGTTCAAAATCATATTGAATCGTTTAATCCAAAAATTTCTCACTATCGTCGTGAACACTCCCCTAATGTACGATACTTTCCAAGCGATGTTAAATAACTTTTATACATCAGAATTTTTTGGAAAAATATGCAGAACCTGAATTTTTTATTTCCTATGCATATTATAGGAATCAAGTTCAAAAAAAATACTGGTTTTCATTGGCGTAGAATCAACAGGTGTGTTTATTTACGGCCCCACTCAACCTTAAACACTTCGAAAAGTAATAAAATATCCTAAAAAATGAGAAATGTTATTCATTTTAAAGGTGGTCATTTAGGTGATATTATTTTTAAAAATAAATCTGAACAAATTTCCAAAATAAACGAAAAATTATTCAAAATTAATAATTTGTATTGGTTTTATAAAATTATTACCAAAAAACATCACGAAAGATTAAATGACCCACCCTGGATAATAATAATTTACAGTCTAAAATTAATTCTTTGAGTAGAGTGCCTAAACATTAATCACTAAATCTGGTTTAATTTCAATGTCTGTATGTATGTTTAAAATGGCTATTCCATAAAGTTTCTGCTTTCCTATAGTGTTTAAATACATTTTTAGCTTCATAAGTATAGAAAATAATCTTTATGGTGATAGTTGGTATCACTTATTCATACACGATGTTACAGCAACATTATGTTTCAAATTGGTATGAAAATCTACGTAAAATTCGTAAAAAAATAACATACATATTTCGAGGGGGTAACAACCTCGGACCCCCCTACCCTAGTTGCACCACTGCTTTATTGTACCTACAACCAAGAGACAAATCTTTAAACAAGTCATTGATAAGGCCATTGGCTTATTACTAAGTTTCATCAACAAAATCAAGTATATTATGAATAGTTATATTTCTGGCTTTACGTAAACGGTTTTGAACTTTATTCAACTCGCAGAAGACAAATTCTCCAAACAATCAACTTTCTCACGAAGGCTCTTTATGTCTGCTAGCATAATTAATTTTTCTTCCTTAATTTTGACCAGTTCAATGGAGAGATTTTAAATAATTCTGAAAAATAACTTAAGAATAGCTTCAAGACTGCTAGCATTATTCTTTAATGTAGTTAAATAAGAATCATTAGCTAGTTTTTTTCATTCGATTTTAATTTGAACTAAACATCATTTAAAGTTATTTCTTTTTAATGACAAAATATTCCGCATCCTTAAAGAAGTATCGAGTATAGGCATATTCGTAAAATTGATAATAAATAAAAAAAAAACCACCTTAGGCACGTGATTAATGCACATTTCAAAGGTAAGAATCAACTGCACTCCAAATCTGAAAACCAACAACTCAAGATACGTGACTGGAACCAAGGAAAAAGTTTAAGAATATAGGGCTAGGGTAACTCCTTATAAAAAATAGATCCTAACAAAACTGCAGTTTGACTGACTTGAATTATAACGCAATCGGCCCAAACAGCAGATCCCTACACAAAGTGAAGAGAGATAAACTTATCAATTTTAAACATAAACTTACGTGAAAAATATTCAGAGTTAGTTCGCACAGAAAACAGGTTCTCGTGTACCACAGAGAAGTCTAAGAAGAAAACACAAAACTTTAAAGTTAGAAACACTAAACTATTTATTAAAGGAAAAATAAGTCTAAAGTAAAATGCTATTAGTTCTTATCACTTATCACTTCACTACCAATAAGTATTACTATTATATTATTTACAAATATATTTAGCCCTCTCATATATTGTGGTTCACTCAAATAGTAATACAAAGTTCTGTAATTTTATGATTAGCTCTCTAAATAATCATTATATGCATTATATACCATAAAACGATAGGTGGGCAAATTCATTTTGTTTTAATTGCCACCCCCTTTTTTTCTTAAGCTCATATGGAACACGGAAGAGTGTTCAAAATAAAATATTTAAAAAGAAATAAAATCAAATTTTAATAATAATAAATAACTTTTAACTTTTGAACTTACCTACTGCTTCAAATGTTTTCATGTCATAACATGTTGCATGTTCCGCTGACGTATGTCCTAACTGTCCTGTTATCAACAAATTATTAAACACGATTAATCACACCGCGAACAAAACAAATTATTTTATTTACAAAACATTAATATAAGATAAACATTTTAGTAATATTTAGTTTAGTTCTGATAGTTAAAAAAGATATGGACATACTTCACACAATTGGTGGACCGCTATTGTAGATGAGAAGTTGGAAAGGTAGATAGGAAACTTAATGTATATGTGTACGCATCGATTAACCATTGGTAAAAAAACCAATTCTGAGTAGAGTTCGGCTATATTGTTGCTTTGTAATGTATACAAATTAGTTCGTAATATTCACGAATTTCATCAAAATATGATATAAAAAATCTTATAAAAAGAAAAATTATTTATTTTTTTTTTTCTACCATAAATTACGACTTATAATGAACCTCTTGTTCAATTTTCTAGCATTTCTGTTTGGTCTAACAATTTTATCCACAAAGTACCAACCGAACAAAAATTATGTAAAGAAAACCATGTTTAATTTAAATTTCTCTAAATAGCTCATAAATGGCTATGTTTTGAAAATTATACAAATTTATAATAAATTTATAATGTATACAAATATTTTTATCTGAATTAAAACAAAACAAAACAAAAAATCGAAAACATAATATATTTCGTACATTTTCTCATTTTTTTCAGGTTTTTCCCATTTATTATGAAAACAGCTAGGAAAATCAAAAAAAATATGCAATTTTATCATTGTTTCCTTGAGTTTGTGAAATTTAAAACAAAGATTAAGCTTAAATAATTTAGGACACTGTAAAAGTTGAACCTTAAATATTAAGTCTTTTCAAAAAGGGAGAATTTCAAAGTTGGTATTTTTTTTACTCAATGACTCATCAAAATGAAAAGGCACTATAGTGCCTTTACATATATGTACAAGTATAAACGTGTACATGAGGCTTGTATCTCACGCGTAGTTTTGACTATTGCACCATGGCAACGTTCAATAAGTTCATTTTGTAAGCATTCACATATTAGCCGTTATGATTAGAACGAAAAACGCGCATAATTTGAAATAAATCAATGACAGTGTGATATAAAAAATACGTTCGTATGTTGTAATAATACGATCCTCCAACGTGTGCCACGTTGAAATTAGACATAAAGGTGTCATATAGTAAAGAGATAAATCTAAAAACTGTTTTTTTTTTTGAAAAACTTAAAGCCGTAACTGAAAAAATATTTGAGGGAGAGAGAAAATGTACAAGGTCCTGCTATTTATATTTCCTCCCTTTTCGATGAATATACAGGATGATAAATCTTCAATAAAACATTAAAGAGATAACGATCTTTGAAAGTATTAACTTTTTTTCGATCATTTAAGGAACAAGAATTTCTAAAATGTTATATTACTGTTAGTTTTTGTTGTCCTTCTTTTTAAATATAAAAGCATAGTTTAATTTTAATTTTTGAACTTTATCCCATATTAAAATTTCCATAAATAATTTCAATTTAAATACACGTTCGTGTTGACATTAAGAATTTTAGTCAAATTATTAATATCTACTATTCTCCCCCTATTTAAACTTAAAAGGGGAGTATCTCGTTTAATAATAATACATAGATAAAAGATTATTACAATTTAACATTTTAATCTTAATAAGTTATTATTAATGGGCTATGTGCAGCATACTACTAATTTACTTAGCAAAATAATTTGATTAAAAAATTTAATTTTTTTTAAATTTTTCTGTCCAAATTTCAAGTTTCTACGAATATTTTTAACTGAATTACAACAAAAAACAAAATTGAAAATATTAAAAAAATTAGGTATTTTTGTAAATTGTCCCGTTCTTTCTACTTTTCTTACTTTCTTACGGTTTTGCTGGAGAATGTCTTAAGTACATAATAAACTTGTTTCTAAACATTTTACAAGACAACATCTTAATCCCATCCTTATAGACTCAGCAGTGGTTCTCAACCAGTGAGTCATGTAAGGCCGATCCTACACTAGAAACGTATATCGTCCAATATATTGTCGGACGGCATACACAATCAATATTATCTCCTACAGTGAAAATAGATGTCCGACGTCGACCGACTGCAGCTACGCTCATTTTCCTACGCTTTTACGGAAACCAGTAATTTTGTTCTTTATTCTACTATTTACAATCGCTGTCATTAGTCAAGTGTTTGTTGAAGCGTTTAACAGTATATATTTAATTTAAAATTAGTGAATTCGAGGACGATCTTGCCCTTTGGTTTTTAACGAAAACAATTAGACCATTCAAACCAAAGAAATGACGGCGAATATTTTAGAACCTGTCTGCCTCTACATTATTTCTAAAAAGTTCTTTAATTATTTTACGATGAATATTGAGACTTTTGACTATATATTGGCGCCAGTTCAAGATGATATAAAGAAACAAAATAACTTTCAAGAATTTTTATCTATAGTGAAGAAACTTTCAATAATGTTGAGATGTTGAGGTAAGTTTAACTTTTTCTAATATAAATGGTTAAATTAATACAAGGCAAAGTATGATTGATTTTTCATTATATTTTTAGCTGATATTTTCTATAAAACAATTAAAAAAAAAAAAAAAAAGATAGTCATAAAATTTGAAAAATTTTAATTTAAAAAAAGGTGAAAATCTTTATATTTGATAATGAAGTACTGCTCTTCTAGTGTCGATGAAATAGATTTGATTGGTTTGATTGGATTGATAGTTTAAGGTGTTGAAATTTGTTGTGAAATTACCAGTTAAAACACTCGGTACAAAATTATTAACGCTAACCTGAAAAAGAAGATGGTGTCGCAAAATAGTTGTTGTTGACAGAAAGTGCCGGTGACATTATATATCTCGCTAGTTGCACTTGCTGTGTCTTGTTTTCCGAAGCTCTAGTTTATACATTCATTATTTCGCTCTTAACTCTCATTTTTTACAGAGAAGACAGCTCTTTCATGGGTGCAACTAAACTAAGAACAAAGTGGCTGTCTGCATTTTTCTCTTTTTTTCCGTTCAGTTAAGAACTGTCATCAGTCGTCTGTACTGTTCGTACAGTCACACTGTAAGGTTGTGCTCATCTTTTGTATTGCTTGCATTCCGTTCGAATTATTTGTATATATTCAGTATGACTTTCAATAGTGTTACCTGTTATATTTGCAATCTTACGTTTGCTGAACTTGATATTACTATTAAGTGTGATGGCTGTAAATTATTAACTCATAATAAGTGTTCGAATCTTACTAGTAATAAAATCAAATGTCTTGCTTAAAAGAATCGAAATTTAAAATACTTTTGTGAAGCATGCAATAGCAGTTTACGTGATATTCCTGAGTTAAGACAATTAATTAATCGTTTATTAGCTGAAGTTAATGAACTTTAAAATTGGATGAATAAAGTTGATGCAGAAATTCATTCTGAGGAGTTTATAATTGGAGAAGTCGACAAACACAATATCAGTGCATCCAATTTAATATTTTATAACGTCCCAAAGTCCAACTCAGATAACGAATTTGACCGAGTTACACATGACATTAATCTAGTGAATAAAATTATCCATTCAATTGTTAGTAGTAACAGTGTTACACCTTTTAAAATTATTCGTCTTGGTGTTCGTTCTCAAAATAATCATCGTCCAATTAAGACTATATTTAATACGCCAGATCATGTATTTGAAATATTGCCAATCAAAAAAAAATGTCTATTACAACCACCTTCCACTATTGGTATCAGTTCAGATCGCGCTATTCATCAGAGTAAATGTATGAAGAAACTTCATGATGAATTAGTCTCGTAAAATAAATGGGGAAAATGATTTAATCATTAAATACATAAAAGGGACTCTAATCATTGTATCCAAGAATACCCGTAGGTACCGGAAATTTTTTATAATTAATATTTTTTACCAAAATGTTCGTTGTCTTTTAATAAACATCCATCCGCAACTGAAAGATAAAAGCTTAAACTTTTTTGAAATACACAAAGAAGTACAAAAAACTGGTGTGGCTACTTTACACAAATATGTGAAAACAGATAATAAAAACGCAACAGAAGCATCATTCCTGCTAAGTTACAGAATCACTCATGATGGTAAACCACACACAATTGTAGAAGGTTTAACTAAACCATGTATGACAGAAATTGTCAGCTGCGTACTCGTTGAAGATGCAGTAAAAAAAGTTAAAGCAGTTCAGTGTTCCAACAACGTTATATCTGATCGAATTCATAAGATTTCAGACCACATTCCAGATGAATTAATTTGTAGATTGACGAACAGCAAGATATTTGCAATTAGATATAGAATACAATTAGACGAAAGTACAGATGTCATCGGGCTATCAATATTGCTTATTTTTGTGAAACATTCCTTCAGATGATCTATTGAAGAGGATTTGTTTCTCTGTGCACTTTTAGAAACCAACACAACTGGAGAAGAAATTTCTAAAGTTATTGATAGTTAAATGAGTAAGCACCATATTGAATGGAACAAATGTATTTACGTGTGCAGTGACGGAGCAGCAGCTATGATTGGCAAAATAAAAGGCACTGTAACAAGAATCAAGAGTGTTGCATCTAAATGTAGTCACTGCGTTTTACATCGCCGTGCCCTTGTCGCGATGAAAATGTCATACGAGCTTAAGACAGTTTTCGATCAGGCCATACAAATTATGAACTACGTTAAATCACGTCCACTACAGTCTAGGCTTTTTTAAAAAGTATGCGAAGATATAGGAAGTCAGCATCAATCACTTTTTCTTCACACGCAAGTGAGATGGCTCTCAAGAGAAAGAGTTTTATTAAGACTATTTGAATTGCGCAACGAGCTTAAGGTATTCTTCACCAAACAACCCGTGTCTGCATCTGTTAATAGGCTTTTTGAACTATTGCATGATGAGCAATGGTACTTGGCCGATATATTCGATAAACTCAACGTATAATAATATGCAAAACCTTACAGGGAAGAACCATGACTAAATTTACAGTAAATGATAAAATGTCTTCACTTGAAAACAAACTTGACCTTTGGATCGAATGTGTTGATCAACATAATTACGAATGTTTTACTATTTTAAATGACAATCTGAAAAAAATATGCTGCAAGTAACTTCAGATGTGGAAAAAAATACATATGAGCATTTGATAAACCTTAAAAAATCCTTGAAAGGGTATTTTTTGGAGAAATTACAGGACATGAACTGGTTGCAGAATCCATTCGCAAATTATACCAAACCATCAATGCTAACTGTGTCAGAGTATGAGAATTTGATTGATATTAAATGTTCATCTTCTCTTAAACAAAAATTCGAAGCAGAAGATTTCGGTCGAAATGATTTTTGGATTGAATTTATCGATGAATACCCTTCAATTGTTGAGAAGACTATTACAATTCTGCTTCCGTTTGTGACGACTTACCGATGTGAGACTGGTTTTTCAATTTACGCTTACACCAAAAGCAAGTATAGAAATAGACTGGATACAACTCCAAATCTTCGCATTCAATTGTCAGATATTATACCTAATTTTAGTGATATTTTAAGAAAATATGTGAACAAATTTCATTCTTCTCATTGCATTGATAAAACAGGTACTAATTATATTGTATTTCTTTTTATAGTAAATGTTTTTTAATACATAAAATAAGTGGTTTTTCATTTATATTTATTCTTTCTTTTCAAATCAGACATAAAAATATAAACACTACAAGGTAATAATTTTATGTTATCAAACTAGGGTTCCATGTCAAAAAAAAAATTGGTTATCGCTAGTCTAGTGTACATTGCACATTCGCTACTTGTGGCACTGATTAGTACTTGATAGTAATTAACACATTTGCAACATAGTTCAGATAATTGGGATTTAAATTTTTCTTAATGCTTATTTTACTTCTATTTTTTTATTTGATTATAGCTACATATCTTTGTCAAATGGTTATGTGTTGGCTCATATCATTTGACCCCAGATAACAAAAGATAGCAAAAAAATGTCTGACAAAATAATTCCAATTGAACCTAAAGCACAAATACTAGAAAATTCAATGGATTATGACTAGTCAAAATTATGTTACTTGTTTTAACATATTATATTTTGTGTTTATAGTTCACATACAGTTGATATTCCACAAATAACATAAATTATTCAAGAATGTGAAAACTATCACCTTAAAAAAGAAAATGAAGCTATGTAATTAAAGTTAAACCATTCAGCTATGAAAATTTTAATCAATACAACAAACTGTTTTAATCATATACTGGCTTACCTACTAATAAACTATTTCTTAGTTGAAAAATGCAAAAATTAATTACCATTTCCAGTAGAAAGTTGAGAATATATGTAGACAGGATCAAATTCTTTTAACTTTTATGTAGTTAAGACACAATTTTCCGCATTTCGATTTAGCTACACGATTTAAATGTAGTAATTGTACAATTACTAATATTTTAATAACTTGGATTAATGTTTAACATCATGCATTGTTCTTTAAGTTCATAAACAAAATTTCTTCTAGACACAAAAACCAAATATGTTTATCTAATTATTACAAATCTCTTATGAACAGCAGAATTATAATAGATTTTACAGAAATGTGCACTTAAGTATCAAGATAATCTGTAAATATACAAAAAGGTAGTTACAGCAGTTACAAGCATAAGTATGCTTGGAAAATTCTTTTGGGAATATCACCAACTGGGGTAGTTAAAATTGTAAATAACCTACTTCCAGGTTCTAAATCTGATAAAACAATGATATTACAAAGTGGGCTTTTAGATCAGTTGGTCCCTGGAGATTTTATTTTGGCTGATAAGGGTTATTTAATAAGAGATATATTACCGCCTGGAGTTTCTTTAAATTTCCCCCTTTTTTGGATACTCCTGAGTTTACTCCAGAACAATTGTTACAAACTTAAACCATAGCCAAATCAAGGATCCATATTGAAAGATCAAAACATTATCATTTATAATATTATATTAGTGTAGAAGTGTATATTATAATTATGATATGGCTATGTATTCTTCAATAACAAAGGGTATGTACTTCTTAATAAAACATTTTTCTAATATCTCGAGATTAACAAACCAGTCAGGATCCTTTTCTACTTCAGTAATTATTGTTTGACCATATTGTTTGGATGTCCAAATAACAAGGTAATATAACTTAAGGTTAACTAAATATAATTTAACTATCATTGAATTGTGTCCTTGGATCCGGTCCCAATAAAAGTGTTTTTTGTTAATATAAGTAACATCATTTTTTCTGTATATTATGTAACTGTAATCATTTTTAAGTTCCATATTATAATATATTGAATATTTAATACTTGTATAGAAACGATCAAAGTTACACAGGACAATTATCAGTTCCATCACAAACATTTCTATTATTTCTACTATTTCATATTAATTCAAAATATTAATTACGCGCGTCGCTCACATAGAGGCGCCCACGTAGCTACCGTGGCGAAATGGGAGTCGTTGGTGTGGAAGACCGCGAAAAGCTTAAATACGCCATACACATCACTAATCAAATCACTTCTCTGGGTGATCTCAGCAAAAGCAAACATTTTTTACTCACTCACTCCAACCATACTTTTTTCCAAACCTATACAGTAGTTACACATACCGACGGCGGGCAGCCGTATTTGGTTCTCCCTATCCTATATACCTAGTAATTTTGCTTGTTGACTCTCTTGTTTTACTACAGACTGTTTTTATTTCTTCGAAAAAATATACATAATATGCCGGTACGTAGACGACTAAACACATCTCGTTAATCGATTGCGAATATAGAACGGACGTGATCGTGGTGCCGACGTCTAACTCATTCACCTCCATGAGATGATTGTCTGTACGCTTAGGAAGAGCGGTAGAGAAAATACAATACTTGCTACACTAGCATTGTCTATAAACCTAATTGCCGCATTGTGAACCGAAAACAAAAGAATATTCACACGTTTATTGAGTATCTATCGAGGTGTATACATTGCGACCTCATCGATACCTATACCTCTTATATCTTGTTCCTAATATTTTGAGCAACGAACTTCAAGCAGAAAACATAAGGTAAGTGTTAACCTTACACATTCTCGTAGTAAGAAATTGATTAGGGAAAGTAGATATAGGAATACAATACCCTTTTTTCCAGTTTACAGTAAGTGTTAAAACTATCATTAATAGGTATAGTGCATACGATTAAAGGTACGATAAAATCCATGTAATATACTATAGAAAGACATCTCAATACACACACAATGAGTGTGTTTTGTATTACAGTTCTATAACGTAATCCTATACCTATTCTCTTTTAACCTTTACCTAAAGCCTTCACCTTATTTCCCCATTATCCATTACACCATACCCCTCTATTTTAACTACTTTTCGTCTTTTCTTTTACTTTTTCTTTTCTACTACAGTATTTAATGTTTTATTTCTGTATTTCCATGGACATTTTATCTCAACAAAAAAATTTGAATTTATTAAGCCATCTGGAGATGCTCCCAAAAATCCATTGTTTGATAACCACAACCCAGTTGATACAATATTTACATTTTGTTCTTTTTCAAAAACTTTAATAACTGATATTTCATTTGTTCAACCCCACTGAATAGCATGAACCCTATTTAAATTAATTTCATTCTTAGATAAAAATCTAGAAGATAAATTTATTATGTAAAGTATAATGATATAAACAATATGATATATATCATAATTTCAATATTGGTCAACTAGTTATATCATAATATTATATTATATAACATTAATATTATCTACATTACATTATATTATAATGGACACCACTTTGTTTTATCAGTTTGTAAGTCAATTTAGATTAATACAAAATAGTATGTATAACAGTTAAATATTTCAACAAAATAATAAGACATAATAATGAGAACCGGACAACAGCACTCTACTCTTTTCCACTTTCTTTCTAATAAAAGACTCCTCGATTCATTCGGCCACCGGATCCTTGACGACTCGTCATCTTTTTCGTCTTCCCGCGAGTGCGTGTTGTTCCGGCTTCTAACATTCCGACATCATCATTTTTAACTAAATCAAGTGTTTATTTTATCATTCCTACTACCTGTTCTCATCAACATGATAAATAAATATAATTATACCGGTATTTAAAATCAACATTGTTGCTAAGGATACTCCGTTCAGGATAGGTAAGTATATTATTATTACCCTTCATAGTTTATATTTTATATTAATAGTTTCCTACCGTCGTAAGCTGTAATAAGTAATCTAAATGGTTAGTGGGTATACTTTATTATAAAGGATTACTTTTGTTTCAGATCCTACACCCCAACTTTAAAGTTATAAAAAGTTTAAGATCAAATAAAATTGTATTTGTCAGCCTATCTAGAAGAATAACCGTTTTATTTAAAAAAAAATTTAAGTGAATTTCATTTGTAAATATTTGAAATTCTTGTGAAGTCATCTGAACAGTTGCCAAAGGGTGAACAAAGGTATAATTTTTTTTTTTTTTTTAGAGTAGATCAATAATTTAAATGAAGTACACTGTATATTAATTATAATACACAAAACGGTAATATGCATTAGTCTTATATATAATAACATATTATTGTTTTAATTTTAGTGTATAGGTACCTAAATATTGAAAGAGATCTGCAAACTTAGAGAAAATTAAATCTATAGATAACAACTTTTAGAGGTACACAGGTACACAACCAAATTATAAGATAGGGATCGTGGTTTATTTTTGAAATTAATTTAATGAATTTAATGATCTAATATACACTTGTTTGAACATACAGTATATACTATAAAAAATTAATATTTATCAGTTTATCACTATTGGATGATAAGCATTCTCATTCAAAAATCAATGCTAAAAACTAGATGACCAAACCGGTAGTCAAACCCGAGTCGTAATAACGTATATCAAGTTTTTTCAAAACTGATATTTTCAGAGAAAAATATCTATAATGTCTGAAATGTGAGAAAAATGTTGAAAAGTCGAGTTATCCACTAATATATTGGTAAATTTCATTATAAATTTACGATAGTTTATGATTTTAAATATCGAATTGGTTATCGGTTTTACACATCGGTAGCAAATATCAGAATATCGCTTGTCCTTTGTTTAGTCTAATTTAGTAAACATGGGTATAGTTTTCTCTTAAAGTATTTATCCGTTTGTACTTACCAGCATCAGCATCATTTACGATGGTCGCGAGCATGCATATCTGCAAATTATGTAACCCGAAAATGATAAACACTATTATTGACATAAACATTTTACAAAAGACTGCGTTCGTAGGTTTAATGTGATGGTCGTTCAGAAAAAAAAATTGTAATATTTTTTAAAATCACTTTTGCTTTGGTATGACTTGTAGAAATTTGAAGACCGGCTGTAATCAACTGAACAGGTCGCAATACGACACGTCGACGACTAGTATACCAATAGTTGCTTCATGAACACCAGCAGAAATACTCTAATCGGTAGAGGTTAACATTTTAAAGAGTGGGGATGGCAGTCTACAGAATTACATACAGGTGGTATTGCCATATCGACTGTTAAGGTACGGTTTCCAAGGCCCGACCGGTCGCCGTCCGACTGTTAGATACGTCTGAATACCGGTTTGAATACACCAAATTATTCAGGGAACCCAAAAATCATTAAAGAATATAACGTTGTTCTACATTTATTAACTAATAATAAAATAATAAAGTAGAATAAAATTATTAAAATTGTTAAGACTCGTAAATAAATATATAAATAAAAAATGTATATACATATAAATAAAATTAATGAATGCGTCGTCTTGTGATAAGTGTATTATACGAGCGGTTTCGAAATAAAAATTCATCATCAGGTATATCACAGTCAAAATGTAAAACGTGACTAAATATAAAAAAATTAAATGAAGAAATACATAGAAAAAAAATTGTACAAATTGGTCGTTTTGCACCAAACTGATAGTGTTGTAAAACATAACTCACCAAATAATGCTGTTAACTATTGTTAAATATCAAAATAATATGTCTAACAAATTCGCTAAAATTCTAAACAATAATAAAAATAATGTAAAAATCGCTTGTAAGACTAATAACAATATAATCAAACATATAAACAATTAAACTTGAACAATTGAACAAACTTCACAAAAAATCCCCTTTCTTTTGAAAATGCTGGTACATATAAACTTAAATGTAACTAGTACATTTTATATAGATGAGATAAATAGAAATTTTAATATACGAGATAAGATAATATAAAGAACACATTTTTGAAATAAAATTAAAAAGACTGCCCCTAATTCAAATTTCGTTAAACGTGTTTTAGAAAATAATCATAATATAAGTTTTAATATTAATACAGACTTAGAAATATTAAATACCCTAAATGACATTAATACATTAATTACGTTTTAGAAGAATTACACATACACAATGAAATAAAAAAAAAATGATTTTAATAATATTTTAAATGCACAAACCGTTTTTAAAAATAATATCTTATAACAATACATTTTAGATAAAAATAAATAACCAAATAATTTATATTTCTTAATATATCTGTGTCTAACAATAACCCATTTTAAATAATCTTTTCTATCAACAGAAATTATTTCTATGTAAAACGACCAAATTGTATAATTTTTTTTTTTCTTTGTATTCCTTCATTTAATATTTTTATTCAGTCACTTTTTACATTTTAACTGTGATATACCTGATTATGAATTTTTAATTCGAAATGTATTATAATACACTTATCATAATACTCCAGGGGACGCATTTATTAATTAATTTATTTTTTATTTGTATACAAACATTTTTTATTTATATATTTATTTATTATATTTATTAACCATCTTTTGTTAGTTTTAATTATATCAAATATGTATTATTGTATAATAATAATATGTAAAAATTAGTTTTTGAAGCTTATGTCATACATACGATCTATTTTAAAAACATACAAAGGAGCGCTTACGCTAAACTATTAAATTTTGATTTTTTTTTTAACCTACGATATCATGTGATAATAGTTTAGAGCAATTGTAAGTAAACAATTGTTGTGCCAAGATTTAAATTAAAAAACGGAAACATTTTTCTTAATAAAAGAAAAGTAGGTATAACATTAAGTAAGTACCTACATTTATTTTATGAAAACTTAATTTGTGTTACATAGTTAGTTTTCATTCAGTCCACTTGACTAGATAGTAAATAATTATAAATTTATAGTTCAAATAAAAATAACAATAGTGTATTGATAAATGATAACAAAAGAATATAATACTGTTTAATTAAAAAGCGAAAACACCTTTTCATACATAAAATAATCACCTGTACATGAACACATAATAATATTATAATTTTATTAATATTTCATTGTTAGTTTCTATTCAATCTTTTTGACTAGTTAATAATTATAAAATTATACTTTAAATAAAAATAAAAATATTGGATCAATAAAAATGACCTAGGAACATAATAATTACTTATAGTCTTCACTCATCAAGAAAATCAGGATCTTCAATATCGGACAATCTATAATCGTCTCACTATATTTCATACACTATGCATAAAATCTGTTAATTAATAATATTATAATAATTATATACATTTCTTAAATATATATAATATATTATTTAAAATTATCATACTTTTCTGCAGGCCCTGATTTACGCATGTACACGTGGTGCATCAACATAGGGCCTACAGATCCCGGAGGCCACTTCCCACTCTATAAAAGAAAAAATAATACACTTTTATATTTTATAGCAGGGGTTGGGAAGCGGCGGTTCTATAATATGCAATGTATAACTCTTTAAAAATTTATCAAATTTTAAAACGTATATTTATGTTTTTAATGCCTATCAATTTTCAATGAAATTGCTTAGTAAAATATATTAGTCATTTTTTGTACTATGGTATGTATTTTTTATCTTAACCATTACGGCTCTTTGAAAAATATGGCTTTGAAATTTTTATTAAAAATGGCTCATTTATACGACCCTGTTTTATAGTATACTCTATATTTTTGGTAGATATTATATGATTTATAAGTGTTTAATAAGTAAGTAATTATTATGTATTAGAATGTTAACATTTTTAATTTAATTATATTATTTATTTATTTATTTATTATGTATATATTATATTTTCCACTTAAATATATAAAAATTCGAATACGTTTTTCTTTAACTAAAAAAAAACTAAATAAATTCTTTATCTTTTTCGAGACTCGGGTTTGAATTTATGACCCCTAGGATGACAATAGGTGTCTATAATCATTAGACTGTGACGAGCATACTATTAAGGAGAAAATATAGAGTTATTTAACATAACATATAATATCTGCAGATAATTATAACTTCAAATAGCTATAATTTCGAAACTATGTCAGTCCACTCAATTCTTACCTCACCATCGTTCTTAAATCAGCAATATACATATGTTCAAAACAAAAAATTGAAAAATTTGATTTGTTCCACATAATTTTTTACTCAAAAGATTTTCGTCAAAATTTGATATTTCAAGTACATAAAATCGATATAAATACTTTTCACTGAATTTCAACAAAAATATTAAAAAATGTATAAAAACCCTAAAAATGGCTCAAATATTTTTTAAAATTTGACCGTGTCTAGAAAAAGCAAATAAAAAAATTTTTCGTAATTTTCCCGTTTTCTTACGTTTTATCTTGGTTTTTCCTAGATATAATGAAAACCACTTCGAAAATCAAAAAAATTACCATCTGGGCAATATTTCCTTTTAAAAATGATGCCCACGTAAATATCAGAGCAAGATTTCTTGTAGATTTTTTGTACACAATATAAAAAAATAAACATCTTTGTAAAACCAATAAATTCTTCTCGACACTCAGAATCTAAAAAAATAATTATTATAGTGTAGTTTTAATTTATTTGTGTGTACAATTTTTCTATTATTTCTAGAATGACTAACTTTCATAACTAAAGAAAAGGTACATGAATAATGGATTGATATAAAAAAGACTTTTTAAGTGGTGATGTTTGAACCTCAATTATTCGGAAAGACATTTATATTAGCAGGTCATGGACAAGTTTTCAAAGTATTATAGAATGATTTATATTTAATATTCTTAAGATTTCCAAAGATGAAAATAAAAATAAAAATCATCAATTTTTTGAATCATTTCCATACAGGATACATTTTTTACTTCAACTCTATGTCTTACATAATATATAATACCAATACATTTTAAATGGAAATCTTTACTTAGTTACAGGGGGATGAATGAATTATCCTATGAAGCTTAAATTGGGCTTATAATTTTTTTTTAAAATTGTTTGAAATATTAAATTGTCATAAAAACAATTTTGCCATCATCAAAATAAGAACCACTCTTATATATATATATATATAAATGTATGTGATTATACACAAAGTATCAAATTATCCTATTGAAAATAATATCAAAATAACCATCCTATTTTAGAAATAAAATATACATAAATTAAAATATAGGTGGATATATAAACCATAATCCATTCTTAATATTAGATAATTAATATGTTAGAATGAACACTATTACTGTGTATTTAATATTTATTTGTATATGTCTCAAATTGTATCAAATTTATGTTGGTTTGAACATATTGTTAGCATAGGTTTAAGTATATCAGAATATAAGTAATGAGTGGTATCCAATTATTCCTACAAAATTATATAATGCAAATCTAATTTAAGCAGCAAGTAAGCTTCCTCCACCATTTTGATGATTTAGGCATATCCAGTGTTGCTGATGAAAAAGAATCATCCTCTTCACCACTTAGAGAACCTAAAAAAATTCAAAAATGTCATTATAATAATTAAAACTAACATTAAATAATATATATGTATAATTGTTTTTGATGTAAACAGCAGAATGATGATTAACAAAGATATTAGGATACAGGACAAATTGTTGATACCTGACTGTATCCTATTTAGGTATTTATATAAGATAAACTAAATAAAACAATATACCTAGTTTTTAAATATTTGTTTTCAATACATATAAATATTTAAAATTCAAAATAACATACAAATAATTAAGATAAAAATGTTAAACATTCAAAATTTTAAGTTTTTTATTTTCTCACATTTAAATATTTAATGTAGGTAAAGTCTAAATGTAGATTTACAAATTAAGTACCTACAGCAAGTTTTAATTACAAAAAGGATTACAGTTTTGAAATTTATAGAAAAATTAAAATAATATTACTAAGACTAAGAATTTTAATTAGCCATTTATAAATGATATTTAAATTATAAAATAATGAACTATAAAAAAAAGTATCAAAAATGAAAATGTGCTAAGAAATATATCATTTAACACAATCTAGTCTGTTAATAAAGTTCTGTTCCTCAATGTATGAAATATTAATAATATTACAAACTACTTTAATATAGTATCAAGAAAACTTTTCCCCTACTTTTAATTCCATTGTACAAGATTTAGAATAGTTATTAACTTAGTAAGTTTGTAAGTTTCGTTTTTGATAAAATATTTAATAAATATACACTTTGGACAAAAAATATATATTTTTTTTTTAATTTCATCATTTGGGTATAGGCTGACAACATTATACATAAGGGAGTCTATTCAGTAGTGCCAAATACGGGGTTTATGCCAAATTTTTGAGGTGGTAGTGGTGGTAGTGGTAGTAGCCACTTTAGTGGTTCTAGATAACATTATGCAAAAATTTGTATGGATATATTTTTATTTTATAACGTAATAATTAGGGCTCAGAACTTATTGCACAAAAAAGCGCTTAAAAATATTAAAAAAGGCCTTGAAAAAAAGGACTTTGTACAAATATTATTGGACCAAATAGTAGAAGGGTTTAAATTATCCCTATCTATCGACTCTAAATCATTAACATTAATTTTCTAACACGACAAAAATTATTAACAAAACATTTTTTTGTTTAAATAAAATTATATGTATTTAAAAAAAAATAACTTTGGGTCACCTTTAATTTTTTAGTGTTAGACAATTGTATTAGATATGTTAAAGCTGTTAGAGTAGAAAATTTAAATCCTTCTCCTGGTTTTTGCTTTTTTTAAATATTTTTCAAGTGTTTTTTTTAGAGATTTTTTGATGGTTTTAAATGCAATAAGGTTCCGAGACCTGGACTGTTAATCAATTAATTCAGTAAGCTTTTTAAAATAAATGAAACTGTTTAGAAAAAACCTCTTTAATTCACCGACTTGATAAAATTTACTTTTAGAAAAGGTAATATACTTTATACATCGCGGAGCAAGATTTGTTTTTGACAAGTTGTTTCCAGACAGAAGAAAAAATACACACAGTATAGTTAAACCAATAAAACTCTCACTTTGCTCGGCATTTAAAATAAATATACTAAATTATTTAGTTAATAAATTCTGAGTGTAGCGAAGAATGTATAGGTTTTATAAAGATATTTCTTTTTTATACTATGTACGGGAGTTCATTTTTTGAGCAGGAGTTTTCCCAATAATTGTGAATAATTTATATCAAATAAATGAAGAAAAAACTGAAAATGTACGAATGCATGAATAATATTGGTTAACTAAATTAAGGTATAAATTAAGGTACTAAATAATTTGGTAACTAAATGTTGGTACCTACACAGTTATTTTATAGATTATCTTTTAGTAATAATATTTTATCAAATAAATGTTAATTATTTAAGACATCTAAAGACATAAATGCTAAGTGTTGAATAGTGAATATATTTTATATTACCTATATATTTCTAAATAATATTAATTGTATCTAATTACTGTTAAAAAAATTCCCATAAATGGTATTGTTGACCAGCAATGTTAAATAATTCTGTATCCAAGAATATTTAAATCATATTACTTACTTAAATACAAAGAAGAATTGTTTGATCTAGTATCCTCTTGTTTGATATTTATACAATAGCTATTGTCATCGCTCCAATCGCTAAAGCTATTATTTGCCTCTGATTGATATAAATTTAAGCATAAAAAAAAAAAACTTAATGTTGTATTAAGATACCTAAGAAAATAAAGTTTCAAGTCAACTTACAGACCTAAGAAATTGTCTAGATTACTTAAGGATGTATTATTTGGTATATTAGGTACTTTTTGGTATATTTTTGAATCAACTTCTTCCTCAGAATCAGTAGTATTTTGTAAAACAGGGATGCTATTATTATCACTCCAATTTTCAAATTCGAATCCATAAAATGCCTCTGCTTGATAAAATGTATGCAAAATAAAAAATAATGTACTTTAATTTTGACTAAATCACTTGAGAAGATATAGATCTAACATATCTACATGATGGATCACAATTTAAATTACCCAATGAAATGCTTTCAGGCATATTAGCGACATTCAAATGTATTTCTGAATCAGAATTAATTAAATTAAGATCTTCTGTAATAAAAAAAATACAAATAACAATATTAATAATTAGTCCTTGAGCTAATATAATTTTTACTTTACAGTAAGAAGTATTTTATTGTTGAAATATATTTATTGTTGATTTACGGTTTAAAATAAATTGCAAAATACAAATTACTATTATTATTGTTTACTTAAATAAATAATACAATTTCTAATATTGTCAGTAATACCTCATAAATCCAAAAAAATTGAAAATGTACATACAATTACTAGAGGTTCAGAACGATGATGTTATTGTGAATGACAATATTATTATTATCAATGGTATTAACATGAATGATGATATTTTTACTACAAATGAAGTTTTATCTGAAAATTGGAAAAGATACTATAATAATTTATTGTGTAGGAAAGGTGAAGATTATTTGGGTTACAGACAAATAAACATATTTTTCATAATATAAACAAAAAACTAGAAATATGGATCTTACTTGTATCTCATATGAGAAATTGTTTTAAAAAAATGTATCATAGATTTTCTAATATAAAGACAGATTAAAATATATATTTAACTATTAATGGTCTACTTTAAGTTGGAATCAAAAGAAAATATGTTAGTTAATATTATGTTAGGGGAAAAAGTCCCTGTAAAACAAATAAAAACTGAAGCATCAATTTTTAAAGCACTTATACACTTTTCAATTTTTTTAACTCATTAGTGTCCCCATTAAATGTCTATAAAAAATATTTTTAAATACTCTTAGTTAGGAGGAAAATCAAGTGCACAATTAGTGTATCTACCATTAGTGTATTACAAATCTACCAAAAGACCTCAAGATACAAAAACAAGGTCTCTTAAAAACAATTCTGGTCAAAAAGAATTTAAAGTTTTTCTAAATAAACTACTAAAATTAAAATTTCATTACTGCAGAAAGTTTACTTCAAGACTATTTAGAACCACAAGTACCACCCAAGTCACAGCTGTATACAATGTATATTGATGAAGGTAAAATAAATGAAAAAATACCTGTGTCAAGAAAATATATCAATGATACTTTTGAGGAAAATAATCTTTCCTTGTTTTCATCCAAAAAAGATCAATATGATCAATGCTGTAGTCATAAAATAGGTTACATTAGTTACTAAACAACTAAAAATCCATACTATGTGTACACAATTTTACAATGTACAATCTTGGAACACATGAGTGTATGTTATTGATGGAATAAAACTCAGTGTACCTTAACTGCTTCTGTCCTTAAAAGTTGTATTATTGACCAATTAACTTTATGTTATAACAATAATCCAAATGAGAATATAATATTATAGAGTGATGGGTGCTGGAGTTACACATAAAATAATCATTGAACATAAATATCTAACCAAAGGCCGCACACAAATAGAGTGAAATACAAATATTCATCTACTATCTAACTACAAAAAAATAACCAACTCTGTAAGGCCTACACCATTTCCATGTAAAATAAAAGATTGTTATATTTCCTTTCTTTTAAATTATCAGAAAAATATTAACAGATATGATAATATGGGACCAGAAAAAAACTACTAGTGAATCAACAGTTACTTTAACTAAAGTTCTCTGTTATAATAGCACGATTGAAAACTTTGATGATGATCTGGCCATTGTTATCTATTATTCTTAAACAATTCTATGAGTCTTCGATAAAAGTTCCCAAATTAAACTAACAAGATCTACAGTAACTTAAGGCAGTATTGCCAAAAGATTGGCATGCATCCTTTGTCAAAATAAAATATACACTACCTAATACTTCTTATATCATCTATATTTATGAAACTACAAAACAATACCTCCTAAGTCATAAGTAAAATAAACTATAATTTATATCATCCAGATTATTTTGATATATTTGTAGTAAAATCAGAAAAAGATTGATTTTATAAACATATTCATGTTTCCTGAAAAAAATTAATTTAGGACTTGTAAGGTATTTCAATATCATCGATAATATTATTTTCTATAGCTACTAGTTATGGTTTATTTAATAAACATTAACTAATTTAACAGTGGAATATTATGGAGTGGCAATGCCTTGGGTTCCTAGACTTAATTGGAGAGTTCTTAAAAGAGCACTTGTAAATACAATTTGTATAATAAATAATTTTGAATTTTGTTTTGAAATTCAAAATACAGGGTATTCTACAATATTAAAATGCTCATAACTCTCCCAATGTTAGTTTTTTTTTTGTACATTTTGTATTAAGGGCGCAAATATAGAGAAACATAAAATTTGTATGCTACCAAATCTCATTAACTTTTAAGGAATTGTTATTTGGAAAACATCATCGAACACAAAAACAATGTGTATATGTATAGTTTTACATATTTGATAAAATAGTGATTTAGGGATGAAAATAAAAATTGAATTTTTCTCTACATTTGTGTCCCTCTGACACAAAACCTAATAAAATAAGAAATGAATATTGACAGCTTTATTAGCATTTAGACAACACAGTAGGACACTATTACTGTATTCTGTTTTAAAGACTATAGTGCAAAAACAATGAAAATGGAGACTGATTTATTAATATGATGTGTAAATTGAATAGAACAGATACAATTGAATTTGTACTATAATAATCTATTATATTTTATCAAATATATAAATATATATAGACAGATAGGTATTAAATGTTTATTTACATATTGTCTTTGTGTTCCATGAGGTTTTCCAAATAATCATTTCTTAATACTATCAACCCTTATTTATAGTTGTGAACGATAACCTACTTTAGATTTTCTAATGAAAACCTATATTAAAAATGTTATAAATAAATGGAATATTAGTTTAAATAAATTTGAGTGTTAAAATATTTTATTTTTGTTCAACCTGTTGACATGATATTCCACTTTTAAGTTTGGTAGGGGAGAGTAATTGAACATCATTACCAAACATGCTCTACTACTTCCCCCTATCTAAACAGAGCTGCTTGTTTCTTGAATTGTTGAAAAAAATTTGAAAAAAATTAATTCTTAACAAAATAATGAGTATACTTATAGTATTGAGTCCATTCACATGGTTTACTAGGTATAGGTATAGACTTTTTAATACTTTCTGTATTTATTACCTCCCTGATTCATTTCATCCAGTATAGATATTTTAGGCACAGTAAATTCATATGCATCACCAATAATAGTGTGGAATGTCTTTAACAATGGATATCCAGACTTATCTCTTTCAATATTGTCCTACAACAGAATAGGAAAATTCAAAACGTATAATGCATTACATATATTACTTAGAAAATAAAATAAAATAAAAATGAATCTAATATGGAAATTAGTAGAGAGATTAAATTAATTAATCTAGTCTCTTTGGATATTAACCTCCTTAACTATTAATTTGTTTCCATTTATTTCAAAATCATTCATCTTGTCAATTGCCATTTGAGCAGACTCTACTCTGATAAATTCAACTGTGATACAACCTAGAAATATATCTTTAGGATCTTTGTAATAAACTACAGATAATACATCACCAACTAAAACAAAATACAACAAATATTGTCAAACACACAAATAATATTTAAAAATTATATATTCAAATTAAACCACTATTTATTGCATGTATCAAAATAGAAAGGTACTACATACATTATAACAACAAAAATTATTGTTATAATAAATAAATATTATATTAAATAATGTTTATACCTTCTTTTTTAAATAGCTCTTCCAACTCCTCCAATTTAAATTCATACGGTACATTGGAGACAAATATTTTTTTATTTTCATTTTTCATAGATTTGAATGAACTCATTTTAGCTGCAATAAATTACAAAATAATTAATTATATAGGTAATTTTAATCATATTAATGTTTAATAATACATAGTTAATAAATACAGGTATATAAGTATATTTTATAGAATTTGTTTGTAAAACTAAAATGATTACCTTACTAAAACAATATAAACTATATGAAACATAAACCTATAAATGTTATGTTTCATATAGTTTATAAAACAAGTAAGTTAAGAATTCAAATTGAAAAAATAGTAGGTTATCAGTAATCTTACTAAATTTAAAAAAAAAAAATTTTATTCTTTTGGAGGTTAATTAAATTGGTTGCTCAAAAATATAACAATCAAATGAATGTACAATTTTAAAAATATGAAGAAAAATGTAGTTCAAAGGGTATATAATAATATGTTATTTGTATTTAAGGCCAGCATCAATTAAAAAAATTAATATATTCCAGTTATATTGGCCAAGGTATCTGATGATGATTTTTTTTAAATCTAATATTTTTTTAAATATTCCCAACCTTTGGGAGGCAAAATTTGTCTTCATATTTTTTAATTTGATACCTATGTAGGTATCTGGAGGTACCTATATCAATATATTTTTTTATATTTATTTGTTTATTAATAAATAACTCACCTACAGTAATTACAATAATTAGGGTACCTACGTATGTAGTTAGTGATGTAAAATAATAATGAGCTTGTACTAATCAGTTTTTGACCGTTTGAAAAATTGTTTGTAAAAATTGGAATTTCGCATGCACAACTATAAGAGATATAACGTAATATGCAAAATAAAAGTGTATACAACAAGTAGAATGATACTTATATCCTGAGAAATAAATCCCTTGCCTTATCACGGACATTCATTTCGGTGGGAAACAAAGTACGTGATATAAGAAACGTAATGCGTAGATGACCATATGTTTATTGCATAACAGGTTTGTATTGGACAAAGGGACAACACCGAAGGAAAAATCCAGTTGGTTATTTGTAATAACCCAAAATTATTCATGTAGGCAACCTTTTTACTCACGCGAGCCATATTTTTTATCATCTTTTCATTTAGGGTATACAACATTAAAATAAACGTTAATAAAAATAAAATTTTAACGTATAATACTAATATATTTATGAATAGCAACAATTATATTATGAGTAACACATTACGAGGTTGTCCTTATTAAATAATTTTGAATTAAATTCATTAGCAGAGACAATTTAAAAACTATTATTAATTAATTCTTAAGTGCAAAAGGATATAAATATTTAATTTCTAATGTGATTTTTGAGGTTGACATTTTTCCGCTAATTCGTTTATATCCGCTTTCATATTGGATGTTAATATTTTTAGAACTGCATTCACGTGCTCATCGCTTAATCATGAACAATGCTTATTTTTTCGAAATTTAAATATTGAAAATGTCTACTCAAAAATATAAGTACTACCGAAAGCAATAATAAATTTTTTAGCAAAACTTTTCATACGTTTAAAATTTATTTCAGAAAGACTTGAATAAAATATTTTTAGGTGATTATGTTCTTTAAAAGCAGTTTTATATTTTTTTTATTGATAAATAAGCCTCGACATCTATGGTCATTGGCATACAAAGTGTTTTAAAGGTTCACATTTTTTTTTTTTTTTTTTAATTGCATTATGTACATATAAAATTTACAAATTATAAACGATTGATTATATTGGTTTTAATTATAAAGGTAAGCATATGTTTTATGTTGTTTGGGTAAAGAGTTTCTGTCAGAATTTTTGATACACCTGATTCCCGTTTAGTCGTTTCAAATGAAAAGCATTCGGTTACGGCTACAACACGTTTGAGCATTTTTACCCACATTGCGAATCTTTTGGGCACAAAATCACAACACGTTTAGGCACTATAGTTTATAGGTATGTTATATAGTATATAGTTAATAAATATATGCATATACTCGTATATTATATGTAAAGAATAATACATAATAAAGTAAAAACAAAATTATTAAATGGTTAATACTCGTAAATAAATGTAGTACACTTATCGTAATACTCTAGGCGATGCATTCATTCATTTATTAATTTTTTTTTATTTACTATAAATAAAGGTTTTTATAAAAAAATACTAATGCAAAATTTTACTATCTACACCCTAACATACACCATATAGTAGACGTTTTGATTAACGTTCAGGTAGATAATGCACTAAACAAAAATAGTGTAAACAAAAATCAATTCAATTACATTAGAAAAGAGTCTGCACCTACTTAAAACTAAATGCATAGCTGATAACTGAAATGTCTGAAAGGAGCATAATATATTAAAATCAAGGAAATAAAATATTAATATTAATTATATATATTATACATACTAATTATTTGATTTAACACGAGTATATAGGTACTCTCGTATTTTATTTAACTATATAGATATACTATTTTGGATTATACAAGAACTAAATTATGGATATTATTAAAACTTCATGAAAATTTAACATTTTTTTACAGACTATAACAAATTGATTCGTTAGCCACGAGTTACTGACTCATGACTCAAACTCGTGGCTCTCAGAACTTTTATTTGCGGCCCTCCAATATATATTATAGTGTTTAAAATTTGAATTTTATATCTTAAATTGTAATAAATAAAATCGAATCATAACTATAATATTTTTATAAATATAAGCTATGAGCTTGTCTCATATTGTTCTCAAGATATTTTACGAAATGAAATAAATATTTTGATCAGAAAAGGATAAAAATGTACCAGAATTATCAAATGAAAAGTGAATTCTTAATCTTGAGTTTTTAACTAATGTAACAATTTTATTGAATGTACTGAATACGAAACTATAAAATAAAGACTAATTATTGTTAGATATGTATTCAGATATAAAATCATTTCAAGTGAAATTAATATTATTACACAAACATATTAACGAACAACGATTGGATCATTTCGTATGTTGTAAATTTATGTTAGAAACACCCAAACAACTTTATATTGGGAAACTATACAAATTAATTTTTTAAATAAAATTGAAAACCTGAAAAATTAATTTTCAAAGCGATTTTCTGATTTTTACGTATAAGAGAAAAAAATTAAGTTAATTTAAAATCCTTTTTCCTGTTGACATTGGCGATTACAGTTAGAAGTCATAGAATGGCAAAACAACGATGTTCCAAAAACTGTTTTTACAGTACGTATGTTAAACGGTGCATCCTCATCGGAGTAAATTTGTGTTCGCATTGTATTTTTAATTTCATGCGTCAAAAATTAGACAAGTTTTAACCGGGCGAGACATGCTTGTGCGCTGCGTTTGTGTTTGTGACGCACAACGCACACAATCCGACCGATTGTCAGTCTTCCGGTCATGATCAAAGAAATTTGTGTTTTGTGACGCTCAATTTGGACGACTTTATTTCATCACGCACATTTTATTACACAGGCATTTTTTTCAAATTTTATGAGAAAACTCTTAAGAAAATCGGAAATTGATCTTAAAGTTCTTCTTCACGCCGATTTCCTTTCAAAAGAGGTACTACACGTAGAAATCCGAGCAAGTCTTCTGGCAAAACAGCTACACACAGACAAAAAAAATAAATAAACATCTTTATAAACCTTTATTTTTGTAAAACTATAAGTTTCTTCACTCCACTCAGAATCTAAAATATAAATAGCTATAGAAATCACATTAAATTACAATTTTAATATTTTTACATTTTTTCCTAAGGCAATTTTTTATTCAACACTAAAACTTATGAGCGTATTTATAATGGGGGGGGGAGTTAGTGGCCTGCAGCCCCTCTCCAATTTTTAAGAAAATCTAAAAATTATTTAGAACCGAAATGTTTACCAATGTTTACAATTGTTGAAAAAACTCCTGAGAAAATCGAAAAATTACCTCTTTAAAGTACCTTCACAGTCAAATTTCTTTTCAGAAAAAGTGCTACCATTATGAATTAAAGGAAAATTGCTGGTAAAAATGGTTTTCACAGAAAAAAAGAAGGTCGTAATATTTTTTAACTAATACCTATACATTTCGTACATTTTCCCATTTTTTTCCAATTTGTTCAATATATTGTAAAAACTCCTAAGAAAATCAAAAAATGACCCATTGAAAGTACATCCCTAGTCAAATTTCCTTTCAGAAAAAATACTATCGTTGTAAATCGGAAAAAAATTGCTTGTAGAAAAGTTGTTCACAGGAAAAAAAATAAACATCTTTGTTAAACCATAAGCTTATTCGCTCCACTCAGAATCTAAAATAATATTATAAAGTTGTCCTTACTGAACGCAAATTTCCTATATCGTACGATTGTAAGTAAGAGACTACACAGAAATTTCACTTACAATTTTATGATGGGAGACAGATGCTTTAAATGTATATAGTTTAGATCTTAATCCAACAAATTCAGTCATAATTTGACCATTAAGTTCATCTTTAAATTTACTTTAAATTAAAGGTTATATTTTTTTAACTAAAGTTAAATTTTAGATTTAAATTTCTTTTTTTCAAATTCTTTTTTTAAATAAGACAATCTTGTTTAAAATTTTGTTTTCTGTAATTCCTCGTAATAGAAACTTCCTTCAATAGTTTCGTTATTTAAGTCTTTAATTTTCTAAGTAAATAGATTTGTGTTCAATATTTCCCATCTTTCTTTTTCAGAGATTCAGTCCAGGCAAATTTTGAAAAAATATCTATAACGTTCAACATAAATAAAAATAACCTGAATTTTCATCGCTGAAATTTCTTATTATAACTAAATCAGCAGCCCATAAATCATCAATACCTTGTGTTTTTATTCTCCTTTTGTAAATCGAGGTCTTACTGGTTTATGAAGTTCTTTTGCAATACATAGTTTATCTTGTTCTGATATTTTTTTAAATTTTATTTTAGAGCTTGTTTCTTTTCCTAAAAGTAATTTAATAAATTTATTTTTATTTGTTTTACATTTTAAAAAATGTGTTAAAATTTTCCAAAGTCAATTTGTTGTTTAAAATTTGATTGGTTTAAAGTGTTTAGTTTTCTTTTTGCATTTGTGACAGTGTATTGGTATTAAAAATTCTTTATCTATATTTATTTACATAATAAATTCATTATTTTTCTTAATAAAATATTTCTATTAAAAAATATTTTTATAGTTTTAGATATTTTTTTTAATTGTGTTATGAACAATATCATATGTAAATTTAGAAGTTGAAACTAAACAAATATAGCAAATTGTTCCATTTGGTACATCCTCATTAAATTTTTCTTGAACGTTTTTCCACTTAATTTTTTGAATACGTTGAACACATCAAACACTGTTCAGCCCAAAAATTGTACGGGGACTTTGAAACGTAACTTTTAATTGTGAAAAACATTATAAAAAACGAGTCTTGTCACACGAAAATTCAACGAAATAATGATATACTTCAGTGAATGGAAATCATTTTCATTTCGGTGTTTTGTAACAATATTTTTATTGTTATTGAAAAAAAAAAACACGTCGAAATGTTGATAAAACGTGTCGTGTCAAAATAATATCAGCACTAGAAAACAATACGCAGAGTGGACTGCATCGTTGAACATTCGTGAGAAAACTAACATAATATTATCATAATCCATTAGTATATTACTGTTATAAATACTATGGATTGCGTGCATTAAGTATTAACGTTTTTATAATGCGGAAGTACCTGTATAAGATACGTATAGTTTCGGAATTAGGAATGCTTTTAGTTTTTACAATATATTATATTTTATATACATACATATAATACACAAGTAATGTTATAATAATGTAGATAGTATCGGTAACTCAATCGGACTACGCGCATTAAAAAACAAACATCCGACTGATATTTTTTTGTTCTCATGTTATTTTGGTACCAAAACCATCATGTTTTTACGATCGATTTTTTTTACTGTGATGCTCCCTTTATCATTAGGTATATAATATTACACCGATATCTACTCCACCTCCTCCAAATAATAACGTACAGTATTTAGACAATAAAATTGTATATATATTAATTTTATTATTTTTCTATTTTACTGTTAATATTACTACCGTCTACCAGACAAGCACATACAAAAAAAAAATTTGGGGGAGAAGGTTCATAAAAAATGTACAATAATCAATATTACCAATGTTATAAATATTTGTAAAAAAATATTATATTTATATAAATTAATTAATTAATTAACTATTAATTTTCGGGGAAGGGGTTGAACCCTAACTCCCCTCCATCCAATTGTATACGTGCTTACTACCGGATATTGTCGTGCCATACAATTTAGTACAAATTTGTCTACAACTTAAAATAGCATGAAAAAAATGATTCAGTTTATTGAGTACTTTTACATTTTAAAATATGTTTTTGTCTGACATTTTAAATAATATTATAAGCCATAAATATAATCATTTTTATTTTAAGTTTTTTTTTTTCAGTTTTATGTAAACGAAATTATTTTGGCTTCATGGAAATGGTGGAAAATTTAGCACAAGTTTATAAATAAATCAAAGAATCTTTAAGTCCGTAACTCTGACACCACCATGTAAAAATTTAGACTTTCAAATTTTAATGTTAGCCTACGTTACCGTAAATATTAATCAATTTTAATTTTTCGGGTTTTCTCCATTATTTGAGGAAAACTACTTAAAATAACGAAAAACGATTTATTCTGTCAGTAGTGAAGTATTAATAGAAACAAAATCGATTCCTATTCATTGAAGTAATATTTCTGGTTTTTTTGGCATAATACAATACAATGAAAACGAAAACGCCGCGATGCACCGTAAATATTTACCGTTTTACCTATTATTTTATTTTGATTTTTTCCGATTATTTTAAAAGCTCCTTGGATTGAGTATAAATACTATAGGGAAATCTTAACCCCTATAGTTTATATTATTCGTAGCCATAATAATAACGTAGCATATATTTACCTACCTCCATCAGTGTATTCCAATCGTAGACATAATTATTGAAAAGGATATACAGAATGATCAAACTGTCATAAGACACTCATAATTTAGGAAAGTATTAAACTTTTTCGACATTTGTTTTATAGAAGATTTTAGAAAAAAGCAGCTCTGTAATTTTACATTAATGTTATTTTTTGTTGCCTTAATTTTAAGGGTGAAACGACCACCTACTTTTGGTTTTCAAATGGCAATCTATATTAAAAATTCCATAAATAGTTGGAATAGTAGATAAAATAAATTTTGGTGTTTAAACTTTTAATTTCCGTTAATCCGTTTACGAGAGATTCCACTTTTAAGTTTGAGTCGGGGAAGAGTAGTGGAATATAATTTTTTCTTAAAGGAAGGTACTGACTAGGTTAATTTTGATTTTACAAGGAGTTTTCTAAACAAATGTGAAAAACCGAGAAAACGGGAAAATATAAGAAATATATTTGTATAATATTAAGATTTTTTTTTCTGTGAACAACTTTTCTACCAGCAATTTTGCTCCAACTTTTAATGATAGTAATGTTTCTAAAAGGAAATTTCACTAGGTAAGTACTTCAAAGAGGTCATTTTTCCATTTTCTCGGGAGTTTTCTCATACAATTTGAAAACCCGAAAAAAATACGGAAAAAGCGCAAAAAAGAAAAATACCTTTTTAATAAACCATAAATGTAAATAAATTTTTCCAAAATAAAGTGTATTTTATTAAAATAATATATATAGTTATAATTTATTAATATTAGGTTTTTAGTGATTATAAAATTAATTAAAAAATTTGAAATTTAAATTACATATTAGTAGTATAATAATATTATAATGAGTACCTTAATACTTATTAAATTTTAAATTTGAACACCATACTGTTCAAATAATCCAATCTGGTAATGTTTCTTTCAATGTACAAGTTTCATGGTTTTATATTGGAGTTGACTTTAGAGCTGCGTTTTGTGGGTTTTCATCCATTTGATTGCATTTTTAAGTTAACTTCTGTCTGGTGTTGTTTAAGCACTTCAATGAAATTATAAATAGATGGGTGTGGGTTATAAAATTGATCTTTCAAATGACGGTGATATAATTCTAGACAATTGGTAGTCCTTGACTCGTTCGAAGGTGGCTCAGCTCAAAGGTGCGGTGGATATATGCTGTCATTTTCAATAACATTTGCTAAAATACAATCAAAAACCGCTGATATCTTATTATTGTTAGAAGCAATAGAAAATAGTTCATAAAACGTATCAGATATATCAATAGAATGTAAAAAAGATAATCCAAAAAAATACTTCAACCAAGTTGAAATTTCTGATTCATTTTTGTCGTATTCAATTTTAAGTCTCAATTTTTCAATTTGTCTGTACCAAGCTTGTCCTAAGTGAAACCGGCAACATTAAATTTGTGCATTTGGAAAAATACGCAAAACGCTTTATGAGCAGATAATTCAAAATCTATAAGTATATTTAGAGGTTTTAATTTTTTACTACATAATGTTTTTATTAAATGCCATATTTTGGCATAAATATCAGTTGTTTTGGTAACAGAAAAGACACCACTTGAACGTACATTGATTTATGTAGAACATGAATTGTATAAAGCTGCTCAAAATGAGTGAGACAAGTATAAAATGTACCACCACCTAAAATAGTATAACTGTTATTGACTAAATATTCTAAATTACTCTTGGACGTGTGAATTACAATTTTTAACTCTTCATCTACATGGCAAAATGTTTCATTACGATGCGTAGTTAAACTATTGATTTTTATTTGTTGGACAAGTTCATTTATTAAAATAGGTGCTGCAGAAATTATTTTCTGACGTTGTCTATACGTAGACTTTCTTATACTAGATATACCGTATAATAGTTCTGTATTTTCAACTGCCATCAGTTCATGACGAAAAATTGTATTTAGTCGCTCAGAAATGCATTCATTCACCTTTCGTTTACAATTATTACGAACTATTTGTCGCTGAATATCCCGATTTTCTACAATATTATGTCCATGAAATATATTTTCGTTTTCCGTTAAAAGATTGGATATTTTGGAATTAGTTTGAATAGTTAAAGTACATTGTATTACTGTACATCGCCAAGATATATCTCCATTTGCCATTATTCTCTTTTGTCTGTACACTAACTAATATAATAAATAAGTGGATAAATTATTATCATATCGTATATATTATTGTATCATATTATTATTATCGTATTATCATACGATTTAAAACATTTCACTGGAATTTCCAAAATGTTTCAATTAAAAATAAAGTCATATGATAATTTATATAGTATATAGTTATAATGTATATCAACTACCAAGTCAAATACCATTTGATATAAGTTTTAAACATTGTATTGTTATCTTAAATGATTATCAACCTCCACCGTAATTACAATAAAATACAATACGATAATACTTTATCACATAAACAATTATTTATTAGACTTCAACTGAACTCGATCACTGTTAATGTTTTTTAAATTATAAAATACTATATATTTAATTAAAATTAATAATTAATAATTTTAAAATGAAACTTATAGTGTAACGGGTGCAATATTTTTGTGCTTTTATCCCACTACTATTGAGGTACAAAAGCGCAAAATGGATTTGCGCTTTTGGTCTATCGAAAAAAAAATAGACGATTTGCGCTTTTTGAGTTTTTCCATAGGTATTAGTTAAAATATATTATGACCGTTTTTTTTTCTATGGCCAACTTTTTAACCAAAAAAACCTTAGGAAAACCAGGGAAATCATTACAACATTAAACAAATAATATTAAAGAAAATGTATAGAGCCTATTTAATTATTTTTCAATAAATTTATATATATATATATATATTGTTGACAAAGCATCACTATCAACTGAACTCCACTCAAAATCGTTTTTTCGTAATCAATGATTTATCGTTGCTTACAGGTATACATTAAATTATCTATAACAGTGGCTGCACCCGTCCCTATTATCCTAGGACGTATTTTTCTTACTGTCTGGACGTGTGGTACCACAGATATATAAAACAATCTTATAATATTTTTATATACCTGCATCTGGTTTCTAGTACACTATTTTTTCCACAAAATATCAGATTGCTAATAAAGCAATCCGATTGATCACTTCCCTCCAGCGGTTTGGTCAGCAGCTGAGTATAGGAACACTTATGAATAAGATTATTAGATTTATTTGGAGATTATCTAGTTTTACGAATACTGATTTTTTTTAAAGGGAATTTAATGTAATAAATTTTGATTGGTTACTTAATAAATGTACCTTATTAACACCTTTTAAGTATAGAAAATATTTTTCAACATGCTGCCATAGTTATAACATTAGACTCAAAAAAAATATCAATATAATAGCACCAGCTCGCGATAAACATTTTGGTACCAAAAGTTGCTTGAATCGAGCAATAATTACCTGCAAAAATGTAGAAATAAACATTACTAATTTCTCTAGCTTTTCTCTAATTTATTTAAGCGTTATATATTAAGTATAATTTAGCCAATATTCACCAAGCTATCTATTCATCATATTTCCCGATGTACAGGTATTAGATGTCTCACCGCTTGTAATTATCAATAACCAACCAAATCGTCACTAACCAAATTTTGTCTTATTTGTTTTATAATTTATGTTACTATGTCTCTAATTTTGTAAAACGATATTCGCCTAATTATTTTATTGTTAATGTTCGTACTTTATATACATTTATTTTGCTTAACATAAGAACCTCTTTCCTCCATCACAAGTTTGCTTATAGGAGGTGAGTAAACTACAGTTTGTGCGTACCTAATTGAAATCATGTTATCGTTTGTTTGCAAATAAATTATTATTATAGTATATATAATAGTTAAATCTAGCGGCTGACCAATCTGCTGAATTTAGGAAAACACGGTTTATAACGATTTAAATTTCTAAAATGTATAAATGTATAAGTTGGCAGTGTTGTAAGGTAGTTTTTTGTTAAGTGGCGTTTTGTCGGATTCTGATAGTCTGATAGTCTGATAGAATAATCCACGAATTAAGATACATACACCAAGATAGATAAACAATACTAATATTGTTAATATAATATATAATATTGTTTATCTATCTCGATGGATATATTATATCTTAATCTGTGAATTATTATCGCGTGTCTTAATGTCGGGTGGTTATTTGTCGGATGGCTTTTTGTCGTACTTCGGTGTTGGACAATTGTGATAAGACTGAGGCGGATCGATATTCGGCGATCGTCGGGTAAACAACGCACAACGTTTCGTCACCGCGAAATCGTTGGTTCTCTAATCTCGATCACTTTGTTGTCGTGCGGTGGATATACGATTTGAGCAGTTAAGTCAGTCCAATATTATTATATTCAATAAATTAATTATAAAATCTCGTCGTAACTGATTTCTTGCTATCGGTATCGCATCTCGTCTACTTTCATCGTAGATTTTCGCCCTGCCAGTGTTCCTTCTCACGGACCGTTGACGGTCCGTGCACGTGAGTCCTCTGTTCTGGAAATTTGTGGGCACAGATCATAGACTATAAAGGGTCTATCGCGCTGAAGGATCACACACACGGGTTTCTCCAGTATTCGCCGACCACTACCACTACGACAACGACGACGATATGCTGATTGTCTTCACAAACGCAGTAAGTGCGCGTTGCAACCGTTTGGTACCGTAAAATTCGGTTTGTGTATTTCGTATCTCAAGGGTCGCCAGACATTGTCCACGAACGGCTTTCTGGCGGTATTGCACATTCCCACTGCCATGGTGGCCGTCTAGGTAGCCGACAGCCAGACAGGTGACACGTTTGGTTATCGTCCACTCGTCCACCCTTGATGGCTCCGATGGTCCTAGTGTGGTCGTAGGTCTCACCACTGACTGAACAATGGCGAAACGGTTATACATTTGATCTATACGATATCAATTTTATTGACAGTACACCGATTTTTATACTATTACATACTACTACTACCACTAGTTATATTATATTATTATCATCATCATCGTCTATAAATGTTGGCCGTTATGAGTCTCTTTCAGCTGATTGTGTTGTTTCTGCCGTTTGCGTTATCCGCAAGTCCCAACTGGATGTAAGTCATTTCATTAGCTAGTCTTCGTTGGCTAGTGACCTATGTTACTATGTTATTGTGTTTGCTAAAACTACTTATTTTGATTAATTGTGTTATGTAGTTCGAGTGTCATTATTTTAATTTGTTTATTTTTAATTTTTAATTACCTATCTACTCATTATGACATACCTATAGTAATTGTTTAATTTTTCAAAAATGTTATTATTAAATCTTGTAATTATTATCACTCTAAATCGCTTTCAATATTCTATCAAAATAATTTTACTGAGTTATACAGACTTCTAAATATTTTAGTACATTTTATAATTGCATTGTTTTTTTTTTTTTAATGACAGTTATATTTTAGTGTTTAGGTACAAATGAACCAGGTTTTCTTTCAACAGTAACTTTTGTGCTTCTTATTATGTTTTTGTTTTTTTGTAGTATATTCCTATAATGTTTATTTATTTTACAGGTAATAATATATGGCTTGTACTTTGTAGTATGCATAATGTATCTGTACTTATATAAAAACCTGAGATTCGGTATTAATTTTTGTATTAAGAAAAAAATTGTTGAAATAATCCATAGAGCTGATAGTTAGTGTCCTTTTGTTTTATTTAGTTAATTTAAGTATACTTACACTATGCTATTTTCCTATAATAACATTGTACCGATTTTGAATTGTAGGTATTTAGGGATAATAGGGATACCACCACCACTTCAACAACAACAAGCGTCACCGGGTTCAGAAATCGAAGATCCAGAAATTGTTCAAGCCAGAGCTGTTTGTGGCGCTCTTCCTGGCTTGGCATCAAAACAGGTTGATGTTTGTATGAGTCATCCAAATGCTATATACTCAGTATCAGATGGAGCTAAAAAAGCCATTGAACAGTGTCAATACCAATTCCGTCATGAAAGATGGAACTGTTCGGTTATGGAAAATGAACAAAGTGTATTTGGTCCTACTTTGGATAGAGGTTTGAATTGTATACTTACATTGTATGAAACCTATAATTATTCCATTCAAATATAAACAGGACCAAAATAAAGTGATTACTTGCTTCATTACTATTTATTTAATAGCTTTATATATTTAACACAATAATTTCGAAAACCATATTTAGTAATATTTCTTTCAGTTAAAAACAATCAATAAATTATATGAAGATAGTTTTTGATGTCTGTAACTGCATAATGCTGACAATTATATTTCAAAACAAAAATCTTACTCTAATTTGATATAAAATAATAGTTATTCACTCGATTTAATTCTGTAACATTGTAATACCAATTATATTTTAGATTTTTTTGAAAATTATCTAAATTAAGTATCTATTCAATAATAAATACTTATTACCTAACTACTATATACATGATTTTTAAAGTTAAAAATGGATAACATTTTGAGAAATCCAAATTTAAAGTTTTATATTTTTTTTAAATTGTTTGTTATTGGAATACTTGCTGGAATATTTCATAACTAAGTATCTACAACAATGCAAATTAGATATTAATATTCAAAATCTTAGTTACACTAAAAACTCAAAATGATTGATAATTAATACGATAAAAGTATAAATTAATAAAAATTTTATTTTTTTATTGTAAAATTATTTTGTACAAAATAATATACATATCCTGGTTTATTATATTTTAATATTGGACTAAATTTTATTCCTTAAATAATATGAAAAACTTGTTACCCTTTTATATTTTTATTATTATATACATTTTGTATATTATTTATCTGTACTTAATTCTTGAAAAAAATATTTAACAAATCTATGTGGAAACTAATCAATTATTTAAAAACCTGCTATATGATGTTAATAACACTATATACAATAAATTATTCATTAATCATAGTTAACATTTTTTTTTTTTTTTTAACAGGTAGTAAAGAAACTGCTTTTATATATGCAATTACTAGTGCAGGTGTAGTTTATTCAATTACAAATGCGTGTAGTTCTGGAAAACTAACAGAATGTAGTTGCGACTCTATGCAACATGGGCAGACCACTCCCGAAGGATGGAAATGGGGAGGCTGCAGGTATGATATTTCAAAATAAAACAATAAATTATAGTAATTGCTACTATATATATTTTCAGTATGTAAATTAATTGGACAGTCAGTAGCTGTTATTCAAATTATAATCCATTTATTGTAGTACATTTTTCAATGTAATACAGTAAGTTCCCGTTACAACAAACTCCAAGAGACCAATTTTTTTTCGTTATGACGGAAATTTTGAAAAAAAAAAATTTGACATTGCACACATCATCTCCCATCACAGCTTCTTCATCTTCACTACTTTCATCGGTGGCCTCATCTTTACTGTTTTTACTGTTCATAGCATGTTGAAACGTTGTCATCTGCACTGAGATAATCTTCTAAATTTACATTGTCAGGAAGCGATGTTTTCTTTTTCGCAGTGATTCAAATTTGCTCTAACACAGATTGTTGGGTGTTGGGATTATTTGATTCATCATATTCGGCCACTTCTGAAACCTAGTTGGTGTCTTTGGTTGTGGTTGCATGTTTCCAACAGTTATCGTTGATTGACTGATATCATCCCAAGCTCCATATATTCATTCAATAGCTTCCTTCACATTGTCTTTGGATATTTATCTCTAATACGCATAAAATTTGACGTAACAAAAAAGTTCTATAGCGTGATTTTACAGCTCTGATGATGCCTTGGTCAAGAGGTTGAAGTACAACTGTGCATTTAGGTGGGAAAAATTCCACACTAATGTTATCCAATTTTGGTGGTTCATTATGGAGCACAGTTGTCGATAAGAAGAAGAGTTTTCCTGTTCTTTTTCATTTCTTTGTCGAAATCTATCAACCAATCATTAAAAATTATTTGAGTCATCCATGCTTTCTTGTTAAATTTATAGATGCATGGCAATGATTTACAGTTTTTAAAACAACGAGATTTTGCGGATTTGCCGATGATGAGAATTTTTCGTTACTCCGTTCCTGATTTGTTACAACAGAACAGAGCGGTGATGCATTGTTTGGAAGCTTTACCCCCTGCACACTTGTCTCCTTTCTGTGCTAATGTCCTTTTTGGTTCAAGGTTCTTATTCACGGAAACGATTTAACCATCCAATACTTGCTTGAAAATTCTCAACTTCGAACATTTTAGCAAATTCTAAGGCTTTTTCTCGAATTCAAGGACCGGTCAGAGGAACATTTCTGGAAAGAACATCTTGAAACCATTTGAAACCGTTTTTCTGCTCGGGACAAAAATAGAAGTCTGTAGTTGTTTCAAGATGCTTTCTCAGTCCTTCAAAATGGTTGACAATGTTGATGGAAATATGCCATACTTTTTTGCCACCTCGTCTTTCTTCAATCCTTTGTCTACTTCAGAAATTATGTTCTTTTTCTCTTCCAACGAAAATTGCTTTCTTTTCAGTGTAAGACCATGTACATATGTACAATAAAGAATGAGAACAAAATACGAAATGATTAACGTGTGAGCTTTAAAATATACACCCGACTGATTATGTTATGTTATCGATTGACATGGAATAACATGGTCAGACATAGTTTGTTGTATCAGGATTTTTAAAAATTAATTTTTTCGTTATATTGAGATTCATTTAACATTGTTAAAATAGCTTTTCGGTAGGGAACTTCTATAACTTTCGTTATAACAGAATTTTTCATTGAAACGGGAACTTACTGTATATGAATAATAGTTTCCCTTTTATAATGGCTAAAATGTATAAAACTCCAGAACCATTAAAAAAAATTTTGGTTTTTAAAATATAAATTAAAAATTTGAAAATAGCTATTTTGTATAGTTATTTATTCAAATTATGATGAAATAAACAATTTTAAATTTGGTGAATTTTGAATGAATGGAAAAAACTTATATTTTCAAAAATACAGCATAGACAGTGTACCTACTCTTTACTACTTTTGGATTAGCCCTATACAATTTTACAATGTTATGCTGTATTTTCAGAAATAAAAGTTTCTTTCATTTATTCAAAATTTACCTGCTTTCAAAATTTTTTTTATTTTCCATACTTTAAATAAATAACTACAAAATGGCTAGAATTAGATGAAGTTAAATTTTTTAACGGTTCTTGTCTTGTATTTTTTTTTTTATCCTAGACCAGGGGTTGGCAACCTGCGGCTCTTTCGGTCTAAAGTTGCGGCTCTCCAGCTGCACACACAAAAATTAATATTTTATAATATAAAAAAAAAAGTATATTATTTTTGTTGCTTTTGGAAATATGAAATAATACATCACAAAAATAATTTGACAGTGCCCGCATGGAGTACAGTCTATAGTTGTAAAATGTTTATTATAGAGTCTAATATAATCGCAACACTATCTACAACTAATTGGTCATACGCCAAGACATGCAAAGCCAATGCTCCCATTGATGTATTCCCCTATTATTAAAAACTGTTTTTTTTTTTTTTTTTTTTATCATAAATTTATTATATTATTATAATTAATTTCATTATTATTATGTCTATTAAAATTTAAAAATAAAATTATATTTAAATACTTAAAAAAAATTTTAGTGGCTCTTCCGTTAAAAAAGGTTGCCGACCCCTGTCCTAGACCATTATAAAATGGAGGCTATTAGTTATATATTACATTGAAAAAACTGCAATACAATATATACATTATATTTCAAATTACAGCTACCAATGAAATTACATACTGTGTACATATATATATATATTTTTTTTTTCTAGTGATAATTTGCATTTTGGATTACAATTCTCTCGAAAATTTGTTGATGGTTCTGAACCTACGCGTCCCAACAACTTCAAAACAACAAAACAAAAAAGAAGCTGGTCTAATCGCCTTAAAATGAATTTGCACAACAATGAAGTGGGAAGACAGGTATTTAATAAGTAATTACTAAAGCTTGTAACTTATAGTAATTGTATATTACTTTTATATATTTTGACATGTTCTACAGACACCTTAGTAAACTATACAATTTTTTCAGACAACCAAGAAGTAAAATTTAACATTAATTGTAGCATATTTCAAATTTTCAAGACTACTTTGTTACTTTTATTTGTTTAGCTGTATTTTATGATGCATTTCAATTAACTAATTTCACCAAAAAAAAAATGTTTTTATAATAGTTATTTATTTTGGATTCTGAGCAAAGCAAAATGTTTGACTATGATGTATGTTTTTTTTGTTTGTATTATTTCTGTCTGTAAAGAACTGTTCTGCCAGAAATATTGCTTCAATCAAACATGACATCTTTTTTTTGGAATTTTGAATCTAGTTTGTGAGTAAATAAGTTAATTTTTAATTTTTATAATAATTCGAAAAAGGGTATAAAATAAAAACTAACAAATTTACTGCATTTATTATTTTTAATTTTTACAATTTATGTTTTCTACCAGAAATATCGCTCTAATAAAAAAAAATAAAAGAGACTGATTTTAGGTGATGAGTGGAGGTAGGAATGTATTAGTTTTACAATGATATTTATTTAATTTTTTTCTGTATACAATTTTTCTTCCAGTAATTTTTCTCCGATTTACAATGATAGCACTTTTTCTGAAGAATATCTTACTGGGGAGATATGTCAGGTACATCATTTTTTTGATTTTCCAAGAAGTTTTTCCAATTAATGAGAAAAACAGGAAAATAAGTACAATATTAAACAAGTATTATATGAAGAAAATATATGATGCATAATAATATGACATATATATATATTATTGACAAAGAAGTTCAAAAAATGTTATTAAACTGAAATTTTATATTTACACTAGTAATCATATTAATGAAGTCACAAAAAAATTAATATTTTGAACATTTTTAATTTCTTTTTTTTGCCACCTAAATTTCATTCTCAGACCACTATGCTCTGGGAAATATCAACAACCTTTGATCATATACAATGATTGAGTTATTGCATATTACACCTATAGAATGAGTTGAAACCAACATAACTTTAATACTGCTTATCAATGTATTTTCCTGGTTAAATTAATTTTATGTATCATACAAATTACGGTTTTAAATTGATCAATACAAAATTAAAAAATTAATGATAAGAGACTCATTCATATCACTGACCCTACAATTATGTTGGCATCATACATTTTTCAAAGGAAATTTTCATTGTATATAATCTAAGTCAGTTAGTATTTCTCCATCTGATGGTCTACAAAGTAGTTCAAAATCACTTATGTTGTACTGTTAAGTTCATCAAAGTACAAACCATAAAATGTTATAGTTTGAATTTTTAAGCCTAGAATAAACAATAAACATCTACAGTAAAATTTAAAAATGAATAACTACAATGATTGAAATTTGTATTGTTTTTAGACAGTAATGTCTTTAATGAAAATGCATTGTCGTTGTCATGGTGTGTCTGGATCATGTGAATTAAAAACATGTTGGAAGTTCATGCCTGCATTCAATGAGATTGGAAATGTTCTGAAACAAAAATATGGAAAAGCTGTCCTTGTACGCAATAAATTAATACATTTTTTTAAAATTACTATTGCATTAATTTATACCTCTGTTATTATAATTATAGATAAATCGCATTGTGAACGAAACATCAAAAAAAAATTCTACACAGATACATAAAAAAACGAGGGAAACAAGAGCTCTAAAAAGACAAAAAAGACTGCTGTTGGCAGAATCAAAAGAACTAGTTCATATACAAAAGTCACCCAACTATTGTAAGCAAGACTTTGAGAATGGTATACTTGGAACAGAAGGGCGCAAGTGCAATAGTTCATCAACTGGGCCAGATTCCTGTGGTAAGCTGTGCTGTGGTCGTGGTTATAAAACCAGGGTAATTATTTAAAAACTGTTATTTCCTGTGTGTCTTGTGTTTTATCTAAGTATAATTTCTTATTATGTTTGCCACAGATTGTCAAAGAGGAAGAACACTGCAATTGCAAATTTATTTGGTGTTGTTCTCTTAAATGCAATACCTGCTACAAAAACATTGAACAGCAATCATGCATATAATAATTACCTAGGTCTGAATGTGTATGTGTACTTGTGCTGGATATGTGACAGTTTTAATGTTTGCTTCAGAAAAAATTGTTTAGTTATTTTATGTAAACATGCTGTCAGTCTATGTACCTGCACAACTAATTAGAATTAATTTTACATATACATATCAAAAATAACAAATATAAAATGGAGATGTTTGGATAATTTTTCCAAATTTCTTAGTATGTTTCTCATTTTGTCTTGTCTTATCCAATGAAATATTATAAACACCCAGTTTCCACAGTTTTTAATTGTCTCTTGCACTAGAGTATTCTGTAGTATACTTAGCAGTTAAATATTCCCTGGCATTTAAGACATAATGCATAATATTGTTTGTCTGAATTACTTAAAGACCATCAATTTCTCGAACTAAAATGTCTTATCAAACTAGGACTCATACTTATAATATTTATTTTTAAAAATATTCTATTAAATAATTTATTATTTGTAAACAGTTTATTAACTTACAGCAATTTTTAATGTACAAATGGATAAACTGTTAAAAATAATACTTTTACAACCACTTAAGTGGTGTCTATAGAATTTTAAACTTAAAAATTATAGGTTTATATTAAAAAAAATAATTATAATAGACTGATATCAGTAATTCTAATAATTAAACTGTGTAGATAATAGTTTTTTTTTAAATGCCTAGACTCAAGTTATAATTTTAACAAACTTAACAAAAGTTCGAGAAATTAGAAATGTCTAGTATTTAGTATTTAATAATTTAAGACAATATATTACAATAATATTAATATTCCCCTTTGTGCATTTTTTTATTATTTAAGTTTATTTTTTTTTTTAATGTATATTTTATTTATATACTTTATTGTTTTTATTATTATATATAAGAAAAATAAATGTACAATAGCAGTTGAAATTTTTGTATCCAGAGTAATATTATTTATTATTAACATAATCTAGTTGTATTATTATTATCAGTAAAATAATTAAAACCTCGCAAGTTAAATTTGGGTATACTTATTTAAAACCCTTATACATCAGATTTTCCAAAAATGCAACTCTCAACTCAAATTTATACATCAAAATAATGAACAACAATTTATTTGGAAATAGTATCAAATATATAATACTAAAATATGTAAGTAGTTAAAGCTTAAGGAAAAATTTTAACTCGTAAACTAAGATTTTAAAATTCATTAATAAGGTTTTTTTCCTTATAGCCTACACATGTTTTTGATCTGAACAAAAATTATAAAAAGAAAAGTTTAAAAAATTTGAATTATCATTTATCAAGTTTATTTGTTTAGCAGTTTCTCAATTTATGAGAGAATATTTTTTCATAATATAAGCAAGTTTATAAGTATTAAAACTTTCAAATTAAGCTATTCAACTATAAAGTTGAAATTTTAACATTTTTATCTAGTTTTTATTTTTAGAGCATTGCCAGGAATGTATTGGTTTTACAATGATGCTTAATTTTTTTATCTGTGAAACACTTCTATCAGAAATCTTGCTCTGATTTTCAAGTGTAGTACCTTTTCTGAAAGGAAATTTTATCAGATGAGTGGAACTTTCTTAAATGGTTTTCATAATAAGTGGGAAAAAATGGTAAAATTTACTTACATTTATAAATCAATTTCCCCCTCCTACCTTCCCAACTTCACACCTACAGTAGTGTGTACCCATCGAAGAATGTGTCTTTTTTAACATTATTTTTTTTTTAGATTCTGAAAGCAGCAAAGAATATACCTATTGTTATACTATGTATTATATATTTTTTTTTGTGAAAATAAAACTTATATAATATTAGTAATATTATTTCAATCAGACACTATTGGAATTTTTTTGTAGAATTTTTGATCAAGTTTGTGTATTATGGCAGTTATTTTTTTTTATTTTTCTTGTAGGTTTCTTAATAAATTTTAAATTCAATTGGGAACTTATAATTGTTTTGAAAACATAATGTGAAGATATGTTTTAAATATATTTTAGTAATAGAATAACATTAATTTATTCAAAACTGTGCTAGAGAACAATTAGAAGTATTTAAAAATTACATTTTGACCATGCAGCTAATGATTGCACTCATCACACAATTCTGTGAACCAGTTATAGCTGAGTTAGTAATAACTTCAAATTGTAAAGTTTTGAATAAATTAATGTTATTCAATCACTAAACTTTATTAAAAAAATATCTTCACACTGTTTTACAAAAAAAAGTAAAGGTTATCATTTGTTTTTCAAAGTCAAACTCCCCCCCCCCACACATAATGTCAAATAATGTACAAATTATTTTAGATGTTTATAAATCAAAAAAATGTTTTTATTATTATATATTTATCTCTATTTTAAATATTTATATAACTGCCTATTTGTTACACAAAGTAAGGAATCAAATGACAGTGAATCACACAACTGATAAATGGAGGTAAAAAATATTATTACAAATTGCCTATATGTAGTCCCTTAAATAATGTACTTTATGACCTACCTATACCTTTAAATGTGTATATATATAATATATGTGTAGGCCAGATTATTTAATGTATTCTGTATTTATACAGTCTAGATTTCTAGATTATTAATCACTCCTCCAAACATAAATTATAGAAAATGTAATATTAGATTCATCAAATTCCATCTAAATGTAAATTTATTTTATGATTAATTTTTTTTTTTAAGAAATCAAGAGGAATAAGTACACAAAAATATATAATACAAGTACTAAAATATTTGTTTATATTAAAAATTATAATTTGATAAAATAAAATAAAATAAAAGCTGAACACATTGAAATGTAATCTTATATTAAAATACATTATAAATCTTTTCAAAAGATAAATTACATAATGCTATGAAAATATTGATAGTACATTATTGAATAGAGTACATGTTCACAATAAAAAGCAAATCAAAAAAAGAAATTGAATGAAATATAAACAACTCAATTATAAAAATGTTTTACAATAACAATCTTAACATAATTTTAAATTAGTTGTATACACTAAAATCGAAAAAAAAATTGGTTTGCAAACTCAAAGAGAGTGTGCAACAGTAAACAAAAATAATAATTTAACAGTTATGTATGTGCAATTTTAATAAGGGAAAGAATGAATATTTTATGAATTAGAACATGTCATATAAAAACATATACACAAAACTTTTAACTGTTGTGTACAAGATTTGTTCAAAAATACATTTGTGAGCTATAAAATGTTGTTTCTGGCCTAGAAAATTCCTTGGCCAAATAAAAGACAATACCATTTATAAATCGTATAATAGTATACTGTGTTTACTTGTTTGGGCTTGTACTTTTGTTTTTTATTTTGATTAATAAGTTGTCTATTTGTATTTTGAAATTACTAAAACATAATTACCTATTTCTTCAAAACAAGGTTAAAGAATTTTTTTCTAACTGGACCAATGAACTGCAATAGGATATCTGAGGAAATGTTTCTTCAACTATTATTATTGTATTTCTGTTGCACCCTCAGCTTCAGGCAATTTATACAACCAGCCACAGCCATTACTCTTAACAATAATTACATAATTATTACAGTTATCAAGTATGTCTTAATATCTATGAACACAGTTATACAAGTCAAGTTTTAACGATTTTGGTGTTTTTGTGTCTGTTGACATTTTGATGCTTATTGCTAAACGCATATCACAAATAAAGAAAATACAAAAAAAAAAATTATTAATAATTAACTTATAATTAAATAAATGTACAGTTCAGGTGGATGGAAGGTTCCAGTATATAAATTTTAAGTACATTAAATTGGTTTAACCTTCATAATATACCCATTTCAAAAAAAAAAGTAATAGTAATAAAACCAATATAAGTTTATAAATAATAAAAAACAATCTTTTATCAGACATTTTTGACTGCTTCTTACACAGCCATGTAAATTTTGGAGCTTAACAATATAATGTATTAATAATTACAAAAATTACAATTATGTTAAAACAGCCTCACAGTTTTGTATTTGTCTTATTTCTATAATATAAACTTGTAATAGTAATATTATATTTAAATTCACAGGAAAAAGTATAGAGTAGATTCAAAAAATATTCTTATAGTTAAGACAGTCATGGAAAATGTAATTATAAATACAATAATTTTAACATAAAATGTAACAATAAAATCAATTTATCCGCATGGGCTTATAGTATAACATGATGTTCAATAGAAAAATTGTATTTATTTACTTAAAAGTCAAGATTGTTTCCAAAATTTACACATAAAAAAAAATTACATCTAATAAAAAAATCATTGTTAATATTAAATTGAATATTAATATTTAATTGTAACAAGAAATTAGTTTGAATTTCAAAATATGTATTTTATATAATTTATTTAAATTATGGTAAAATAACTATACCAAAGTATTAATGTATTTACAAAAGAAAATTTACATACAAATAATATTTTATTATTGTTTTTTTAATATGATATACTATATGGAAACCACCAGCATAGTTACTATATTATTATTTTTTCATTATAAACATAAATAAATATTTATGAACTTTATAAGTTAAAATTATTTGCTATATACACAATTATACTTGTTAAAACCTAAGAATTTGGAATAAGAAGTTATTTATAGTAAATCATTAACATTTAGTAATTTAAAATAAATGATATAATTATGAATTACTAATTAATATTGATATTACTTGTAAATTTGTAACTTTTATGTATATATATATTTAAAAAAAATAGTTAAGCACATCCTAAAAATACATATTTTGTTTTATTTTTGTCAAATAATATTTATGTAAGAATAATAAGTTATGATGAAATCAAAATAATGGCAAACAAATCTTTAAACTTAGAAATTAAATAAAACCATACAAATTTTCTTTGTAAATTTAAAATTATTGTACAATATAAGAACTAAAATCTATAAAATATATCAGTAAAATAAAGGTATACACCAATTTCCTTAATTATAATCTAAACTTAAGTAAATATAAATGGACTTAATAAAATTAGGATAAAATCTTAGTCCAGCATCAAACTGTATGTTATGTATATTATATTGAAATATGTATATATTATTGAGAATACATACTTAATTATTTTTAATGTTTTTTTTTACTATTATTATTATTTTGGTTAGAAAAAAATAAAACCCTGCATAAAAAAAATTCAATTTTTTAAAATTATATTATTAATAGATTTTTACCACGCCATGAAATTAACCAAATTTATTTGAAACTGAATGTTTTTATTTGGTAGATTATTAATCAATCTCCCTGGCCTAGGATATTAATGTATAAAACCAATTTATATGATTTTAAAGAATAATAAAATAAAACAAAGGTAACGAAAGATAACAGATTCTACCAAAAACTAAAATTTAGTTTCACCTTAACTAATTCTATTTTATTACTTTTCATAATTAGAGTAAGACATATACAAACATGATTCTAAATATGAATGGCAGGAATAAAAGCTCAGAAAATAAAACCACAGTTAAAAATAAATTTCATTTAAAAACATTAAGAGAATGGCTATACCCACATGTACTGTCTCAGTCCAACTAATGGACAATATAATAAAATTGAAACTATGTAGACTCCGTAAAACTCACTTAACTTTGGTTTTAGTAAAGAAGCATCTATTATAAAATTAAAAAGTAGACAATATATGAGGGCAAGATGATATGTTTTTATTTTTTAAATGTTAGTCATTTACAAGCTATTAATTAGACTTTATTTATAAACACTGAATTGTCTTACTATAATAGGTGGTTTTGCTCCAAAACAAAAAATAAAACCAAACTACAAAGTCTGCGTAAGTTAAATTTTGCTATATTGCCCGTTTTTAAACTAGGCATACAGGTTAGATATAAGTAATTTCAAAGGAATTGATAAATAATAAATCAAATTTAATGAATCTAAACTTAATTTTTTTTTTTATTACTTAATATAATTTAACTATAATTCACAGCAGCAAAAAATCACGAAGTGGTATACAACAATAAAAAAAATTAGTATAATTTTAAAAACAAGGTTCTTTATATACTTTTATCTTTGAGCTTTTAATCCGCTCTTCATAAAAATATAGATGTAAAAAAATATATTTATAAAATTCCCAAAAATATACTAAAAATACTACTTTAATTTTATATTATTAATTAATTTATGGTTTTTTAATGGTGTTAAAATTTATGACACATTTTCCCTGTATTGTTTATATTTATACATAGAAGAATTTAAAAAAATATTTTTCCTAATCTACCATTTGTTTTAGAAAGTAATTTATTTCTAAAGAAAATATTAAGTAATTATAAAATAATTAAATAAATATACGAATACAAAATATATTAATGTATAATAAATTAATAATTTTAGATTCAAATTAATAATAATATTGAAAATAAAAAACTCTAAATTTTGGGTGAAGTTATCTTGAACTTTGAGTACTCTATGAATATTCAGTATTGTCTTACATTTATAAGAGAATAAAGATTTTAATAAAATAGTCTACTAATAGAATTATTATTATTTAATAATAATAAAAAAAAATGTTCAATTATTGAAAAATAGTTAAAGAAAATTCAACTGGATATAAAAACATTAGACTAGCTAACTTATAATAAACAAAAAATATGCAATAACTAGTATGCATTATTAAAGTTACAATAACTATTTTTTAGTAATACTATTTCTAATAGTACTCTATGAAAGTAGTAAATGCAACCAACATATTATAACATAGTAAAATATTAAAATAATAATTTACTTAGTATACCTTCTGGGCCATCTGTTTTATATCCATATATACTGTAACATTTATAGAATAATTCTCTGACAGCGGATAATCTAGTTTCTCGGCTACAACATAATATAGTTAAATTTAAAATAAACAAAAAACACAAATTCAAACTAAAAATATTATTAATACTACTCACGATGAAATAGACCGAAATCTATTCTCAGACAAATCAGTGCCATTTAAACTGCCAGTTTGAGTAACTATGGACCACCTAAAATGATAAAATTAAAAAAAAAAAAAAAAATTACATTCTATCTAATAAGTTTTAAATGCTCACTCATCGGTCTCGCTTGAATTAGAATAAGTTCGAGTATGCCTTTGTGAAGGTGGCATATCAACTGGCAAAGTTCTTTCAAATTCTGCTATTTCACAATCATCATAATCAAAATCTAAATCTGATGATCGGGCAGATTGATGACGCCTACGTAGAGATGAACATTTGTATCGCTTTGTTTCTAACTCATCTGCCATAATCATCAAATCATCATCATCATCATCTTCAATATCTTCCAACTCATATATAGTTTCTTTAACGCAAAATTTTTCTGCTGGCTTCTTAATCGATTTAATTTTGGTTGTAGTGGTTTGTTCAAAATCAAACTGTGAATGATAATCATCTAGAGTATCAAAGGGCTTTCCATTTGTTAAATCTTCAGTACTATAAAATAAATATTAAATCATGATATTGGTCCATAAATAATGTTAAAATATTTACTTACCTGCCATTGCTATTATTTCGTGAACGGATATCTAATTGATCCAACTCGGTCAAGTCAAATTCACCCATGTATGAAGAATATTTTGGACTGCTAGGTGCTGTGACTGCAGAACTAATTAAATAAAATCATAATTATTTATAATTTAGATATTTACTACTAATCACAAGGTGTGCCTTACAAATTCGAAGGAGTTTTGAAGTTGTCACTGAAAATATACTTGAGGAAATGAAAACAAAAGTGCATGATGTCTTCTCCCTTTTCAAGGCGATTTTCTAAATTGTGTCCAAACAAATACCAATCATATCCCAGCGTTAAATACAAAATCTGACTAGGAGATAATGATTTATGAATAGCGCCATCAGCCCATAAAGACATTCTTATTAATGATATAAACATTGGTGTTCGATCCCAACCACTAATGCAATGAACCAATATTCCTTTTGATGAACACCAAATATATTTCAACATCAAAATTAAATAGTTTTCAGTCAGTTGTCGTAAGTCCCAATCCTGTAATAGAAACCATGTTATCTATGTTAAGTCTTATAGGCAAATTATTATAGTTGGGCTCATGAAAAGTAAGCACTGGTGATGTTCCTCCAGTACAATTTTATTCAACAGCTACAAACATATTATGTCTACTCTAAAATATGTGTCAAGGATATATTGTGAACATAAAACTGATATCAAAACTATTGAGAAACCTGATATTTGAACTTGGCCATCCTTCACTTTTTAGGAGCCCTATTATATATTATTAAAGGGCCTTATGCCAGTTGGCTTTTAGCTTAAAAATATGCCTCATGGGAAAAACTCTCAATCTTCATAAAGTAGTCTAATTTCTGATTATTTTTTTGTTGAAAAGAGGAAGACTTCCTACACAAACTGCATAAAAGTCCATTTTTCAATGTTTTTATCACAAAAATTCAAATACTTTTTGTTTTTACCATTATTTTAATTAAATAAAAAAGGAGTACAATACCTCTTCCACTTAAATGGGCGTAGATTAGAAAGTTAATAGAAAGTATTAATATATTAAAAATATTTATCAAATTTTATATATTTGAATATTATTTTAAATTTATTCATAAAAAAAAACACCTAAATTGGTACTTAAAAATATAAATATTATGATGTTATTATTTCTTCATTGCACTATTTGATAGATAGACTAATTGATCTATTTTTAAAGCTCAAACCACACAAGTTTGAAATTTGAAATTAAGAACAAAATACATTAGAAAAACGTTGATAAATCTATGTATATAAAAGCCAAACATCACTCACTCACTGATAGCTATGTTTTAAAAGATGATTTCTCTAATACTCTAATTGTGCAATTAGAAAAAATTTTCAAAAATATTGCACTTAAAAAAATGTACTTTTGAATAGTCTGATTTTGTAATAATATTGAATTATAGTCTGAGTAATATTAATAAATAAATGTTATAATAACCTTGTAACTACTCCATTGAATATCTAGTTGATCAACAGCAGGATTCGGCTTTACATTAAGTGTTGAATCGATAGAAGGATCAGACCAATTAAACATCAATCCTTCAGAATTATAATTGTTTTTCTTAAAATCAAGGAAAAATTCACATCCTGGATACGGTGTTGGTATAATGCGAAAAATTGCATATTTTTGAGTGTCATCTACTTTTTCTGATGATGTTACACTAAAAATACAAATTAAATTAATTCAATTTCACTGCAATTAATTTATATTTTATATTATTTATGATTTAAAAAATATAAAACATAAAATATATGTTCTTATACCTAATTAATACTTACGAAAGCAGATACTTTTGCTTTTCATTTTCAACCATAAGGTCGAAAATGGTCCCCACTTTCCATGCTTGTAAAAGTTCTACATCACACATCCTTTTCTTATCAAGTTGTCGAAATTCTTCAAAACATAAACCTTTTTCTGTTGCAGTTCCTAAACCAATTTCTGTCATTCTTGCTATTGTAGAAGACCTAAACAATTAATTTAATTAGAACCATAATACAAAATATTTAAATATATATAAAAAAAAAATACATTTTAATTTTACCGGCAAATATATTTTCCTTGGAATAATATTACAGGCACAACAAAACGATTACGACACCGGGCAAATTTTGCCTCACTTATCAGTGTATCAATAGATACAATGTCTGTACCATTAATTTCACTCGTTTTTTTAGGACTATTGAACCTTGGTGACTGGGAACGCACATATGGTTCTGGAGAAGAATTAATACTAGATGAAGGAGCCCCTAAACTATTTCTTTTTCGGTTGCTATTTCCTTTTGGAGAAATGTCATCAACAGAACTAGAACTGGAGGAAGTTCTATCTGATCTTAAACCTCTAGAAGAAAATCGTTCGTGTTGTAAAATGGGTATTTTATGTGGATATTGTTCATTAATGCGTCCTTTACTATTGTCAATAATCTGAAAAATAATATATTTAAATTTAAAATATTAGCATTAAAACCTATTACATCAAAAAAGCTTAATTTGTAAATAAGGTGATGCTATTATAATTTTTAAATTTTATTATTTATTTAATATCCATATAAATAAAATAAAATTTGGATTAAATTGTCACTCTAATTGATTACAAGTTATTACATTTAATAATTTTATGTACACAATCTATAATAAGAAAGTGGCCATCTAATAAATGCACATAAATCATTCAAAAATTGTTATCAGCATGAACTAAATTCTAGTTATAAATAATAATGAATTTGCATAGAAACAGGATATTGTTTTGAAATGATCACGATATTGAAATAGATGACTTGGGTAATTTTGAGATTGGCCTAAACATTATAATTATAGGTTTACAAATATTTAATTCATATTCATTGTTTTTATAATCAATTTTTAATAGTTCAATTTTGAATAAGTTTTGTCGTAAAACACAATTTGGACAACAAAAACAGGTCATTCAGTAGTGATTACTTTAAGGATTAACCAATCTACTTAGTCTGCATGAGTGTGTTTTTTTTATGTTGCTTGTTAGTTGAAAACATTAATTTGGAAATTACGTCAGCTTAACTAATAAATATATACATAGGTAATATAAATTATACAAATTCTATAAAACATGTATAATCAATAAAATAATTTCTTCCAAACAATATCAATTGATAATATTATTTGGAAGAAATTGTATTATTGATTAAATTATATTACTATTACTTATTATACTATGTTATATAGGTATCACAAATAATTAATATATCTAGTAAAACTAACAATATTTATGTCAACGTGATTAATATTATTATTATAAATATATTGTTCATGTTCTATATATCAATTAAAACAAATAAAACAAAATAATAGTACATAAATATATTATTATTATAAATGATTTACTTTAACAAATTAAATTTTAAATATATTTATGAGGTTTGTTACCAGGTATCTATGGTTATATGATGAACCAATAATATCCACAATTATTAAATGTTTAAAAGAAGAAAAATGATTAAAAGTTAACAATTTTAATGGGTAATAAGTTCTTACCATAAATTTATAGTCTAACCGTAATAGATTTAAACATTTTTCCATAACATCAGTTCCCTGAAAACAAATAATAAATTATTATTAAAAGGTCATTAAAATAAATACAAATAACCAATTAAATAACTAGATACATAATACAAATATACTATAAGTACTAAATTTAACATAAAATAATTTTTTAAAATTTTGAACAAATGAGACTTAAAAAACTTTAGTAAAGATTAGATAAACACTAAAATGTGTAAAGGAACACGTCAAACTATAACAATTAAAATTAATTTCACATAATATAATCAAACAATTTTAAATTGATTAGGTACCTAATTCATTTTTTTTTTTTTTTTTTTAATATTGAATAGGTACATATGCCTTGTCCGTATTAAATTTCAATAAAAGATTTGTGTAGAAATTATAATATTATACGCGATAATATAAATTAAAATATTGCATAATATTTTGAATACAAGATTTATTTATACAAAATCAACCTACCAACCAATAGGTAATCATAGTCATACGTTTATAATCAAATGTAATAGTCGGGTTTAAAACTGTAAGAGTTTCAATTAATGGTTATCAATTTGTATTTAAATACCTGTGACAAAAATGGTAGTACTACTACTAATGAAATTACAAGAATATGTCCTATTAATTAAAAGTATAACGATCAGGAGCATAACTCAATAATTATTATCACAAAGTTCAATAAAATAGAATCTCGTGGAGTGTGTTAATTAATGTGTTAATATTATTAAAAACTAATGCAAATAGTAGGTACCTAAAAAAACCGTAGGTAAGTACGTAATTAAAAAAAAAGTATATCTGTATTGGCTCACGTTTGACATAGGGTCACAGTAAAGGTCATACAAATAGCCAGCCATATGTTAGAGATAGGAATATTAATTTAGATAAATAAAATAATTTATTTGAGAACACTTTTTTGATATTCAGCAAAAAGCAAACAAATATGAGTAGGTTCCTAATACTACTATGAATAACTTGTGAATAATTAAATGAATAACGTCCTAAAATATTATCTTAAAACTTAAACTAAAATGCCTATATAACAGTACGATATTTTTCAACAGTCACCTGCCGGGTTTCAATTAAGTATTGACTGTGTACTACATTGGCATTACAGTTGTATCATTAAACGTCTAGTTGAAGTATTGCCTTTAGGACTGAAAAAAAATCTTAATATACCTATTGAAAAACACTACAAACAATTTTTTTTAAACAATAAATACGTAGGTAATTCAAACAAACATCCGCCTAAACCATCAATAACATCTCATCAAAATACAATATCGGAAACAAAAGTTGCTATGCTTACGAATGGACCGCTGTTGTTGCACCTAAACGTTTCCTTGGCGAAACGTCCGATCAAAGAGCTGATGTCTTCCTCAGTCACGATGTTTTTGTCCATCGTCGTTGATGATGCTAATGGCGGCGGCGTCTGTGACGAAACGTGTCAGGTAACGATTGATATAAAAGTCGTTCGGAGAGTAACGGTAATGATCGTGTTAATGGTCTTCTTAATCGATCGGTACATGCCTATGTGGCACCTCGATATTTTCAAGCAATTGTCTGTTTTCAACCGGCAAATCTGTTTGTTTACACAAGCGTCGTACCCGTGACTCGTGTTACCGGACGCGATGAAATGTTAGCGCTGTGGTCGGACGACGCGGACTGCAACTGTCGACTGCTGTACTCGTGAACGGGCTGCTGTACGGTATGCGGCAATATACCGGGACGGTATCGACGACAACGACGGGACGGGACAAAAATCTAAATTGCGCCAAACGAATGACTGTAATAACTAAATCAGTACGGAGGGGAAACAAAAATAACAAATCAACGTGCGTCCCACGAGGTCATGCCGACATTACTTGCACATTCCTCGACGACCACGACGTCTAACGCTGATAACGGGCAATGATTTTCTTGTTACTAATTTTTTATTTTATAAAATGGGTATCACACAAACCAACAACATGAAATGCTCCCGCGTAATCAACGGCGCCGCCACGATTCACGAACAGATGATATTTATTATCGCCCGACGTACGACGACGTTTACACGGTTTTTACGAGATTAAATCGCTTTTTTAATGCGTTTTGTTCGTTATTATTATTATTAAGTCGTCTTACTGTCCTACAACATCGTACAAAAATGACAACGAAATAAATATAAAAATGATACCTAACATTAAGATTATTTACCTATTCTACCTTATTTAGGTACCTACCTATACTAAACACCGGATTTAAACGCACATTTCCAAACTAATTGTACATACTAATCATCCATAATATTACAATGTATATTGTATAGTGTTTGATACACAGTTTCTCACGGAAATATAACAAATGCAATAATAATTTTTTTTTTTATTATAATGTTTGTAATAATTACCTTATAGAGCATTGCGCTATGATTCATATTATTGTACATTTGTACACATAGCCTACAGAAAATGTACCCATTATAATAGATCAATAGCATTATACATTTTTTGGAACTAAATATAACAAATTTGAATTGTTGAAAAAAAATTTCTTTACAAAATCCAAGATAGCCATTTTACATAAATATATACATATTTTGAAACAAAATTATGATATTACAAATGTTAGCTCTTGAATTGTTAATTTTTTAAAAAATTTTTAAAACTATGGTAATTTTAATTATTTTTAGTGTCACCACTAAATAATATTAATCGATACACTAATAGGTATGTCCACACAAAAAAATGTAGGTACCAGGTGATCCATTTAAGTGGGTACACTCATTATCTTGGAAAGAATTAACTTTTTTCGGAATTTTTTTTCTAGAACATTAATTTTAAGAAACAAGCGTCTCTAAACAAATGAAACTCCACTACTTTTCTCCTAATTTATTTTAACTAACACTCCGTCTATATATATTTTAATAAAGTTTATCATTTTAAAATCAAAAATATGTAGTGGTTTTACCCAAAAGAATAAAGTGACAAAAAATAACATAAATATAAAATTGTAAAGCAACTTGTTTCTTAAATGTTCTAGAAAACAAATTCCGGCGAAAGTTAATATTTTACCCACTTAAATGGATCACTCGGTTATGATTTGGAAAACTTTTAAAAATTTTAGAGAATCAATATCTCATCAAAAATAAATATTTGTAACAAAAGCATTTTGTGTCAGGGATAAATGAATAAGAAGACTCTTAGATTTTTTTAATAACATTTTAGATTCGGAGCGTAGCGAGAGATTAATCAGTTTTACTATGATGTGTGCTTTTTTTTTTCTGTCTGTAAACAATTTTCTAAATAGAAATCGTGTTCCGATGTACCCGATGTACCTTTTCTGAAAGGTAATTTTCTCTATTTAGTGTATTGAGAAGGTCTATTTTTGATTTTCTAAAGGATTTTCAAAATAATTAGGAAAAACCCGAAAGAAAATTATAGGTATAACGGCAGATATTTACGATCATGGTTATTTCCTTGCATCTAATATTGATTTTACAAAGATGTATATTTTTTTTTTATGTGAACACTTTTTCTACCAGAAGGCTTACATCGATGTCTACAATGTAAGTCTTTTTCTGAAGACAAATTTTCTTGGGGTGGGCAGTACTTTAAAGGGGTAAGTTTTCAATTTTCTCAAGAGTTTTTTCATCGAATGTGAAAAACCAAAAAAATAAAAACGGGAAATTTACGAAATATATTAGTAAAATATTATGATTTTTTTTTCTGTCGATAACTTTTCTACTAGCAATTTTGCTCAGATTTAAAATAATAGCACTTTTTTTGAAACGAAATCTGACGTAGAAGATACTTTAGAGAGGTCATTTTTTGATTTTTCCAAGAGTTTTCCAGCAAATATGAATAATCGTGAAAAAACATGGGAAAATCGGTACAATATTAAACAAATATTAATAATCCTTATGGATATACATTAATTTCCCATCTGTATTATACATTTCCAACTTCCCACCTAGTATAGTGGCTGCACCCATGTGCTGAATATGTTAGTCTTTTAAATTTTTTATCTTTTTTATATTTTTTTTTAAAAACAGTAAAATAGGTACAATATTAAGAAGCTGTCTTATAATAATGTGTTACTTTGTTAACAAAATATAATTTATCATATTATGGTAAAATAATTACATATGCGTTATATATTTTCTTTAATTTTACCCATTTGTTCGATATTGTACCTATTTTCCCGTTTTTCTTAATTATTAAGAAAACTTCTGAGAAAATCAAAAATTTACCCTCTTAAAATTCTAGGAAAAGTACTATAATTGTAAATAAAATCAAAATTGCTGGTAGAAATATTGTTCACAAAAAAAAAATCGCTCCGTTCAGAATCTAAAATATGAGAAATTAATATAATACCTAATTAGGTAGTTATTAAAAACCTTTAATTTTGATAAATACCTACTTAAAATTTTCCAGCTTTCTTAACTTAGGTAGATTGGTAAAAACATTTAAACAATTATGAAATATTGTAATGAAAATATTATAATTCACAATAATTTTCAGTTATATAATTGTAATAATACAGTTTATTAATTAATTATATAATTATTATATTTGGTGCATCGTCATATACCTCACAAGATATACAATATAGCATTCATGCTATCATTTCATGTAATAATATTAATATTTATATATTATAGTAATTTGGCACGCGATCCTACTTTTTTGGCTCAAGACCTATTATATTGTGTGTGCCTAATTATTTTTAGCTTATGCGTGAGTAGGTGAATCGCATTATGCAATCTTAAAGAAGGATTGTTTTTTAAAAATGTTAACTATAAATGCTATTGTAGGTACGATATAAAAGACGTGAAAAAACTCAATAACCAAATATCATTTCCACTGCGGCCTGGGATGCAAATCCGAGATATTTATCCTAGAGTAAAAGTTAACCACTAAATAGAGAAAATTACCTTTTAGAAAAAGTACTATACTTGTTTCTTCAGAACAAGATTTTTGATAGAAAAATAGTTCAAAGACAGAAAAAAAAAAAAATATAAATAGTAAAATCAATAGATTTCTCGCTACGCTCCGAATTTAGAGCATCTAAAATAGTGTACTATAAAATAATATGTAAGAGGTATCAACTTACTACACACAATTATAAACGCAGTGTCATCAATTTAATTAGTATTGGTATTCATTACAATGGCGTAATTACCCCGTAAATAGATCTCCCATAACAAAATATAAAATTAAACTTTCAAATTATTCTTAAGTGGTCTCTCTGCAACGGATAATACCGACTATTTATTATGGAAAGCCACAAGATATATGAAGAGACTTTGTGTTCAGGTACCACCCATCAGCAAGGAAAATGGCACCTGGGCTTGCAATGAACACAAAAAAGCAGAAATATACGCTCGACATCTTGAACGCGTATTTTTATCATACGACATAAGTCAGAGATTCTGAGCTTGATATTGTGTAATGTCAACAGCTTATAGTAAACCACGTGAAAAGATTAAATATTTCACTCCATTAGAAGTTGACAAAGTAATAAATCACAAATGACAACTTAAACCCCATAAAAGCATCTGGCTATGGTGAAATAAATCGAAAAATATTTTAAAAGAAGGCTATCATTCACTATCATTATATGCACATATAAAATGCTATTTTGTGCTTGAAATACATTCCAGAACAATGAAAACGGGCACAAATGATTATGTTGCTCAAATCAGAAAAACGGCCAGAAGATGTCACACCATACCGACCGGTTACACTCCTTTCAAGTTCATCTAAAATCTTAGAGAAATTTCTACTTAAACGTCTAAAACCAATCATAGAAAAAAAAAACATCTTATACCGTACTGTCAGTTTGGATTCCACAACAAACATTCGCAGTAGCGGATTTTCAACATTTTGCTGGGAAGGGTCAGTAAAAATAATATGTATTTAAAAGGTATCTCTATTAATAGATGCCTCTTTTTTGGATGACATTTTATTGAAATTATATCAGTGTCTGGAGGGGGTCCAGAACCCCTGTACCCCTCCCTCTCGGTAAATCCGCAACTGACATTTGACAGTTAAAAAATTCGAGCAAGTCTTCTGGTAGAAAAGTTATTAACAGATAAAAAAAAAATAATAGTAATAAACATCTTTGTAAAACCATAAGCTTCTTCGCTTTACTCAGAATCTAAAAGGAAGGAATAACAGGAAAATGTACATTACATTTTTTGATTTATGAAAATTATCTAAATTGATTTTTAAAGGTCTAACTGAGAGGTAAAATTTAGAGTATTTAATTAAAAACAAATATTTGTTTTTTTTTCTTCTGACAATTTTTGATCTAATAATCTTTCCTTAAAGCCTTAATTTTTAAGCTCTAAGAAACATAATATTACGAGAAGAAGAACATCTGATAAAAACAAAAATTCTGAAATATTCTACATATGGCCTGTATTTTAAAATGTTTTATCAGTTAATCACACCTACAAATGGTGAAAATATAACCAATATAAATGGTGACCTACAAAAATAAACTCATTGATTTAGGATGAACCACATCTAAGATATTTTAGAATGCAGGCAATTATAGATGTAACCATAGTTCCTCAAGGAAGAGACATTTACCTCCTTGGCTTTTAGTAAAATATATTACAAATTTTATATTATACATGACATTTTTTGTAAGTCAGAAATTATGGCAAATATCCCATCAATCATTCCATATACTTAATTTCAGATGCAGGAGTTACAAGAGTTGCATATTTTTCTGTATGCACTGCATTTATAATAAACCAAGCTGGAAATTTGTTCTATGCAATGGAGATTTTAAAAATCAAGTAAGAAGATAGTAATAGAGGAGAAAAAATGCATAATTATGCATATTTAATAGTTGTTAATTTTTTTTTCTTTTTCTTTCTTTACCAATGTATTTTAAATAATATTGAATATAAAACTCAACATTATTTAATGTAGTTTTTTATTGTTTTTCTTATCGGCTCAGTCTCAGTATTTCGCCTTTTTTACTTCCTATAACTTCCCAGCTCTACTCATAACTGTTCACACTCAATTAATAAAACAAGTTAAATACTACTTTTAATTAAATTAATCATTCATGTTTTTAATTTGAATATAATAAATAATTAGTATAAAATATAATTGTTTTATAATTTAAGAAATCATTCAATACATTGTTTCAATAAAATTGTTATGAAATGATGATATAAAGTAATCACAGAAACCAAATAACCAAATTATACATTATAGTGTAATTATTAAATTATTATGTTTCTTTGTTTACTATTTGTATTATTTATTGTGATCAAATAAAAGATCTTGTTTTGTAAACCGATTATTCATACAGCCAATATATGGACATGAAATAAATAATCTCTGTTTAAACATTGGTTCAATTGAATCTTGGTCATATACATGTTGACAAAATTTATTTTTGACTGGTTTAATGATTGTTCGTTTTGTAAATGGATCAATTGTTACTGTTTCTAGAGTTTTAGAAAGCATTTCATCTGCAGATTTAATGTTTTTTTGGGCAGCTATTAAATGTGGATGATTTTGATAACGTCCCATTTTAAATTCAAATGCTCTATTTATTTCTCCTTCTGCCAACTCTTTGTAAGCTCTAAATAAAATAAATACATATTTAATGATATTGGAAATATATATATATAATTATACAATGAAAATATACCATTGCAATACCTTGGAAAATATTGACTTTTTTAGATTTTTTTTTTTACAATTAAAGAAACAAGAAGCTTTAAAATGTTACATTACCATTATTTTTTGTGATACTTATTTTTGGGCTGAAACACAATTACTTAATTTTGATTTTAAAATTACATCCTATATTAAAACTACCATAGTGAAGTATTAGTTTAAATAAAGGTAAGTGTTAATTTTTTTTAATTCTATCAACCTGAACCTGTTGATAAGATATTTCACTACTCATTTTAAAGCCGTTTGTTTTTTAAATTTATCAAACAAAATATAAAAAATTCCAAAATAAGTTAATATTTATTTAGGCATTGCAATTGGATCACCCTGTAATAACAGAAATCTTTTGATTTTGTGATTTACCTGATGGATAATTTTTAATTCAAATCCAGTTGTACTATACACATATCATAATACTCCAGGGAGTATTTATTTATTTATTTCAATAAATATATTATAAATATAAATTATAAATTATTTATTTGAATATTCATGTGATATTAAAATAAAATAATTACATATGCATTTTATATTTTATTTAATAATATTTGTTTAATATTGTACTTATTTTCTTTTTTTTTCCATTTCTTATGAAAACAGTTGGGAAAATCAAAAAATGACTTCCCTTAAGTACCACCCTAGTTATATTTCCTTTCAGAAAAAGTTCTATCATTGTAAATTGGAGCAAAATTTCTGGTAGAAAAGTTATCCACAGAAAAAATAAAAATAATCATTGTAAAATCAATACTGAATACATTCCTTGTTTCACTCAGAATCTAAAATTGAATTTTGTATAAAAAAATTGCATTAAAATCATAAGAAAATACAGATGTGTTTATAAGATTTATTATTAATCAATATTATTTTAATATTACCATAGTCAATATAGTTTTTTTAAAAATGTGTCCATTTATGTTATTTGTTTGTCACATTTTTTTTTACTATCATGATTTTCTTTTCTTTTTTTTTTTTGAAAAATAATAAGCTACAGTAGTTTATTATCTACAATATTTTAAATCAACAGTGTGTTGAAGTATATTAGTTTATCTAAATAATAAATGTTACAGTTGAAACAGCATTTTTTTTTTTGTATTTCTAAAAATAATTTTGGGTCATCAAGATCCTAAACCTATATAATATTGATAAACTTTTTAGTTGATGATTTGATATTTAAATTTCAAAATTTGGGTAATATGTCAAGTGTTCAAAAGACTAGTCTCATAATGTCAAATGTTATAAAAAATATTTCTTTTTGATTACTTAGTAAGTAAAATAGATTTCTATATTAAAATAATTATTCTTGTACATGGTGTAAATATTATTTGCCACTGTATTGGGGTACATACATATACCTATAGACTAAATATTTATTTAAGTAAACCCATAAAAGAATACACGCATGCTTTACAAATTACAAATATCAACTGGGATACCTATTTAGTTTTATATCATTACCATTGATTGACTAGTTACACTGAGTAACTACTCAGTCTACCAATATACAGACTTTTAATCATATAAGTTAGGAGAGTAATTAAAAATTGTTCTATTAAAGATCTAGACAAATTTATCAAGGAGCAGAAAGAAATAGACCATAGTTAAAATAGCTTGTCTAATTACAAACTTAATTCCATTTCAAAAAAATTAACAACCCTAATATCAAATTACAAAATATATGTAACATATTAAAATACTGGGTATGATATTAAAGATTTTCTTAATGCTATCATTTAATTGGTCTTAATGCTAATATTTTCCTACTATCCTGAAAATTGGTACAACATTAAACAAATATTATAAAAGAAAATATTATATAAAGCCTATTTAATTATTTTACCATAATAAGACATATAATATATTGTTGATAAAGCATAACTATCAACTGAAATCCACTTAGAATCGTTTTTTTGTAAGCAATGGTTTATTGTTGCTTACAGGTATACATTAAATTCCAGTTTATATTCTACCTTCCCAACTTTCCACCTACACCAGTGGCTGCATCCGGGCCCCATTATATTACCTTTCTTTTTTTATAAATAACTATTTAGAAATATTATTTATTTAAATATAATATAATAATTAATTAACTTGAGATTAAATAATTCTAATTAATCTAACATATATAATATCTAATACAAACAAATCAAGTTTTACTCAAATGTACATAGTTATTGATAATGCAAAATCTAAAGAGAATGTTATAAATAATAATACTTACTTTTGAAATTGGCTGGTGGTTTTTATTTTTAGATTGGTTTCAATATTACTTTTAAGAAAAAGGCTGTCCAAAGAAAAAAGTGGTTCTGCACCTCTTTCATATTTACATGTTTTTTCTATTAAATTCATATGCTTTTTGAGAACATTTTTCTTTTCCTTAGTTTCAATAGATAAATCATCATTTAAACATTCATTGAAGCTCACTTGAGTGCTAATGATATTTTTAAAAAGCGTTTCTGATTGTTGTCGAAAATGTATCATAGTATCATACAATTCTGCATCAAAAGCTTTTTTTTTTTTAATTTTAAAATCAATTTTCGTTTCTACAATAGTAAATAAAAAAAAAAACTGTTAAACATGCATTTTGGACTTGCTTTTTGAGTACAAATCAGTAATATATATATTTTGTATATTTCATTTTAATGTAATTATTGCTCAGGTAGGAACGTTTTATAATAGTAACATTTAGTCAAACAAAATTTGAAAAAATATACCCGCATATAAACATTTAATGTAAAGAACTATACATTAATAGAGAGAAATATACATTAATAATATATAATAAATATACGGGAAAATAGATACAATATTGAATAAATATTATTAAAGAAAATGATTCTAAGGAGAGTTCAATGAATAATGTTTTGTCAACAATATACAGTTAATATACAGTTAATAATATACAGTTGTCACCAGAAACAGGGAACACTTTATAACTCTGTACCTTATGCATATTTTTTAATTTGGTTTTCTGGAAAGGAAACAATATTAGTTAAAAAAAATGTTGTGTTTGAAAAGTAATGGTCCAGTAGTATAGTTTCGTTTTTTGGAAACTAAATTCAAAAATATGCGTAAGATACAGGGTTATAATGTGTTCTATGTTTCAGTGCACAACTGTATATTATATTGTTGATAAAGCAACATTATTAACTTAACTCTGCTCAGAATCGTTTTTTCGTATGTAATGGTTAATTGTTGTGTACTGATATACATAACATTTCCATTATATCTACCCAAATTTTTACCTACAACAGTAGCCCACTCACATGGGAAGTATGTCTTTATCTTCTATCTTTATTTTAGTTATAAAAAAGTTATTCAATAATTTATAGAAATAAATAAAATAGGGATTGTTGTAAAATAATTGAATTAATATTGAAACATAGACATCTACCCAATGTAAAGTTAAATAAGTATATGACTTAATGCTAAATATAATAGTATGTGAATGTTTTCAAATATTGCTTTTACATGTCCAATCAAGAAGTCTAGGTTCTCTTTGTGATTCTTCCAAGTATCAAGTGTCCACAATTATTAGAACTTATTTTAACAAAATGATACTTGAAATTTAACAATCTAATCATATTTTTGAATGCACAGAAATTATAAGTTCCAAAAAAATTGTAACACAAAAATATTTTAAATAAAAATTTAAAAATCAATAAAATAAATTGTTTTGTAAAATTAACTTTGGTATTAATTTTAAGCAGACAAATGTAACATGTCCAAATATATAGATACATTTTTAAAAATTTCAGTGATCAACAAATAATATTTTTAAATTATAGTATGTCAGGAGATATAAAATGTACAAGTTTTATTGTGATGCACATAGCATGACTATAGACATAACTATATTGGTTGTTGAAAATAATAATATTATTACCCTTATTATTATTTTTTACAATATTTTTTCATGTTTATTTGCCAATATCATAACAGCAAACAATCTTGCAAAAAAAAAAAAATTAGAATATAATATTAATACAGTGGATTCCACCTAATGTAGGCATGTTGGGACTAGTAACATTTATTCACATTAAATGGTTGCTCATTTTAATTTAGAATCGGTACTAGACCATTATATGCCCATATTAGATGGCTGACTGTATTAACTGGTGGCCACATTAATGAGAATCACTGTACTATGATTTTAAAGGTATTTTGTAACATGAGTACAACAAAATTAGATTAACAATCAATTTTATATTTTCAAAACTCACAAATAATGTTAAAAATGATATTAAAATAGATATTATTTGGATTAGATATAACTAAAAATACAAATATGACTATATAAGTTTAGTATAAAAATCATAAGGGAAAATTTTAAATGTGTTCATGATTGGATAATGATAATTGATAATAATTTTGTCCTCAATGACCATAATCAAGTACATTGTTTCTATAAACAGTCAGATTTTTATATTCTGATCTGATGGAGGAATGTATTGGTTTTATAATGTTTATTTATTTTTTTTTGTGAATAACTTTTCTACCAGAAATTTTGCTCAGATTTTCAATTATAGCCCTTTAATGAAAAGAAATTTTAACGTAATAGTACTATAGAGAGGTCATTTTTTGATTTTCAAAATAATTGGGAAAAACTGAGAAAAATTACAAAAATAATACAAAAATGTTACTTTCAATTTTGTGTTTTTGTTGTAATTCATTTGAAAATGATCATAGAGACTTGAAATTTGAATAGAAACATTATATTGGCCTTTTATAAAGATGATAAAATTTTCAAAACTTTTGAGCTATTTATATATATTTTAATACTTTTTATGTCATTTTTATTTGGTAGGTACTCTGTGGATACAATGATTAGACCAAACAGAAATGTTTGAAGATTTAACAGGAGATTCATTAAAAGTTGTACTTAGTGGTTATAAGAAAAAGTTGATATGTAAGGTCCGCTTAGAATCCTTTTTTGTTAGCCCATAATACATTTCATATACTTTCCCCTTTTTCCAACATATTTTTCCTAGTGTTGATTTGTACTACATTCAACTCAATTTTTTTTTCTTTATTACAAAGTACCACTTTTAGCAAACCTCCTGTTAAATTTTCTAGCATTTTTGTTTGGTCAAACAGTTTTATCCAAAGAGTATCTATTGCATAAAAATTACAAATAAAACTTATTTACTACATCCAGAAATGAAAAATATAAGTTTTCTATCCAAACTTCAAGTCTCATCATATATTTTTATCTAAATCACAAAAAAAAAAAAAACAATACATTTCACACAATTTTTCGTTTTTCTCTATTTATTGTTAAAACTCTTGAGAAAATCAATAGATGACATCTCTAAAGTACCACCCTAGTCAGATTTTCTTTCAGAAAAAGTGATATACTTGAAAATAGGAGTAAAATTGCTGGTAGAAAAGTTGTCCACAAGAAAAAAACATCATTTAAAAACCAATATATTCCTCCCTTCACTCAGAATCTAAAAAAAATAGCTCAAAGTAAAATGGACATTCTTTCAAAGATCCACACTATTTATTGCGCAATTTAAATACAATTTGTTAGATGAAAATTTTATCAAGTTTTTTTATATCATTAATGATCCAAAACAAAGCACAGATAATATTATACCATAAGGAAGAAAGCAATTAAAGCCATCACCAAAATATAAATCAAGTAGGTATTTTAATTAAAAAAAAAATCTAAGTTTATTTCAAAATGGTGTAATTCCTAATAATTACAAAGTATTTTATACCTATATTTCAGTAGTTGATAAGAAAAATGGTTCCAGGACGTGGCAGTTCTGAGAAAAACAAATTTTAAATTTGCAAGGAGTTATGGGGTACAATTTCTCAAGTATAAACTTGTAGGTAATAATATTATATGTTTTTAATAATTCAAATTGTATGTTGCATTAGTAAATTATTTGCTTTTAAGTTTTTATATTTTAATAACAATGAATAACATAGTAATAATTCATTATTAAGTTGTCCATATTATGTCATTAATAATTTATAAAAAGTCTATCTTTAGACAAAAATTATTTTTTAAATATAGTTTTGATCAACATTAACTAACAAATTATTATTTTAATTTAAGTTTTACATTATATTCAGTTTAAATACAAATTAAAATTAATAAGTATTTTCAAATGTCTTTCTTGAATAATTTCACATGTGTGACATATTATACTTAATTTTTACACCATAAAACTAAATATATTTTTTTTAAAAATGTAAAATGTGTCATTAAACACTAACCACATAAATAAAACAATGTTAATTAAAAAAAAAAATGACATACTATGCATGTGGGTAGGCCACTGTTGTAGGTGAAAAGCTGGGAATGTAGTAGAGGGGAAATTTAAAATATATTTGTATGCAATGAATAACCATTAATAACGAAAAAACTATTCTAAATGAAGTTTATTTAATAGTGTTGCTTTGTCAATAATATTTATGTTATATTATGCTAAATAATTACATCAGCATTACATATTTCCTTTAATATTTGCCAAATATTGTACTTATTTTCCGGTTTTCCTATATTATTTCACAGTTTTTCCCATTTATTATGATAACAGCTGAGAAAAATTACATTTTGTATATTTTTTTTTAGTTTTGGAAAAACTGTGAAATCAAAAATGACTTTTCTAATGTACCTTCCTAGTCAAATTTAATTTTAGAAAAAGTGCTATCATTGTAAATCGGATCAAAATTGCTGCTAGAAAAATTGTCCACAGAAAAAAAAAATTGAAATGTTTAATATATTTCAAATAATGTAATCTATAGCACAAAATAGAGATATATAGGTTATAAGTAGAGCTTTCTTAACCTCTTTATACACATATTATTTATTTGTGTTTAGATTTATGATCAATAATACATAGAAAAATACTTTAAAGAATTTAGAATTAGATTTTTTTCTTCAATAGTCTTCAAGGTTTTAACTAACTCAAATTTAAACTATTAATAATAAATTACAGTCAAGAAAGAAATCTTGCTTTAAGAATGATATTCTTATATTATTTAGATACCTACCTAATATGTATTACAAATTTTAATAGATATTATGTAATATTAATATTATTTAATATACAAATTAGAATATAATTTGTTGTAAATTCTTTTCTCACTTTGAAAATGATGTGAACACAGATAAATTGATTATACAGCAAAGCAAATTAATTTATGTAGAGAAGTAAATATCAAATAATTTGTACCCGTTACTGTTGCATACAAATTGTTTAGTTTTTGTGCCATATTAGACCATAAATGGGGCAATGAAATCAAACTATCAGTTCTTAGTAAATGAGAACAAATTATTTGAATCATATATTACAATGAAGGAGTCAAATATATTTGTAAGTCTATATAGCTTTACAGGCAATTAAACTAAGAAATATGCAAATTCCTTGCATCTCATTGTGCTCTGAGCATATTATTATAACTTATCCAAACATTTTTTTTTGAAAATCTATAATGGGTAAATAAGTTTACACTTACTTCCATGGTTTATCCAAAGAATAAAGTATAATTCAAATTTTTATTAAATAATTTTAATTTTCATTACTACCTGAAGAGTTTCTTTCGCTGCAAACATCTTGTAACAGTTCTCCAACTTCTTCATGAATTTTCAGAATTTTTTTGTTTGGTTCCATTCTAATTGGTTTGGGATAATTTGGAAGATCTCCGTCATCTTCCAATACAGGATATAGAGTATTTTCTCTAGTGTTTATGAGTTCATTAAACACTTTAACCCTCTTTTCTAGCTTTTTAATCATATCCATTGGTTTTTCTTCACTTTCTTTCACTTGTTCCTTCTTAACATTTTTCTTGACCTTAGACATGTTTCATGAAATACAAGTACAATTTGATTAACAGAGTTTTCGATTTGAAAAAAAAAAGTGCACTGAAATTCCACTAGATGACACAAATTTTACAATGGCGTCATACCATTATTATGAAATCGAATTTAAATTAACTATTATTTTAATGTGTGATTAATGATAAAAAATAAATTTTATTCAGTAAATTTTGATTATAATCAATTTAAATACCTAGTATCTATCTTCATAAAATATTATACATGGATCCAAGTAAATAATAACCGACAATATTTTATCTGAAATTACTGGTTATCAATATGAATATTCCTAATCGTTGTTTTGGAAGGCTGCTGTTGTCATTTCAAGGATAGCCAATCAAAACACTTCGTTTATTATCTCATAGTATTAAAGAACCTCCTATGATTTGACACCATCGGCAATCCAGTCCTCGGAATGAAGCTCTAAACATTAATTGCGTATTCATGCTGAATGTTCCGTCTAAATCACGATTAAATATATACCATTATATTTAATTGTGATCTATATATATTTTAGTCTATGGTATTTTAATATTTTTCAGTCAGAAAACTTTGAATTAAAACATTTTATACATTGATATCTTTAACAAAAATGTAAAAGAACGTACAAAGGCATCCATCTTCGGAAATCCAGGAGGGAGGTCAGAGGGGATATTGTATTTTTCAATATTTATCTTTCTGTTAACCTATTAACTGCTATATGTAAGATTAATATTATAGGTATCACTGTATTCCTATTTATCATAGTTTTTAAATATATTACAGACACGGAAAAGCCATGAAGAACATGTCCCCTCCTTGCCCCACCAAGCCTGCAAATCTTGAATTATACAACTTTAACAATTTTAAACAAATAAATAAACAATCAAATTTTGAATATTTTCTTTGATAGACCTAGGTATTATTTAACATTAAATTTATAAAACCATGTATTATCTATAGTAGTAACCGGCCATTATTTGTTTGGCTCAGATTTACTGCTGGCTGTAATATTTTTCTACTTTTTTTATAGTTCTTCACACTTGAAGAAATTATTAAATTTTCTATAAAATACTGATAAGCGAAAATTATTTTTACCTAATTTATTTTTGGCATTTTTATGCGCTCAGTCAGAGCATCAAATCAATTGTGAAACACTACTATTCAAATCAAATAATATGCTATAGTACTCAGTGTGTTCTATTTTTTTCAATACTAACTATCAAAAGGTGCTGTAGTCTGATAAGCTGAAATGGGCGTATTATAATTTACTAATAGTATTTATTAAAACTATATTTAAGCTAAGCATTGAATTAACATTCATTATTAATTATGTGGTGGCAGAAGTGTTTGCAGGAGGTATACCTACTGATAATTTCAAATAAACTTCATATACCTAGACAATTATAATACTTAAGAATACTAAAGTTCAATACATAAATATAAATTACAATAATATACAACTACTTTTTATAATTAAATAATAGTTTGTTTGATAAATAATGATAAAGAAATAAATTTACAAAGAAGAATGGAAGAAACCCAAATAATATATAACCGAGATAAAGATTCACAATTACACACATGGATTAAATAAATTTAATTACGTTTTTATAAAAACAAGTATAAATACTACTGTTAGATAATTAATGTCCAACTTTTCCCAATGTTGTATCAGTTTTTGGATTAGAAGTGACTTGTTGCATAGAGACTATACACTCGTTAATGCATGTTTGAAGATCACGTAACCTATGCAACTGCGCTAACCTCAAAACCTTCATAGCATGTAAAACCACAGGATCTTGAGAATCAATTTTGTGAGCTTTTACTTTATCTAATGGAAAAGCTTCTCCCTATAAAAAAAATATACATATACATACAAACAATAATAATTATGTATAATATTATCACCATCAATATTTACATTTGGTAAAACCGTTGATGGATCTTTTATTGCATCTTCATTTAATCTGTTTACTATAAATTTACTTATAGCTTCTAAAGTGATGGTTTGATCAGGATGCTTACAAATATTGAGTAAATCGGCAAGTTCTTCAACACCTTTCTTGAAATCAGCACTGTTGGCTAAAAATACAAAAAAAAAAAATGTATTGATAATTGAATCTAAATAAACAAGGTAATAATATGGCATAATATTGTTAATATAAAATGCTGTTATTGGACAATAACAATAACAAAAAAAACAAAAAATGTATACAAAATATTAATAATTAGTAATTTAAATCATTTAATAATTATTAAAAACTAGAAAATTAACATATTGACTAAATTTAAAAAAAAACATTATTACTGCTTCAATTAAACCACTAAACACAACTAAATAATTATGAAATGTATTAAGACAAATCTGTATATAATATTACAAATTTCAATTTTGTATGCAATTTCACATTGCAACATTGACATATAATACCAATTTTGTACATAACAGTTTTTAAAACTATAATCAAATAATAAATAAAAAATTATATTTTTATCACTCTTACTGCCAAGAAGTTTCCTCAGAAAAATATACTTTTAAAGACTCAATCTAGCTGTATTAATGAAGGATTTACTCAAATAAAAATAATTTTATTATCACGTTGCTATCTGTTATTTAGTAAACATTACTTATAATCAGGGCTCGGATTTTATAGCATTTGTTAATTATAATAAGATACAGATAAAAAAAGCAAAGTGAACTTTACATTTGTTTTATGCATCAGAGACTCCAAAATAGAATTTTTATACTGCTATTTTTTGGATATTTGAAGAATCTTAAATTTTTAGTGCTATTTTTTTAAATTTTGATGTTAATTTTTTGTTAATTGTATGTATAATATATTAATTTAACTTGTATTTTTCATAAATAGTAAGAAATATCTGTTATTTAAGTGAGTCCATTAGAAAAATACTTACATTTTAGTTTCATATTATAATCTATTTTTAAGTAGCCTGACTTATTGACCCAACAAACAGTATAGATCTATAACCTCTTATCAGTTGTATTTATATATTTAAAATATGAAAAAATACATTTTTTTCTTTACCATTCTTTATGTTTTTATGGTATATTACAGCTTATTTTAAGATTTTTTAAATCATATATTTCAGTTATTTTCAGTGCAATAAAATCCAAGCTCTGCGTATAATATTGAAATGGTACATAATATATAAACATCTTACCGTCAAGATTGTCAATTGGATTATTAGATGGTATAATCATTGGAACATCACAGGATACTTGCAGTGTCTTTTTTGTTTCAGAATCAAATTTACTTTCTGTTTAAAAATAAAAATATGTTTTTAATATTTTCAATTAATTATTAAAATTAATATTTCCTTACTTTGTTTATTGTACACTTGTCTAACTGCCAAACTTAACAGCCACTCCAAATGATCTACATTGTCAGCACTTTTAATGGGACTGGAACATGATACACAGAATTTTTCAAATTCTATGTCCCAAGTAGAAGATTCAATATTCTGTAGCTCAGATCGTTTATTTGGTTGATAAATTTGTAATATATTCTCTTCCAGCCACAAAATCAACATTCGGAAACTTTTTTGATCTGAATTCAATTTTTAAAATAATTAGTTATACCTATTATAAAATAAATATTTTACTTAATAACCTATATTACATTAAAAAAAAACTAGGTACAAGGAAAATTAAAAAATATCTTCTCCAATACACTATGACAACATTTTCTACCAGAAAATGTTCCCTATGTTATGATTTGAGAAAGATTTCTAGTCAAAAATTTGTTTCCAAACAGAATACAAAATAGATGTTAAATCCAATAAATACCTTATTTCTTTCAGAATTTAAAATTTATTAGTGTTATTTTTATTCATATAGGTATACGTAAACTATTACAAAGACCACAATAAAAATATTAATAATTATAGCTACACAAATGATTGAGAAATTTGGAATAAATTAAGTAGATTAGATTATCTATATATTATTACAGTGGTTCCCAACCTTTTTGTTATGGTGACCCACACATTGACTCTTTTTTGAATATGCGACCCTTCATTAAAAAGAAAATATTAATAAAATCAAGTATACCATAATGGCTCAATACATGATAAGTAATAATATTAATAATAAAAGTCACTACATTAAGAATGTTATCTAATTCAGTAGACAAATGCACCATCAGTAAAAAAATAAATTCTTATGAGTTATAAATATCTACACCAGTTGTTATTGTACTCAAACTAACATATTACAAGAAATCTTCATGAATATTTCCGCCAAAATTATATCTTATAACTACAAACAATATAACTTTATTTTGAACATCAGTACTTTCGTAAAACTGAATAAAAAAAAATAATGATGGATTTTGATTTTAATCTGTTTAATAATAATCGTTGTTTTATGTTCTCATTAATCTCGACAATGAACAAAGCGTCTCTGAACATTATTATTTGAAGCTGATATTATTTTATATTTATTTGCAGATTATTTTTCTAATATTTCTGTACTTAATAGTCTATTTTATTATATTATAATCAAAAGATTATTCTTTCATCACGACCCATAGGTTGGGAAACACTGTCTTATTAGATAGATGAATTAACTAAAATGTTTTGGTAGTACTTATGTTACATACCAACCTATTTAATTGAAAATACATAGTAAAATATTCAAAATATTGATCAGCCTACTACAATGATTGCAATCCTAGGTAGTCGGTTTAAGAATATGATAATATTCACATTTAAAATTTAATGAAATATAGACTATTGTGCAATGAATATCAGATTTTACTTAAATATAATATTAATGTGATCAAATTAGCATCTATGAAGAACAATATTTTACATAGCTCAACAAAACAAATGCAATTATTTTTTTTTAAAGTAATTAGTCCATTTATATTCACAAAAATGCATTTTATCAATGCAAAACAAAATATTACACGATGTTAACTCTCATTAACGATCATATTTATGTAACAGTTATTTTGTTTGATCTTATTAAGTTTTTTAGTAAGTTATGATATCTTTACATGGCGGGTACCTTTAAATAAAATCATATATTTCTAGTCCCTTTGTAGATCGTTAAATGTAAGTTTTAATGTATAGTATTATTATGAGCCTTACTTTTCACATCAAAGACTGCGGCTAATGGGTAACCCAAAGCTTTTAATTTGTTGACGGACATTCCGATATGGATATATTATTCTTGTGGCGTTACAACAATATTATTTTAGAACTACTAATTCACAGGTTCAGAGAATACGATGGAGCTTTGTTTTACACACTTATTACCTGTCTATAGAAAAACTTCAGAAGAAATATTGACATCCAGTAGAACACAGGACTCGTTAATTGATATCATTGTGATTATGGTTATCATATTATCTATAGCTGTGGTTGTTAAATACTGGTTGTACAACTACCACTATAATTTACTACTACGACTAAATAATACTCCGAATTTAAATTTTAAAATATTTAGAATACAAGTACTTACTCCGATATTCTATTACTCAGTATTTATAATTATTTATTATATTAATTTATTATTAATTATAATTATTATTATAATTTAATAATAGTAAATACATTGTTTGTAGATCTAATTATTTAAATTCCGATGGAGCGAAGAATGTATTGGATTTAAATGATGTTTATTTGTTTATTTTTTTTCTTCTGTGGACAAATTTTCTACCAGCAATTTTATTTCGATCTACAATAACAGTAATTTTTCTTAAAGGAAATCTACCTGAGGATGTACTTTATTTAGAGAGGTTTTTTTTGATTTTTCTAGTTTTCCCAAAAAATGGGAAAAACTTAAGAAAAACGGGAAAATAAGGTACAATAATAAACAAATATTATTAAAGAAAATATATAATGCATATATTGTTAACAAAGCAACACTATCAACTAAACTTCACTCAGAATCGTTTTTTTATTTACAATGGTTAATTGTTACTTACAGATATACATTAAATTTCTCTTTCACTACCTTCCCAACTTCTCACCTATAATAGTGAATGCACCCGTCGTCATTATTCTAGGAAAGATTTTTAAAATTTATTTTGTTTCATATGGCCCATTATCAAATGTTGCAATTTAATTCAACTATTTGGTACAGATTATAGTATAACATAGATAAAAATATGTTATATGTAGGTATATTAATATTATTATTATTTTAGATTCTAAATAGAGCGAGGAATGTATTAATTTTACAATCATGTTGATTTACTTTTTTTATTTATTTTTTATGTAAACACTTTCTACCAGAAGCATACTCCGATTATCAAGTATAGCACCATTTCTGAAAGGAAATGTTCTCTGGGTAGTACTTTGAAGAGGTCTTTTTTTGAAATTCTTATTAATATTCGAGATAATGAGGAAAATCTGATTCTTTACGTTAAAAAAGATCGAAAGATTAAAAAAAGGTTGTTAAGAAAATATTGGTTTTACTAAGATTTTTATTTTTTTTTCTATTTTTAAACTACGAACAAATTCTACCAATTCTACCAGAAATTTTGTAGAGAAAAAATGGGGAAAAAAAACGGGAAATTTATGAAAATAATATTTTTATTATTTGTTGTAATTCATTAAAAATATTCGTTGAGACTTGAAATTTGGACAGAAAACATATGTTTGGCTTTTCTAGACATGATAAAATGTTCAGAATATTTGAGCCATTTTTAAACTTTTTATGAAAATTTTAATATTTTTGTTGAAATTCAGTTTGTATCGATTCTATGGAATTGAAATTTGGAAAAAACTTATGTTTACATTTTTTAGACATGGTAAAATTTCAAAAAAATTAAGCCATTTTTGTGCTATTAAATTTTGAGAGTTTTATACGTAATTTTTATTCAATAGGTTCTGTGTGATAAAATTGTTAGACTAAACAGAAATGTGTGGAAATTTAAAAGGAATTTTAATCTCAAATTTTGACGAAAATCTTTCGAGTAAAAAATTATGTGGAACAAATCTAATTTTTCAATTTTTTGTTTTGAACAAATGTATTTTGCCGATTTAAGAACGATGTTAATGAATTTATTATGCGTTTGTCTTTGGCGTTGTCTAATAGTATTACATACATATTATTGTTATCCTAGGGATCCTAGTTCAAACCTGAGTTTCAAAACAAATATTTTGAGTGTATCTAGAAACCCAAGTCATCACTCGCTCGACTATTTTAATTGTGAAATACTCATCGATTTGTGGGTTAAACTTTTATATTATATATCTTGCCCGGTATATCAATTATAAGATGTAGCCTCATTTTTGAAAGGAAATTTTATGTACATTAAGGTACTTTAGGGAGGCCATTTTTCGATTTCCCAGAAGAGTTTTCCTAGCAAATGTGAAAAACCTGGAAAAAACATACTAGGAAAAACGCAGGAAAATCGGTACTATTATTAAAGAAAATATATAACGCCTATTTAATTATTTTACCATAATATGACATATATTGTTGACAAAGCATCATTATAAACTGAACTCCGCTCAGAATAGATTTTTCGTTTGCAATGGTTTATCGTTGTTTACAGATATACATTAATTTCCTTCTGTATCCTACCTTTCCAACTTTCCACCTACAGCAGTGGCTGCACCCATCTACATTATCCTAGGACAGCTTTTTTAAATACCAATGTAATATTATTATACTCGTTATTGTTATGTTTGTAAATTGTTTATACTATAAATATTCCACTACAAGTTACATAAATTATTTTATAATAAAAATATTTTTACTGTAGTATTTAGTTTTATATAATCACTTTGGCATCATTGAAAAATGAAAAATCACGTCAACGAAGTTAAAATTTAATTTCACTACACACTTATTGCATGGGTGATTGGATATAAGTATGTATATTGTGTATTGTTTATATGTATATATACCTGCATATGTATACATTTTTTTATGGTATTATGATAAATATGTACTGTAATTGTAATATTATTATTTATTAATGATTTTTAAATAAAATAATGATTTATTTGATAATTTTATAAACTTTAGAGTTTCTTTCTCTTCAATATTTTTATGAGCCATTATTAGGTCCATTGCCACAACCACCAATTGCGTTTATTTTTTCATTTTCTATTCCCAAAAATTCTAAGCTTTTGGTTACTTATTTCTAATAGGTATTGCTAGGACTGGTTTTGGGTTTGATTTCCATCTTGAGGCCAAGTTAGAGAAAATTTTAATAGTTGTTTATTAAAAAAAATCTCTGCAGATAAATTTAATGTTGGTATTTAATACTAAGTAATTTTGAATTACCTATTTTAATAAATTATCATAATAAATACCTATATAAAATAAATTCCACCATATTCAAATTTGGAATCCCATCTATTCAAGAATTGAACATTTATTTATTTATTGATATATCAAAAATAGAAAACAATAAATAACCTAAAATAAAAAACTTGCCTTGTTTATAAGATTACCAAAATTATATACATACTTTTTATCACCTATTCAATACATCAGTGTTAATGGCTAATCCACAGTTGTTTAGATGCTACAGGCTATACCTACTTAATGCTAGTAAATCTGTAAATCATATATCTATTTTTGATTTACAGCCTATCTGATTAATATACTTATTGCTATTGTTTAATACCTATACAAAAAATGCATATGAATTAATTTTGTATTATTTTAATAGAATAATCTACAATTTTGGATTATATTCTCTATATATATTAACCTTAAAATGTATTAATCATAAAATATAAAATTGTATATGATCTAACATATAAGCTAAAATAAAAGAGAAACTATATGCTAAATATTTGAACCTGATACTGATACTAATATTGTGCTGAGAATACAGCAAAATATAATCAAGGATAGCAGAAATGGGAAATAAGATCAAACAATCAACTAAGTGCACTTCATAAAAGGGAAAATGAGGTTCAGTTTGTTAGAAGTAGGTACAAAGCAAGGATGGAGTATGTTTGGAGGGCAGATGGAAAACTAATTAAGAGAATGGAGAGAAATATACTGGAACACATCCAAAGAGAGGAAAATAGAAAAAATTAGTCTCAGTAGTGAAAAGTCTGAATAAAGCTAGAAAAAATATATGTATCAAGTATAGATAATATAATATTCTTTATTAAGACATTAGTCATTAATATTTAATTGCTACTATATAGGTTTTCTTAAAATACAAAATTAAATAAAGTTAACACATTTAAAACCAATCAACAAATTAATACCAATTTGCTCTAAATAAGTTTGGTTGGTATAAACTATACTTACTAATTTTTGTTTGTATATTACCAATATTTGATAATATCACAATGTAGTACAAACTACACATAACTAGATATTATTTATTTTTGTGTACCAATGTAGATAATATACAATTTTATAATCATTGGATTTAGTTTATTACATAGGTACCTACATTATATAATGTAAAATAGGTAGGTAGTACCTAGATACATAAAAGCAATCACGGATTTCAGCATGGTATTATTTTTTTATGAAACAGGTAACTGAGGTAATATTTTATTTTGGAAAAAATTATAATAATTTGATCATATTTTACAATTTGTTATATTTAATACTTAATAATTTAATTTATTTTCTAATAATGTAAATATTACATAGTATTGAGATAGATATACAAGTATTTAATATTATTATACATTATATTTAGTGCATGGTAATAAATATTTAAGTAAAAGAACAGTTGTTTAATAATTTAATAAATGTACAAGATACCGATATTCATTTATTTAGAACACATTTTAAAAAATAGCTGTAGTTCTTTAGTAGTTTAAACTCTATGGAACATTCTAAATGTATACAATATATTAGAAATAAATTACTGAAACTATTATGTTTCTTTAGTTAGATTAAATATGGACTTAAACAATATTATTTACTAAATAATTTATATTCAGTAATAAAAGAGAAATTAATGGAGACGTTAATTGAAAATAATAATATAAAATCAAGATTTATATAATTCATTTATAAGAAATTCAATTATCATAATATACATTGCTATTAATATTCCAAGAACACTTGCAATAGTTGTATTCATTCTGAAAATAATTACTGTTGCTATTCCTAGACCTCCATATGTTATGTACCGAGACTGATCAGAGTTCTTTCTTTCCATGTTCACTGAAATAGAATATTTATATTTTTAAATAATATGTTTAATGAATAATTGAACTAAATAAACTATTTAAAATATTATTATTAAAATAATAAAAACAAAAACAGATTGTTTTTTTAAATATGGTATTATCAGGTGACAAATCCTCATCCTTTAAGATACAATGTAAATAATTTGAAGCAGTTTTACCAGCCATAAAGTGTTTTTTGGTAAGAAAAACATATTTTAGTAAAACTAATAGCTTTTCAATAAAATACACTTTTGATATAACTTTTTGTGTGTACATTAAAAATTGCTTTTAAAAAGATAACTAATAAATTATTATACATAAATGCCATTTTTGAATACTAATACAAAAATATATAAGTTAACCGGAACAAAGTATAATAATAACAATAATACCATAATTAAGTTTTTTCACATAAAAGTATTTTTTTTTTTACTTTAATGATTAAAATGTTATAAAAGACTGTTTAAAACTTATATTTTGTAAAATATCATTTTTTTGTTGATAAAGTGAATAAATAATGACAGATTATCTTGTTTTAGTGATGATCTATTATTTTCTTCTGCTGTATGTTTATATTGCTATTAGTAACACTACAGGAAGAGTAATGTATTCTAATAGCAATATGAATATTAAGTCAAATATTATCTTCCAAAGACTTTTTTTTTTTAATTTTAACTTGCTTATTTTCTTGTAAAACTCTTCAATCTTACACTTATAGTTTATGCTAGTTTCTTAAACAGGAAACATATATGTTGAATATATAGCCTCAATTTTTTAGAGTCAGTTAAAAATGCAGTTAGCCAACTTTTGGGAATAAGAAAGTACATGTGTTCAGTATGGCTCTAGTAGCTTGAATGCTACTAATAAGTCTGATATACCATCCAGCATCTCCTCATTGATTACAGCTGCCACCCCAAAACTGGTAGCCTTCATTGATGCCCACATAATCTCTGGCAGCCAACATGAGTCTCTTTTGGTAGGTTGATGAACAGTTTCATGGCAAAAACCAGCCAGATGTGTGAACAAGGCCAAGATCCTGTGCATTATGGCCGAAGAAGACTGCAGATAGTAATAGATCAGATTTCATAAAAAATGTATACTAATTTTCTGATTAAAATGCTGTTGCATATAATAGCTCATCTCACACCTGATAATCAGCACCATTTGACCAAGTATTCAACCCTATGATGTTGACCACTACTAGTGACCATTGTTGATTCTGGTAGTCTGATATCCTGTTAAATGATTTGATAAAAAGAAACACCCAGTTGTAAAAAGGTTTTATAATGTTCACCATGTGGATATATTTTCTGAAAAAAACTGGTACATCTTCTTTCTTCAACAGTGTGTAGTACATGAACTGCTTGCCTCAGTTATAGTTATAGTTATTATCCATCTCTGTGTGGTACAATAGATATCCAGAAACCAGCCCCAATGTCAATTTACTGGTTAGAACCTCCCCCCACCACCATGTTTTTAAATTGTCATTTCTATTGCCAGTTTCACCATATGTATACTATCTAGCATAGAAATGCCAAATGACTGAAATTTTAAATTGAATGCCATGACCATTGACTAATTCTAAAGATGCTGGTGGTGGTGCAACCTTGTTCTAGCATAGACTTCTCAAATTTCAGGAATCTCATGCAATTTAAAGTATGTCTTGCAGACTTTATCAACAATACTTTTCAACAAAAAAGAAGTGAACTTCACTGCTATATGATAGAAATAGATAACTTTTTTTTTATTGAAAAGTTAGAATATATTATAAGGTTAATCAGTTAATATACTGTAATTGAAACTAAAAACAATTCTACTAGTTAAATATTTTTTGATTATTTTAAAATTGACAAATTGTTTTTATTTTTAATTTTAATTTTATTTTACTACTATTATTGAGAAAAGTATAAGAAAAATTAAAAAATATCTCACCAATGGTACATACCAAAATTTGAGGATATTACAACAGATACATAATAATTATTGGAAAAATATTAATTTTTAACCTGTACTCTTATAGTAAAAAAAAAAAAAAAAAAAAATGTAAGCTTTTGAATATTTTCACATGGTTTAAAAATTTGTTTTACACTTGTAGCTATAAAGAAGATTGTAAAAAATGAAGGATGAAGTTAAACATTGTAAACCAATCTATTACTGGTTGAAAAAAAAATGGCATACATGTGGTAACAAATTATTTATGGTATTAAAAGTGTTTGATTAATTTAATTAAAATAATATGTTAATAAAATAGCTAAAATGTGCAATATAGAAAATTACACTTTTGAAATGTACATAAAAGTATTTAGTAAAATATATATGTCTTAGTATGTAAAATTTATTAAATTATATTATTACACTTAATTGAAATGTATAAATCTGTTAATTTTTAAAAGTAATAATTTATCTCTTTCTATTAATAAAACTGTAATTTATGCTATAGTGAATACCATGAAGTATCAATTGTTTATATGTAGCATCCACTTAGTGAATTTTTCATTTTATTATATAAAAAATAGATATTTTTATAGTTGAAATTCATGAAAGATGATAAAAATCTATGAAATAAGTACAAACATTTCATAGTGTTATGTTTTTATTTAACCATTTGACCATTCATTTTGTGTACCATAAAATTTAACTATAATTATTTACATGTTAATTATTTTAATTTTAAAAATGTTTAGGAAAACAATATTTTTACTATAATAGATGATCTATATTCTTCTTTAGTCTTTATACTCTACCTAAATACATCTAATAATATCATTGACTTGATAGCTATAATAAAATTAAATCTGGCACAAAGTTGGTGTGGAATAAAGAGTGTAAAAATGGAATTTGAAGCAAAAATCAAATTAAATAAAAAAGTCAAACCATTTTTTATTTCAGTGTTAAAAATAGTTTCCATTTCATTAAAATAACAATTTCACTAAATGTATGCTACATAATATTATATAATATAGAAAAAAGTTTTATAAATTTACTATGTAAAAACATTAAATATATAAATAAAAACTTAATTAATTAAAGTGTAAATGATAAGTGTATTATACAACTTGTTTTGAATTAAAAATTCATCATCAGATATATCAGATATCACAGTATCAATATGTAAAATAGGATTTTAAGTTGTGTTTAAGTCATAATAAATATTTATATATTTATTTATGAGTATTAACCATTTTAATAATTTTCTTTTTACTTCATTATTTTATTATTAAACATTACTTACTCTGATTTCTCTTCAACTTCATAACCTTCACTAGCATCTACAATGTAAAAATCGTGCAAAACACTATCATTACTAAAGCATTAATGTTATACATGCTATAAAAAGAATTAAAATGATAGGTTCTTACTACTGCTTAAGCATAATATACACATATTTGGTAGAATTGAAAAACTATTATCATAAATTAAAATAAATAATACAAACAAAATTTACCTAAGCATTTTTTATTTTTCATAGTATATCCAGGTGCACAATTATAACACATTTCATTTCCCTCACCATAACAGTCTTTACATGATTGATCACAACCTTATAACAATGAAATTTCATAGAAAAAAAAAATACAATAATAAGCAATGTACAGTTGATCACGATATAAGGTAACACTAAATATCTCTGGTGGATGGACCTTGTATTGAAATGGGGTTTTCGGGAGGTGATAGGGAGTACCTTAATACATATTTTTAGATAAATTTCAAATTTTTAACACTTTTGGTGTACGCATGCGCAACACAACTTACATTTTTTTAAATGGAAACACTATTTTTTTTTCTACATATTCGGATAGATTATTATTTTTTAAACATTTTTTGTATACAAAATATTTTTATATTAACAAAACTGACCAAGATAGAGCAAGTAAAAATTTGGATTTATGCATAATTCGTGTTAAATGAAATTTTAATTTATAAACACTGAATTAATAAAATAAGTAACAAATAAATGTTTAATTTAAAAATAAATAACCAATTACATTATCTGTTTACAAATAATAATTTAAAAGTACTGTTGATCACTAGAATGAATATCTTGAGTATTATGTCATCATTTTTGTTCAGTAAACTGCTATAATACGATAACAATTTTAACTATTTTTATAATGGAATTTTATTTTATTTAACAATAGCTCTAATAATGATAAGATAATCAAGTGTGTACTCGTGTAAGTCGTGAATGTCTAGTTATTATTAAGTGCTCCTATAAATTATAATTTTTTAAATATGAATAACGCTGAAAAAGTTGAATTGGTTTTAATTTATGGCGAATGTCAACATAATGTATGCCTAGCTGCTATGACATATGCCGAACGATACCCAGAAAGATACCATCCACCTTATAATTATGTGTTACGACTTTTACAAGGGTTAAATGAGGAAGGAAGATTTCCTGGCAGACAAATAATTCAACAAATGCATAGAGCAAATATGTTTGATGACGATACAGAATTATAGGTACTAGCATACATAAGAGCTCATGTTGCTCGCAAAATTGGAGTTTCATATGGTTATGTTCAAAAAATTCTAAAAAACACAAAATGCACCCATATAAAATAGATTTTGTCCAACATTTGCGCGCAGGAGATTCTATTCGTAGGTTGGAGTTTATAGCTTGGTTCAATATTAAATTTTATGATAACCCTTTGATTGTCAATCAAATTCTTTGGACTGATGAATCAAAATTCACTAACAATGGCATTATGAATAAACAAAATAATCGATACTGGGATAACACAAATCCACACTGGTCACATGAAACTAATTTTCAAATCTGGGGAATCAATGTATGGTGTGGGTTAGTTGGTGGAAAGCTAATAGGACCGTTCTTTTATGATGGTACGCTTAATGGCAGACGATATTTTAATTTCTTAACCAATGAACTACCAAGACTGTTGGATGATGTTTCATTAGACACACAGGAACATGTTTTCCAGCAAGATGGAGCACCAGCCCACAAAGCAATTATCGTTAGAAGACATTTAGATCAAATATTTCCAAACCGCTGTATTGGTACTTATGGCCTGCACGATCCCCAGATTTGACGCCATTGGATTTTTTTTTATGGGGATATTTGAAGACTGTGGTTTATTCAGATCCACCTGTCAATCTTCAGGACTTAAAAAATAAAATACAGGCAGCATGTGATATTTTAAGTGAGGACCAAATCAAGGATGCAACTTCGACTGAATTTTTGAGACGACTTGGATCATGTTTAGAACATGATGGTGAAAACTTTGAGCAATTCATAAGATACATTTTTTTAAAAATTTAATTTGTTATTAAAATATTTAATTAATACAGTTGACGAAATACCATACACTTAAAATAATGTTTAATTATTTCAAACTTATTTTATAAATTCAGTGTTTATAAATTAAAATTTCATTTAACACGAATTATGCATAAATCCAAATTTTTACCTACTCTATCTTGGTCAGTTTTGTTAATATAAAAATATTTTGTATACAAAAAATGTTTAAAAAAAAATAATCTATCCGAATATGTAGAAAAAAAAAATAGTGTTTCCATTTAAAAAAATGTAAGTTGTGTTGCGCATGCGCACACCAAGTGTTAAAAATTTGAAATTTATCTAAAAATATGTATTAAGGTACTCCCTATCACCTCCCGAAAACCCCATTTCAATACAAGGTCATCCACCAGAGATATTTAGTGTTACCTTAAATCGTGATCACACTGTATTGTCACTTACTTAAACAAGAATAGGAGCCTTCATTATTAAAGCAAAAATGTTCTGAAGTACAAACACCTTGCTCTAAACACTCATTAATATCAACACAACCATTAATTTCATCTGTATACACCCATCCATCTTTACATTCATTGCAACCTAAATATAAAAGAAAGAAATCTAAAATACTAATATATACCTGGTTAGTTAAATATATAAACATATAAGACAATAAATAATAAACAATTTTATAATGTCCCATAAAGTTCTGAAAAATGAAATAACTTCAGTTCTGATTAATATTTTAAAGTTGTTTCTTTTGTAATATTTAATATAATTCTTATATTATGTATACATTTTTTTTTCAAAAGAGTTCATCTTATTAATTTATTTTAAGAAAAATTGTTGAGTTACTGGTGTTTACTAATTATGAGTTGTTAATTTTCTAGTTTACAAATGCATGTGATGAGGAATGTATTGGTTTTACAATGTTTTTCCTTTTTTTTTTTTGATCTATGAACAACTTTTAGCTTTAAGGAGGTAATTTTTTGATTTAACAAGTGGTTTTCATTTGGGTACAGGTATAAATTTAATTTTCCTCTTTATCTTACCTTCTCCACTTCTCATCTACCATGCATATTACTGTAAATACTTTTTTATGAGAAAATAAATTGATATTATTTTTATAGTGGCAATGAAAATAATTTTAGTAATCATAAACTCAAACCAGTTTATAGAAAATAAACAACTCATTATTAGTAAACATTTTTAGAATCAAAATTTATTTATACTCGTATAGTGACTTTTTATTTTTGTAAAAATACATAAAATGTATAATTATAGTGCATGATTCTGGTATTAAAAAAAATCTCAAACATATTGAACAGAACAAAATTTATTGCATTAGTTAATTGTCAGATCTCCTTGAGAAACTTTAAATATTTTTAATACAAAGAATAATTTAATATAGTTCATGTTTTTTTCCCTCTATAAGTGTATATAATACCTTTTGGTCCAGAATCTTTACATCCGTTTTTGCAGGATTTATGACATTTTTTACAAGTAAGAGTTTCATTTTTTATAATGGCAAAATAATCATTTGCACATTGATCACAGTTGTCACTACTATAGCCACTATTACATTTACACAACCCATTACCCTCTCGAGTTCCATCACCCTGTAAAATAATTTATTTTAAACACTGTTAAATAATTATTAAACATTAAAACTAAATTACCTTGCAGGTTCCATGTGAATTACAAACATTTGGATATCCTTTACATGGTAAACAATCTGGTCCATAATATTTTGGTGGACAACATACTTTTAATCTGTTTATACAAAACCATTGATATAAATCTTCTTTGCGGCCATTTGTCCACCATTCTTTTAAGTGATGTTCATATTCACCAGATAAATGAAAACACTACAAAAAATAAAAATTATGACATCTAATCTCTATTCTATATTTTTAGAATTTACTCTTACCATATCTTGGTTTTTAGAAGTTTCAGTACACAATGAATCATGAATTTCTACAAATCTTACTTCACTGTTTGAATAAGTCAAAAGATTTTTCTCTTCCCACGCTGTATTTCCACCACCAAAGTGATCATTTTTAGTTCTATCAAGGCCCTAAAAAGTATATTGTTGTTATGCATATATTATAATAAATATAATTACTCAGAAAGATTTACTTATTACTTTAATTTTTAGATAATTGTTAGTATATCCTATGTATATAAAACAAAATTGTTTTAGACATTACCTTCTCAAATGATTCAACTAATACTTTACAACTTTTGCATGGTGAATTATCGTCAGAACTTTTTGGAATTAAATTACTGTCCAAAGCATACAATACTTGTAAAAGTGGAAACAGTAACAACAAGCGCATTCTCAATACTATCTGTAAATAATTTGTTTTAACAAATAAATATTAGGCATTGATTATGTATAATAACCAAACTAAATGGTCAACTATTAAACTAATATACTATACCCTATTCGAATTAGGTAAATAATTAAATACCATAGTTATGTAAATCTTCTCAACAATTTGATAATTAATAATTCTAATAACAATTTGTCATGAGATGGTGAAAAGTTGGGAAGGTAGTAGAGGGGAAATCCAATCTGATTTTCTTTCAGAAAAGATGTTACACTTAAAAATCGGAGCAAGATTTCTGGTAAGAAAGTTGTCCACAGATTAAAAAAAATAAGTATCTTTGTAAAACTATAAGCTTTTTCATTCCACTCAGAATTTAAAAGCTGAGTGTAATATTTCAAAATCTACTATGTACTGACAAATCAATAGTTTTAAATTTAAATCTATCACAAATAGTAAGTGGTCAGCACTCACAATTGTTTTTAATTTTAATGATTTATCATTGCATACGAAACTAAATTAACTATCCTATTCTCCTACTTTCCCAAATTATCATCTACAAGTTACAATAATGATCCATGAACAGTTTTCATTAACAGGTTAATGGAAATCAATAATTTTAACACAAAAATGGATCTAAACTTATAATCTATTTATTTCTGGAATTTTTAATAAAGGTTGCCATTTAAAAAGTAGGTTTCACAACCAAAAATAAGTAATATGTAACATTTTAGAATATATAATTCCAAAAACTTTCCACATAATCTTTTTTTTTTTAATAAGTATTTCATGACAAATTCGACTGTATCGTGAAATTTGAACGACTCTGTATATTATACCTTTTTAAGTTTTTACCTACAACAGTTAATACAACAATTGTATTAACTTATTTTAGAAATATTGTAAAAAAAGATGTTCTAGGATAATGGGGATGGGTGAAGCCACTGTTAAGGGTAATTTAATGTATACCTGTAAGCAACGATAAACCATGGCTTACGAAAAAATTATTCTGAGTGGAGTTTAGTTGATAGTGCTAACAATATATGGGGTGGTCAATTTATTTATTATCTCGGAAGGTGTAAACTTTTTTCGAAAATTTATGTTAAAGAACATTTAAGAAACAAGATATAACAAGCTGTTCTAAAATTTAACATTTACATCATTCACATTTTTTTTTTTATCCTAATTTTTGGGGGTGAAACGACTACCTAATTTTGATTTTCAAATAGCAACCTATATTTAAAAATTCATAAATATATGAAGTAGTAGTTAAAATAAATGTTGGTGTTTAAATTTTTAATTTCCGCAAGTTCGTTGATGAAATATTCAACTTTTAAGTTTGCATCGGGGAGAGTAATGGTTCATTTATAAAACGCTATGTGACCACACAAATGATGCTACACTACTCTCCCCCGATCCAAACTTAAAAGTGGAATGTTTCGTCAACGAATTTATGGAAATTAAAAATTTAAACACCAAAATTTATTTTAATTTTTACTCCACTTATTCATGGAATTTTTAATATAAGTTATCATTTAAAAATCAAAAGTAGATAGCACTTTCAACTCCAAAAATTAGGGTAAAAAAAATAACATAAATTAAAATTTTTAGAGCTGCTTGTTTATAAAATTGTCTGTAAAACATATCAAAAAAATAAAATATTTTCCGAGATAATGAGTGTCTTATGACAGATTTATCACCTTGTATATGCCATATTATAGTAAAATAAATAAATAGGCTCTATATATTTTCTTTAATAATATTTGCTTAATTTTGTACCGATTTCCCCAGTTTTTCTATGCTTTTTCCCAGTTTTTCACATTTGTTGAGAAAACTCTGAAAAAAACCAAAAAACAACTTATCTAAATCTAAAGTACCTATGAAGTGAAATATCAATTTAGAAAAATGACTATCATTAAAAGATGGAACAAAATTCCTGGTACAAAAGTTGTTCACAGAAAAAAAAAATAAACATCTTTGTAGAACCATAAGCTTCTTCGCTCTACTTAGAATCTAAAAGAATAGTCATACAAATTCTGATATGGTAAAAAGCTTTTTTAAACAAGGGATGGAAGAAAAGAAAAACCTTTTTTAGGGTTTCATATTTTTACCATATAACTTATTTTTGTAACATTATTTTACTAATATATTTACAAAATAATAAGGTTAGAAAAATGACCAAATAATTAAATACTAGTTGATAATATTTAAAAAATTTAGTTGTATTACTAATTTATGTTTAATATGCAATTTATATATCTACAAAATATAATAAAAATAATGACTAGGGTTTCTTCATATTTTATTTCTGTAGACAAATGCCTTTTAATTTACTTTTGGGTAAATTCATCAATATTTTTTTTAACTAGGGGGGGGGGAGTTGATGTATTTTTAATAGCGATTTGGGGTTCTCATCTTTGGGAGGGTTTTATAATTAATATACACAAATATATAATATTATATATTTAGGTTGTACCTAAAGGATCAAGAGTTCTGAACAAATTATATTTATGTTTCTGAAAAAGAAAAACTCATTACATGCAAATAACACTTCCTAATTATTATTTTCCTCGAGAATATTTTTGTGGTTTATATAGCCCCCTAGAATATACTTTAGAAACCCAAATACCCGAAAACCCCAACTTTTTTTGTCTTGTGAATTACTAGTTTAGACATTGGGTTGAAGTATGGTTTATGGTTTTTGTAATGATATTGAATACAAATTCAAGTAATAGGTACTTACGAACTATGGTTTTCACCAGCTTCAAATCGTTATTGTTAAGTGTTAGGTATAATATTTAACTTTCTAGATGGTACCTAAACCAGTTAGGTCAGTAGCAGTGAATGTATATTGTCAAAAATTGTACAATTGGTAACGACGAAACATAATATTATTGTAAAAATTATGAAAATGTACAAAATTACGAAAATCAAAATTATCTTGTATCGTATCTTTGAGATTTTTTACGTGGCCCAACCGGGCGGTTGGATGCCGGAATGATAAAAAATACACTATGTAGTATGTAGCAATAAGTAAACACATACTTAGGTATTATAGCAGTGCCGGCGTGACGCTTATCCTATCAGTCCTGTAATCAGACGTTAATACATTACACAACAGCTGCAGTAAGACTGTATAATGGTATAATAATTAATAATTATATTATACAGTGTGATTTTTTTTTAATAATTACATATTTTATTGTTTCAGCATTTTAATTAAATAATTACATATTTATGTAATTTTCATTGATTTTGTTTTATTGCGGTTCTATTTTACTTAGTTACCTAAGGTCACAGATCATTACTATGCAATTATGATTTTCAAATGGTAATACGTCACGCATTTTCAACAATAAATACAATTTCTGTTTACAGATTTAAATTTAAATTTCAGCATGGTGTATTTAAAATATAATATGTTGTCTACAATGTGGATCCAAGTAAACATTAAAAAAAAAATTAAACAGTTAAATTGCTGTTAAAATTAAAAACATTGCCAATAATATTGTTATGCGTCACTATTTATTAGTTTGATAGCAAACATATAATTGGACAGAAAAACATATTCTCTTAAAACAAGCATACCTAACATAATAATATATTCTTGCTAGCGAATAATTACAAATATTAACATTCGAATAAGTTTCATTAATTTATGAAAGTTTTACTATTGTAATCAGTAGTTGTTGGGTGTTTTATTACCAAACATAAGGGTCGAAAAATTAGTGCGACGAAACATTTTAGATCGGTGAGAGCACTTATCTTAAATTGTCTAAAAAGAAATTTACAAGTAATATTCTATACTTTTTTAAACATGAAAAGTACTACTTATAAGAGGTAGCAGACGTGACTTCAATACAAAATAATTATGAAAAATAGGAGAAAATAAATTGAGAAAGTATGAGTATTAATGATGAGAGGGGAATTGGAAGTAGTAAGAATCTTATTGAAAATAAAGGTAAATGAAAGAGGGGAAAAGGAAGATCGAAAAAGAGGTAGTTGGATGCAATTGAGAATGAAGGACAACTGACGTATGCAAGGATGATGTACTAAATCAGGTCAAATAGAAGTTTAGGACGAGGGTGGCTGACTCCATATAATTGGAATAAAAGCCAAGAAGAAGAAAAAGCCAACTTTCCTAAACTATGTGTTATGACTATCTTTTTCCCATATTTCTAATTTTCTATGAATAAAAAAACACTGTATATATATTTCCACGTAATCAGTTATCAATTTACAATACAAATAAAACAGTGGTTACCTAGAAAGACCAAACGTAGTCCACGACTATGATATTATCATTATTCATTTCGCGCGTGAGTATAGGTGTATGTTAAGTAACTATGTATGCGATTTTGTAGCACAGGCCACAGCCCATAGTGTCCGCGACTCTGCGTAGATAATGCCGATAATGGTGTCACTTAACAATTAGTCAACGTCTTTTCATACTTTGTTTTTAATTAATTAAAGTGTAATTATTTTTATTCAAATACCAAAAGAACTATGCGTACGTAATAATCACGAATCCAATTGTATTCGTGTTTTAGGTATCGCCTGGTTTTCGGTCTAGAGTATTTACCATGCGGGTCAGCAGTATGTGTTAATATTTCACTCGCGTATGGCAAAAAAAAAAAAACCACAACAATAAAGCAATCACACAATATCCCCGTCCGTACTGCCAATTAAACCAAATCATAAATCTGAATCATAGTCGTTTCGTCAATTAGATACCTACTCAACCCTGTCAAGTTTTTTGATTATTTTTATTTGGATTCTTGAATATTTGATTATTGTGATTTCTCCATTGTTAAGTGTTATAAATTAAATTATTTTTGATATCCAAGTACTCAATTATATATATATATACCTGTATTTTTGTCAGTACAATTCTATTAAAATGTCCACCAACGGCAAAGAAGTTGTGTTCACATCAGCAGACATGAACAATGAGGTAAAGAGTTTGTATCTTGTTATTGTAATGTTTATAATTGTGTCAACCTTTAAAATTTTTTTCTGTTTCTAGAAAATTACTGCTGCTAAAATGCCCTATAAAAGTTACAGGCCACGATCTGTGTCTACGTGTTCAACAGATTCATATAGCTCTAGTAAGTATTTACTTAGATAAGTTGGTACAATCATTTCTCGTTCTAAAATATTTTTAATAGTTATCTGGGGTACTATGTTACTGTTTAGAAAAATACATAATATATCAAAACTTACGACATTTTACTTATTTTTAAAGTATTTATCTTGTGACCTATAAAAAGTGGTTTTGAAAAACAACTTGGGTGGGAAGGGGGGTTATTGAAATTGCATAATGAGTTCTTAAATCAACAAATGGTGTTGTCCAAACTCTCTACAAAACAAATTTGTATTACTTATATCAGTTGTAATTCAAAACAGTTTTTTTTTTTTAAGTGAACACACAACATTACTTAATACAAAATAAATAACTACTTCTATGCCTTGTTAGGTTTATAAATATTAATTTATTAAAATGTATAACAATTATATTGCTATTCACAAATGTTAAATACACTACAAATATTGTAATAATATAACAATTAGAAATGTACACACTGAAGTATTATAAGATATACAGTGAAATCTCTATATAGTGGACAGTCTTCTGAAATTGAAAAATGTTCATTATTGAGAAAACCTCTACATAGTGGACATTTGCGAAAAATTACAAATATTATAGGGAGGCGCTACAAAAAATTAGGTATACATATACATATATTACTCTAAAATCAAAATGAAGTTAATTTTACTTATTTTGCGTAAGCATTTTTTTTGTAGTTACTTGGTAGTTGGACTGAGACAGTAGATGCAGGATATCCTCTTAAGATAAATATGAACGAAATTTATAAAAAAAAAAAAAGCTGATACTGGTGATGAGAGCGACCACTGTTGTAGGTGAGAAGTTGAGATGACAGAATACATAAAGTTATTTCATTTATATATGTGAGCAACAATAAACCATTGCTTGATGAAAGACGATTCTGAGTGCAGTTTGGTAATACATAATTTGTGGTGCCGTAATTTTTTATTTTGCGATTTTCGTTTAAATTTGATTTCAAAACTCTTATTAAAAAAAAAAAAGTAGTTCAAAGATTCTGGAAATTTCACCACATCTAGGTAAGTCCAATATAAGTATTATTACCAAGTTTCAAATCTCTACGTGTATTTATAACAGAAATACAGCAAAAAACTCCCAAAAATTACAATTATTTAAAAGTTTAAAAGTGGCTCAAAAGTCTTGATGATAATACTGTAAGAAAGTAAATCAAAAAGGCAACAAAAAAGGTATCTTATGATTTTTAGATTAAATCATTTTTTCTAGTCCAGTGTTTTTATTATCAATGAAATCATGAAATTGTACGTTTTCCTACGTTTTTCCTACTTAAGTGCATTTAATAAAAAAATGATATTTTTAAAGTACAATCAAGACAACTTGAGAACCTTCAGAAAAATTGGTACACGTAAAATTGGAGCAAGTTTACTAGGAAAAACGTGTCCACAGATTAGAACAAAAATCGCTATGCTTGAAATCTAAAATAAATATGTATTTATTTTTAATAATACAATTTTTATTACTTGAAAATTTTTGGTATGTACATGTATTGTGTCCATTTATAAGAGGTTTAATTTTGGTATCAGTTTTTAGTGTCCACATCCACTATTAGGAATGTCCACTGTTAAAAGGTTATAACTCTTATTATGTACAAATATATTTGCTGGGGAATTTTAAAGTTTCTACGATTGAGAGGTGTCCATTAATAGATGTTTTACCGTATTATATTGAAATCTAATATATAAGTGTATAAACCATATGAGTTTAGCAAACTTATGTACAATACTTATATATTCAGACTTGAGTTTTATATAATATTTTAGTATGGTAGGTATAAACTATTATTCATTATTTAAAATGCATTTAATTAAGTGATCTTTATAAATATTCAAAATTATATTTCTCCAAAACATAAACTTGTTGATATAATGAATTAATATTTGTTTCAATAATTTAGTTTTTATCAATTCTTCATTAAGTAACTTTTTATTGTTTTCAGATACTTGTATAAATTATTAACCAGTAGCCATAGTCTCAAAGTGAACCTATTACAATTAAACTAATATAAATAAATTTAAAATAGGTTATCCATGTAAAGAAATAAATATTAATTTTAAAAATCGTTAGATAACATAATGGGTCTGCAGTTTTAGTTCTATTCATATTTAAAAAAAATATTTACAAAAAATTGTATGCAAATTGAGTCAATAAAATTGCATATTTTAATTATTTTAATCAAGATAGAATATAGAAATATTAAAAATTGATTAGGTACCTGATGAAAACATTACTAAGGAACAACAAGCTTACAATAAAATTAATAGGCAAATTTAAGGTGTCTAAGTGAGTTTAGTTCTTAAAGTTCTTTTGAAATAAAATACATTTAAAGTTCTATTTAATATATTATATACTATAGTCTAATATTAATTTAAAGAAATAAATAATACTTTTAAAAATAATACAATAAAAACTTGAATAAATATAATAGGTAAACAATTTTTTATACAAGTTATTGCATTTTAAATTTATTAAGTTTAGATGCATTATTAAAAAATATTATTTAAAATTAAATTTGCTGAAAAAATGACAATACATGGTATTAGTTCCTATATATTATTTGTATATTATATTCTACAAATTATTATTTATTAGGTTTTGTTTTCTATACAATTGTTTTCTAAATACTAATTTTTCATTGTGTTAATATTAAAACTATAATGTAGTACCTGCTATTTTTTTTTGTGTTAAATGCATTCAATATTTTTACAGCAAGTTTATCGGAAGATGATACTCCTGTTAAATCCAGACACCAGCAAAATAGTTCTGGATTTAGTGATTTTTGTGTTAAAGATATAAGGCTTAAGGAATTTGGACGTCGTGAAATTGATTTTGCTGAACAAGGTAAAATTATATATTTATGCTAAAGAAAAAAAAATTATTATAATGTAGATATCATCATTATCATATAATCATCAACATCTTTTTACCTGAAATACATCTCACCTAGTGAAGTTACTATGTAAACATAATGTTTATGTGTGCTGTATGTAAAAATAGCTCGACCCATTAATGTTAGTAAATAATAAACATTAGTCAATAACTTATGTAGCAATTGTAATTTCTAAAATGTAGTAATTTAATGTATATTTTTTCAACAGTTGATTCATATGATACAGTGAAATATTTTATTTATCATTTTCTTTGTAGCTTAAAAATTGAAAACTTAATTTTTTAAAAATAATATTGTATTATACAGTACTCTAATAATTAGAGCATGGATTTATATGCATTAAAAACTAACTAAATATGTGCTAAGAAATCTTAAATATGCATAATTATATGAACTAAAATGTTAAAATATGCATACAAAATAAAAAATGTGCACTAAAAAATGTATGTTTTGAATATTTAATTAAAACAATTAATTTAAAATTATGGAACCCTAATATTAATAAGTTTCTTCATTTTTTTCTTCACTTTCATCATTTTGTAGGTAGTTTTAATGCATAAGACTCGATAATGATGATTTATTTTTCGGCATTTTGATAAACAACAGAAAAAAAAGCACACTAAATATTTTAATAATGTCAATTATAAATTGTCATTGGTTATAATGGATATTTTCTTTCTTTGGTATATGTATTTTATTTTTCCGATTATTGATCTAAGATCATATTTGGGAAAACCATTTATACCTACAAGTATTCCTATTATTTATTTTGATATTAATCGAAACTATACAAATATAATATTTTTTTCTTATATTACAATTGTGTATATTTCAAAAAGGTTTTTACAAAAAACATTGAAATATGCAATTAAAATTGGTAAAATAAGCACTTAAAATAGAAAAAAATATGTAAATGTCAAAATATGCATTAAAAAAGTTTCATTTTTTAAATTTTTATGGCATAAAATACATTTTATGCTCACTTAACATGCCATAGGATCAACCAGAATAAATATGCAAATGCATACAAATCTGCGCTCTATTAATAATTATAATCCTAAAAGATTTATTTCAATTCAAAAATATTAAATTTTTGCACAATTTTTGGTGCTAATTCGGTATGTGCTCTATAGAGTTAGATAGTCTTTTTATTTTAATTTTATTTTATTGATGATTCACATTCTGGATGAATTCACTACTGTAGAATAAAACTTACAGCTATCACAATTAATAAATTATACACAAAAAAATAAAATATTCAAACAATCACAATATACTCCTAAGAAACAACCTCAGTGGGCTATGTAACTGAAAACCGAAAAGACAATTGTTATAAAAACTACAGTATTAGAATGTCTAACCAAAGATAAGATAAGATAAATTATCATATCCAGAGTGTAGAATGGCAAAACTTATATTGCACATATGAAATTAGCACCCAATTTTAAGTTTGCCTTCCACATTATTCAAGCATTATTTTATATTTTATTATTCTTGAAATAAAATAGATTTTATTGTTGTATAATACAGTGGTATAATACTTATATCCTAATTCAGATCCATACAAATGGAAACATTGAAAACTAATATATATTTATATTTTACCAATCTATTAAAAAAACTATAAATTGATTCCATTTGAACAGTTTCAAGAAATTTGGAATGTATAATCGATGAATTTGCCCAACAGTCACCAGTCCCAGTGATGACTGATGACTGGTAGAAGAAATTTGGATGTTGTTATTGATGGTCTCCTACCATGGTCTGTGTCTCCTATTTTGTTTCTGCTCTTATCAAATTAAAAATTTTGCATTTTAGTATTTCAAAAAACAATACTTATCTAAGTTATACATGAGTTTTATAAATTTAGAAGAAGCCATTAGTGAACTATATTGAAAAGTAAAAATATGTTAGTAATATTCAAGATATTTTAACAAATATTCCTGGTTTAAATGAAAAACAATTAAATTGAAAACTGTTAAATTTTACTATAAAGTCATGTCAGATAAAACAAATGTTAACTTAGATATAACATCTACCTTATTGAATTGTTGTAAATTTGCATCAATACCTTACTAAAGTGTACCTAGTGTTTCTTTGTGTTATCTAGGTTATCTTAAAGTACATATGACCTTAAAAATTAAAACCGTTAAAAAAAGCAAAATAAAAATGTCATCAATTAATTTGTTCTTATATAATTCAAATTATGTACTTGGAAAGCTGTTTCACAAACACCCAATAAAATGTACTTTCCTACAAATTCACTAGTAATTAAGAGCCTTAGTTAATATAATATATTAATATTATATTACCTACTTATACCTATTTATTATATTTACTGTTTTTAGAATTGACAGCATTTAAGTTGATGTTTGGTTAATTTGCCTTAATTAAAATGAATCTCCTGAACCAGAAAAATTACCAAAAAGACTTAGGTTTTATAGTATTATATTAATTAGTTATATACATGAAGAAGAAAAATTAGTTAATAATAACTAATAAATAAATAAATAAAAATAAATATTATTATTCCCCCCTCTCCTAAAAATTGAATATTGTAATTAATGTAAGGGAACATTATTACAAGTTGTAATATGGGGGTGAATGGTTCATACACAATTTCTGTAATTGTTATTAGTTATAATTTTAAGGAGAAATGTTCACCGGTTATACATTCTGAATTTCTTGATTAAATAAAATATTTATTTTAATAAGTATTTCAATAAAAAATTAAAAAAGTAGTATGATATATTTATGATTGGTGAACTAAATATAGATACAGACTACAATTTATGAGTTAATATATTTTAGTGACCTTTTAGTACACCTTTTTTGGATTTTTATGTAAATGGAATCAAATTTTGCAATCATTTTCTTTTTACTTCATGGTATTTGGTTAGTAAAGAAATCTAAAATTAATCAATTGAGAGGTAATCATTACAATAATAAAATTACAGTTGTTAATTTTTTATTTTATAGGTAAATTTCATTTCATATATTATAATATATGGTTTAAATTCTCTTCTACATTTTATTAATAACTATCTACCATTCCTAATATTTCGTAATGTATTCATTTTTAAAAGCGAATAGCTTCATGAAGTTCATGATATTAGTAATTAATTATCACTGTTATTGCTGAATTTCAGAAAATATAAATACAGTCAAATTTTTCACGAAAAGCTTATTAAAATAAAGTTTATGTTAAAACTTTATGGGATCATATATTCTAATATGTTAAATTGTCAATAGTTTTGTGAGTGATTACTACTTTTGACTAACCACTTTTGATTTTTAAATATCAACCTATATTAAAAATTCCAGAATAAATAGAGTATTAGTAGTTTAAATGCATTTTTATGAATTTTCCACTTTTAAGTTTGAGTATAGGACGTAGAGAACTTTTCAAATATTCCTCAATCTACTGCTACTCAAATTATGTTCTATTATTCTCTATCTACTCATACTTAAAAATGGAATATCTCATTACCAGAATGAAAAAAACCTTAACATTTTTTACAGGTTGACAATTGAAAATTAAAAGGTGATAATTGGTTTACCCTCGAAAATATGGACAATGTAACATTTTAGAATATTTGATTCTAAAAAGTTTTTATAAGTCATTTTTTTAAAAGAAATATTTTATTGGAAAATTTGATTGTATCATGAAATTTGAACGATAATGTATTATAATAATAATAATAAAATAATTATATTAACTATAATAATATTTAACTAACATATTTCTTGTTGATAAATAAAAAAAAAATTGCATTAATTTAGAAATGCCTGGTTTAATGTCTCTGAGGAAACAGGTGATGGATGATAAGCCATTGCGAGGAGCAAAAATTATTGGATGCACACCTATCACTGCACCAACTGCTGTTAGTAAAAAAAAACAATATCTTGATTTCATAGTGTTATTTTAAATAATTTTTTTGTGCAAATTTTAGGTATTAATTGAAACATTAGGTTCTCTAGGTGCTGAATTGAGATGGAGTGCTTGCAATATTTATTCAACGCAGGTACATTTAATTATTATGTTTAACTATTCAATATTTAAGGGATGAGAAGTTATAAAAATAGCATATTTATGTCTGTCTTATATTTATAGCTGGCTGAGCTAAAAATCTGTTCCACAACATAGTGAGTTCATATATTTGGGATTTTTTTTTTAAATGTAAATATTTTAATAATTTTTTAAAGGATTTGAATATTAATAATTTGTTGTGCATATAAATGTATTTTTAGTAAAACATTGTAAATTTTTTTAATAAAATATGTATATCTTTATGAGATGCATTATTAAATAGTTAAAACAATACAACAATAATTTAACACAAAATCAATAGTTTCAATGATATAATATATCAGTCAAACCTAAAATAAAATTGCTTTATTTATATCTGTAAGCAACAATAAACCATTAATAACAAAAAATTAATAATATTTAAGATTTCCATTAAACTTTAATATTAAAGTAGGTAATCAATTTTAGATTCTGAATGGAATGAATCTTTTTCATTCTTGATAATTTTTCGATTTTCCCAGAAGTTTTCTCAACAAATGTGAAATACTCTGTTATCATTTTACTTATTATTTTAAATGCCACAGTTATATAAAATTTGAATTTTCAAATATAATTTTGTGCACAATAGTTTCCAATGGTGTCTTTTATGAATTTTACAGTTGTCTTATTTTCTGAGAGGAGTTCAGTTAATAGTGTTGCTTTGTCAACAATATGTGTCATGTTATAGTAAAATAATTACATATGCATTACATTTTTTCTTATCTCACATTTTTCAGGTTCGAAGTGTAGTGAAAAATATATTGGTTTTACAAAGATGTTTTTTTTATGTTATGTGAACACTTTCTTCCAGAAAGCTTACACCTATGTATACAATGTATCATTCATTCCCAACTTTCCGTCTACAACAATATCTTTTATTAAATTTTTAATTATTTTTTTAAGTCTAACAATTTTATCCTCAGAATACCTATCAAATAAAAATTATGTAAAAAACACATAATTTAAATGTCTATAAATAGCTTAGACATTCAAAATATTTAATTTATATTTTATGTTAAACAATTTGTTAAAACACAATTATAATATAAAATGCTCAATTATTAAAAAACACTATATAAGAAAAATCAGAAATCTGCTCCTCAACAAGATTAAAAACCAAACAAAAAAGGTCTCTAGTAATTTTTTTATCAGACCAATATTTCTGGTAGAAAATATAGTTTAAAAAAATTAAAAACAGTGAAGTCTGATTTATATAGATTAATGTATACATTATTTTAAAAACCCCTTGGAAAATCAAAAAAAATGGCCTCTCTCTAATCAACTAGACAAAATTTTCTTTTAGAAAATGTACTACTTTTTGTACATCTGAGCAAGATTTATTTTTGAAAAGTTGTTTACAGATACAAAAAAATAATATACATCAATATAGTAGAACCAATAGACCAATATAATTAACCAATAGAATCTCAAAAATTAAACTAATTCAACTTTCCTTTAGACAGGGTGCTTGAGCAAAGACGCTATCAGTTAATGGAAAGGTCTCTAGACTATTTGCATTAGAGCCTTTTAATAGTATTTTCAGAGATGAACAGGGAGTTATCATGAATGGGTTTTTGTGGCCAGAAAGTTGTCTGTGGTCAGAAAGAAAGGTTTTTTTGCTACATTAGCAAAAAAAGGTATGGAGAGTAAATGATAGAGGGTGTGTTAGAGACCTTATATGAAGCTTTAGTAGTTTATTAATGTTAGTAGATTTTTTTGACCCCTAGATTTGGATGCCATACCAGATGATCCCTTTAAGTTGGCACACTCGTTATCTAGGAAAGTATTAACTTTTTTTGAAATTTGTTTTCTAGAACATTTAAGAAACAAGCAGCTCTAAAATTGTATATTTATGTTTTTTTTTGTCACCCTTATTTTGGTTTGGCGTTTGAGAAATATAGAATGTAATATATTTATTTTTTTTTTATATTTAGTGCATTTTGATGCATACTCTTTCAGTTTTACCTCTTATAACTTCTCATCCTTAATTTTTAATTTACACATGATTTGGTACAGATCTTAAAGTTATGATTAAATTATGGATACTTGCCTAAAAATTTAAATTAAATTAAACAGTAGTTTAATTTTGTCTCTTAAAATTTGTTATAGAATGAAGTTGCTGCTGCTTTAGCTGAAGCAGGTAATAATGGTCATCAAGTTATATTATTGATATGAGAAAAATAAGATAGGTGAGATACTATGCTGAAGTGTAATCACCATATAATATAAACACATCTGGTACTAACGAATTTTTAAATGTATGGAATATTTGAGAACATGATATTCACTATTCAAAAGTTTATTTACCTAAATGATTGAAACTGTGTAATTCAACTATTCATTAATTTTAATTAATCACAAATATATATAGACTCATACTTTAATAATACTTGAGACTAATATATTACTCATATTCATACTTGGAATTCCCTTTCATTTAAAAAGAGAAGACTTAAACCCACACATTGCTATGTCCCTAACTAATTCCTCGTTGACTATATAGATCATTTCTAGTTTCTTTGTATTTCTACATGGTTATTAAGTTTTATTTAATTATTTAATTGGGTTATTCTATAACATACATGTCATGATATAAGTCTTAGCCCCATGTTGAATACAATATAAATTATATTTTGGAAAGTTTGTGATAGAATTCTGATTTTAATTGTATAAACAATTACTATATTTTTTATGTATTTTTATCTGTATATGTATTCTTTTTTTCCTTCAATTTCATTCTATTGGTATCAGCCATCCTTGTCCTAAACCACCACTTGACCTGATCCCCCACTTAGTCCTTCTATAAACTTGCCATTCTCCCATCATTCTCAATTGCATTCAATTACTTTTTCGGCCTTCTTCCCTCTTTCATCTTACCTAAGCTACCTCTTATGTACTCATTGTTTGTCCTAACTTTTATTATTATTCCACTCATCTACTTTAGTATTCTCATCTTTGCTACACTCATTCTCTGTTCTATTTTTCTGCCTATTGCTCAACATTCCAAACTATAAACATAGTCAGTTTTACCACACTTTTGTAGAACTTAACTTTAAGTCTTATTAAATTTCTCTTGTCATATTAAACATCTGACACTTCTCTTCACTTTATAAATCCACACTTAATCCTATATTTTACATCCTTGTCAAAGCCACCATTCTTTTGAACAAAAGATCTTAGAGACTTAAAGCTCTCAACCTATTAGGTCACTGCTTTTCGCCATTAGGTATTTTGTCTTGTCATACTCTATAAACTCTGTTTTATTTCTACTTATCTTCAGTGCTTTTCTTTTAAGTGCTCTTCTCTATTCCTCAAGCCTATTGACTTCCTCCAGATTATCATCTGCAAATTCCATGCACAGTGGTATCTTGTATATCCTTTGTAACTTCATCCATTACAACAGAAAATTGGTAATGGCTTAAGACTGACTCTTGATGTACACCTACTCCAACCCTGAAATATCCTCTGTAATTCCATACATACTTCTTACACCCATACTTCAACTTTTATACATATCCTCTATTAAACTAATATAGTCTACTTTTCTCGTTGAAAAGGAGTTATTGAAAAACCTTTTACCTAGCCTCTCTCGTAAAATTTTTTTCACTTCCACCGGTACACTATTTGCATATACAACTTTTTTTTTCATTGATCACTTCACTTCCTCCTCTAACTAGACATACCAGCTTTCATAAAACACTATCTACTATCTCTCTTGTATACTGCTCATTTGGTAATTTTTCAAAATATTTCTACCATCTATCTGTTAAATCCTAATTATTTTGTTAATATTAGTGATGGGAAAAATCCGGTTTTGTTAAAGTTCGAAAAACCAGATACTTGAAATTCTAAATCTGAAATCCGGATTTTAGATTTTGGAACATTAAATTAGTATTCTTTTATGTATTACTTATAATACATTTTTCATAACTACACTTAGATTTTATATCAAGAAAATTGATTTTTTAATTGGAATACAGAAATCTATAATGTGAAACCCAAAATTTGAATTTAGTAGCCTAACATCTGAAATCAAGATTTTTCAGATAGTCTGGATTTATATTACATCACCAGTAACCCTTTTATCTACATATTTTATACACCATACATTATGGAAACCTCTGGACCATTGTTCTCCAATCCTGACCAATCTATAAACTTTTTTTTCACCTTCCTTTGTTTCTAGTTTCTTATATTTCTCATAATATTTCTTTAACTTCACTTTACTTAATGCCCTCTTAATTTTCTTGGACAGTCTTTTGTACTATATCCAATCATCTATTTTTATGTTTTGCTGCTAAAGATTAAATCATCTTTCCTTACTAGCTATAACTTTCCTAACTTTCCTTATCAAATCTCACTATCAAGTTTACTATTCTCTGGCATACTACTACTACTCTCAACAATGATCTTCATTGTAGTACTTTTAGTACAAGTGGCCATCCTTTCACACATTTTTTTTATATTTTCCTCAACATTCCATAAGACTTTCTTTATTTTTAAACTTTTTTTTTTTGGCCACTCCCATTATTTTCTACCACCAAATCTTTACTTCTTCCTTTCTCTCTTTTTTTTCGTTACAATCTCATTAGCTTCATTTCTCTCTGTACTATGTACTTTCTGTATCCTCATTACATATCACCGTTCATATCACCACTAGTCCTTTATTTTTGGTATTTTTTGCATTACCCTAGTTATCTCTTGCCAAAACTCGTCTTTATTATTCTCTTCACACCTTATATGTGGAGCACTTAATACATTTTTTCTTATTTGCTAGCTTCACCACTTCTATAATTTTTTATTCTAGTTCATTACTACTTTACTTTTTAAATCTTCACCTACTATTATTCTTACACCATTCATTATATTATGCCTACCTATGCACATATATTATTTTATAATGTTATGCTTTCATAGCTATGCTATGTTTTGTTATAACATGCCCTCCCATTAAATAGTTAACAATACCTCAACTATAAGGTGAATTCCTCTACCCTACAGAAAACAATATCATATACCAGTTGGAATCACCCACCTGGGCTTTCCACCAGTAGGAGCTGGTTTGCTAAACCTATAGTATCCTATCCTCCTCCCCACTGAAGTTGTAGTTGTGTATATGTAAATTTTTAATAAATTCATTTTTACAATTTTAATATTTTGTTACATAATTTTTTTGTTGGAATTTAAAAAAAAAATGTTATTTTATTTAGTCAATTTCTATTAATTTTATAGTACTAGTAGTAATAAAAGCATTTGATATTGATTCCCATGAATGACTTGTTGTATTATTATATATGAGTATATTATACAGGTATAATTATTATTGGGAAACACTATAACTCTGCATTTATTAAATATATTTGAATTCTGTTTTTTTGGGTATCTAATAAACTTTTGTTATACACTTATTAAACCATTTTTAAAACAATTTTTTTGAATTTTAATGGTCAAACCACAGTTAAATGTTTGATATTATATTTGATGACTTAAATTGTTCCTTTTTACACTTCATGATATTTTCTAGTACTATTTTAAGTACCTTTTATGAAGGAGGGATAGTCCTCTTCCCTACCAAAACTTACTTATTTTATATAATTTGTCTCTTTTAACAATATTTAAAATTACGAGGATGTAGGTTTGAACATTAATAGTAAAACAAAAATAAAAGAATAGGAGTTAATAATTTTCCCACCAAGAGTGGTGGAAAGGGTGTATTGAAAAAAAATTTGTTATTAGCATTTGTGATATTAAATGGCATATAAATAGTGTTTAATAAATGTAAAACAAAGGTTGTTAGGCACCTAAAAAAAACTGAATTCAAATATACTTAATATGTAGAGAATTATATTTTTTCCAATTAATGATTACTTACTGTATGATACACACACACACACACATACACACACATACACATATGTATATTAAATGTAATCTGTTGGTATCTTTAAACAATCTTTTATGGTTTCTAATGTTTTATGAAACTATAAGAAAATTATTTATTTTATATTTATTTAATGAATATTATTATAATAGATTTTATTATAGAAAAAAATAGAACAAAATACCATGTGAATACAAATACAGATTAATGTAGACAGAAAAATTCAGAAAACAAACAATAGAAAGAAACATAGTTATCTATCACAAAGAGAAAAATACGTTTGTGGTAGTTGAGATTTAAAAAAAGAATTGATTGAAAGAAGAAATTTAAGCTAAAACACAAAGGAATAGTTTACTATTGTAGTTTTAAGAAAGTTTATTTTCCAGAAATTATAAAAATCTAATAGAAAATGGATTTACATCAAGAAAATTTAAAACTATCATAAAAATAATGTTGATATGATTTCACAAGACGCAAGAAACCTTTTTATAATATAAAGTTGAGGAAATTGTAGTACAATAATGTATTTAATTTAAAGTGGCTTGTATAGAAAAACAAGAAAGTTTATAATAAAGTAAAATTAATGTTTGGTATTTTCAAATTTTGTAAAGTTAATTAAGAAACATTTAAAAAAAATATTCATAGATCTAAAGATTTATCTTTAATGAAAAATCTTACCATGGGTGAAATTAGCCAGAAAATCCAAATTATAAGTATATCTTTATTATCTTCATTAATTTTATTTTTAAAATGAAAAAAATATATTAATAGTAAATTAGTTAATGTACAACTTTTAAAGGAAACCAAGAAAATGTATAAGTATTTTAAACTATGAGTATATAAAAAATATTTGCTATTACTTCTATATTTAATATAGCCTGTTTATGGATAGATAATTTGTTTTAGTTCAAATAACCATAATATTATTAATAATATAATCTTCAAAAAAAAAAACTTTGCTGCTGTGTCTAATGATTTTTTTTTTTTGTCTTCAAAAGAACAATAGGATAAAAACATTAATAATTTTGAATTAAAAACTATAGAAGTGAATGTTATTTATAATTCCAAGCCTACAAATTAATTTCATAAAATACTTATTTCTTTAATGTTTAACTGTTAGATAACGCTATACCTACATGTGCTCAGTAGTGGATCCAGGGGAAGCACAAAGGTACATGCTTTGTATGAGGACTATAATGTGTCAATGGATAATAGTTTTGTATTTATGTATTTATAATAATTTATAATTGATTTACTAAAAATATAAGTAATATGCCCTTCCTTTAAAAAATGTTTGGATGTATCTGTCTTGGAAATGTATGACATAGCAAATTAGTATTGATGCAGGACAACTTTATAATTTATGATAGAGTAAATTGGCCTATTATACAATTTATAGATAAGAATCCATTACCTATGGAATGTTTGTAATATTTTAATTTTTAATTGACATTAGAAAATTGTAATATTTCACATACTCCTATCTCTATAAATATCACTAACATTGCACATAAAATGTTCTTATCTTTAAATTTCATAACTAATCAATTACTCTAATTTTAAAAACTGCCTAGCACAGTGGCAGATTTACTGGGGGGAGAATTTAGGGGGTCTGTACTCTCCACAGACACTGATATAATTTCAATGAATGTCGCCCAAAAAGAGGCATCTCTAATAGAGAAACCTTTTCAATACATATTATGATATTGGACCTCTCCCAAAAAAATGTTGAAAATCCGCTACTTATCTAGCATGAATTCAAATTTGCCATGTATATTTGTAAGAAAGAAATAGCACACAAGGGTATAACTAGTAAAAAAACATTTTTCAGTAATAATTGCCATTAAATTAGTAAAAGTTGAATAATTTATTAAAAAAAATACTGTTTTAAAAATTTGCTCAAGATTTTCATGAAATGTATTAAATTATTAGAAGTTTATTTCAAAGTTATTTTTATTAGAAAAAATTAAAGATCATTTTGAAGTTAATAATTTAAAATGCATAGAAGTTACATAGGTCGGTTCAAAGATATTTTAACTTATTTTTTTTTTAAGTGATGAAATCAATTTATAATCATTTACATAATATTACTATTTTTTAAATTTTATATTCTGATCTTTCTATAAAATTCGAGCTTAATGAATATTGATATTGTATGATGTAAAAGTTAACCATCTATGCATCTCATAATATCTAACCTAACCTTAATCCAGGAAACTATTGAATACTTGGTTGCAATTATGATTCCCTCAAAAAGGAATTTATGTACCTATAGAGATTTTACGAAATATAAAGTATTTTTGAGATGAATCAAACAACTAAATTAAATTAAAAATTATAAATTTCAAAAAGAAATAAATTTAGATTTTAGATTTTGAAAGATATAATTTTATTTATGGTTATAATAGTAGAAACCGGTTTGGAAATTTGTATCACATGGGTACCACTATACCGATAAGAACTATTTAACTAATATGGTGCTCTATTTCCAATCAATTTCTACTGTGTGCAAAACAATTTATAATTTTTAATTACAGTCAGGAATTTTTGTGAAACAAAATTGACAAGGTTTTTTTATAATCAATGATTTATTGATTCATACCTATGATAAGAAAAGTGTCTAAACGTTTATTTTACATTTTTGATTGGTTGATCGTCTTATCATCGACTAAAATAATCCAAAGTTTCAAATTTTTGATTAACCAAAATATAAAAAAAAAAATTGTCTACAATGAATTCATCCCAGTTTATATGTTTTAAACAAGTGAAGTGGTTTGCTGCTAACTGTTTCTGTTATAAATAAATAATTTTATTTTCAATTTGCTTGATAATTTATTTATTAACTACTTAATTCATGTTCAGTAGACTATTATGTGTGCATTTTTAATATATATATGTTATTGAGTGTGAAATTTGGAAAATCAATTGAACCAATCATCTTAAATAGATACTGAGGTGAAACAAAATTATGTTATTAATTATTATTTAAGTGAGTGTACTTATATACAAATATATTTTTACTATATATGGTGTAACATTTTTGCACAAATCCACTTGTACTTGTTAATTTCAAATAATTAAGGACTTACATTTTTTACTCATTTTGTTACTAAATTTTAGGATTTCCAGTATTTGCTTGGCGAGGTGAAACTGTTGATGATTTTTGGTGGTGTATTGAAAAATGTTTTGAAGCCAAAAATTGGAAACCTAACATGATTTTAGATGATGGTGGGGATGCAACTAATTTTTGTCAAGCAAAACATCCTAACATTTTTAAAAATCTAATAGGTAAATAAGTACACAATTTAAAAAAAATAATAATAATACCCTTCTAAATTACCTAATTTATATGTACCTATGTAATAAAATACTTATTAGACTTTTTGATCAATATTTGTTTCACTTTCTGTGGTAGGTACCTATATATTAAGTAATAAACAATTATTATAAAATTAATATTTTCTTTACTATTTTATTTTTAAATTTCTTAATTTTTTAACTATATTAATAAACCAAAAATCTCAAAAATAAATAGACAAAAGCTAGTTAATCATACATCTCAACATAAATTTTGTGCTCAACAATCTCAAAAAACAATATTTTTTCGAATAATATATTTTTTGAGTTTAAAATATTTAAATTACTTATCAATTCAATACTAAGATAAACTAAGACAATTGTTTTAACAACCTATTTATTTAGAAGCTTAAAAATTGAGTTTAAACAAATTCCAAATTTTCTTTTTAAATTATTTACTTAAATTATAATATTGACTATTACTAAAATTAGTTTTAAAATCTTGGGCAGTATTACCAATAAAAATGTGTATGAAATGTTGACTAGGAATTGTTGAAGAAAGCACAACTGGTGTTCATCGCTTATACAAATTGTTGAAAGCTGAAAAACTTTTAATGCCAGCTATTAATATCAATAACTGTGTAACAAAAACTAAATTTGATAACCGTTATAGTTGTAGAGAATCTGTAATTGTCAGGTATAAATGTTATACTTCTTTATAAATAAGTAATACTATTATAATTATACTTTTTATGTTTTGATAGCTTAAAGAAATGTACTGATTTGATGTTTGGTGCAAAACAAGTTGTTTTATGTGGTTATGGAGAAGTTGGAAAAGGTTGTTGTCAATCTTTGAAAGGACTTGGTTGTATAGTTTATGTTACCGAAATTGATCCAATATGTGCTCTGCAAGCTTGGTTTGTAATTCATTTGTTAATTTACATTACTTTAGTTTTCAATATACAGGGTGTCCCACGATGATCTGCCACTTGAAATAACTTTTGTTCTATTCAATATTTTTGATATATTTTTTTTGGAAATAATTATTATGTCTCTGAGCTACAATTTGTATATGAACATTTGTTTTTTTTTTTTAGGGGAAGGGGGACCTAAAATAAAAAATTTTAAATTATATCATATTTATTTTTAAATAGCCATTTTATAAAATAGATTTTAGAAAATGTTTAGTGGTTGAAACTTTTATTAAAAAAATAGTCTATTATTTTTATTAAAATTTGAATAATTTTCTTTTCAATCATAACAATATTGTTTATCTACACAAATGACCATTATTGATTCACTTTTCCAAGAATAATTTCTATTTTTTTATCATAATGGTGAGAATCATAATAATCAGCCATCACATTAATAGAATAACCAGATAGTAAATAAAAAACTGTTTATATCACTAATAAATAAAAGGTTCTTATCGGTACATTATAATATGACATATATTGTTGACAAATATCATTATCAACTGAACTCCACACAGAATCGTTTTTTCGTAACGATGGGTTATCAGAGCTTGCTTACAGATGCATACGATGGGTTGCTTACTGGTATACATTAAATTACCTATACCAGTGGCTGTACCCGTCTCCATTATCCTAGGACGTTATTTTTTTTTTTACTATCTGGTATAGAATAGCCCGATTTAAAGTTTTGAATTCAATTTTGAGTGCATTGATAAAATAGGTACTACCTATTACTAGTGTGTTCCTAAATTTAGTAGATTGGTCAGTTGCTAGATTTAACTGTACTTAAACCCAGCTGCTGCCTAGAGGGGAAGTAATCTATTTTGCTGATAAAGCAATCTGATATTTTGTGGATGAAATAGTGTTTAACCAGATGGATTTGATAAACACTTTACGCGCCAAAATTAAAACTAATTAACTAACTTATATTTGACAAAAAAAAAAAATATATGTTATGTACTTGTGTTAAAATTTTTTGTCTAATGTGCTAACGTGTTTCCAAATTCCAATTCCAACTCTAACATGTATAATACAATTGAAAGATGATTTGTATGTGTTGTAAATACTTTTATAAAACATTCAGATATTCGATTTCTATAACATTTAATCCTATTATGTATATCTATAATATATTTTATTTTAATTATTAGTCAAATGTTTTATACTTTAACTTAACGCTTTCCACCTGACTGCACCGACTGCACTAGTGTACATTTTTATATTTTATATGGAATATTGGGATACATTTTAGTACGGGTTTTTATGTCACATGCGCGCGCTCTACCAGTTTTTTGTCCCGAGTGCAGTGGTAATCGCTCTTCGATTTCGTGCACTTCATATTTTATTGATAAAGATGCCAATCTCGATGCTTGAACAATAATAATATAATTTAAACTGATAATACTAAGGTAAACTAGTAATAAACCTTTTTTTTTCTCTCGGACAAAATTAATATTGTACTATTTATACTTGATACTGTAAAAATTATGTTTCCTATGATTTATGATTCGACTACACTGGACAGTTTTTCGGTAATATAATCTACCCGCTCTAGGTGTAACGATGCAGTTAGGTGGAAAACGCTATTAGATTTCGATGAAAATAATGGAAAATGATAAGAATAAAATGTTGGTGATTATGGCCTATTTGTAACATTAAATAATGGTATTAACCAGTACGTTCCAACTAAATAACAAAAAGAGCGTTCCTAAACTATCAATCTGCTGAGCAATCCAATGGATTAGCAGATTGATTTAGGAACACAAGGTTATGATAGTATATTAACTCATAGAAAAGAAAATTCTAACTAATTAAATAGTGTATTAAAATAACCACAATAGGTAATATTTACATTTGTAAAAACTTCAAAAAATCTTAGAAAATAAAAGACCACACTTCAAAAGAAGTTTCAACTACCAACAATTTTATAAGAATCTAATTTAAAAAATGGCTATTTTGAATTTGTTTATAAAATGTATAGTAAAAGTTTTTATTTGAAGTCCCCTTCCCTCGAAAAAAAGAATATTTATGTATAAAATGTAGTGTAAAGGCATACTAATTATTTAAAAAAAAATATGTCAAAAATATTGAATAGAACAAAAGTTATTTCAAGTGGTTGATCATCGTGAGACACTGTATATTAAAAATTGTCAAGTTTTAGTAAAAATTTTTATAAAAAAAGATGTACGTAGTTCCAACATAGATAGGCCACTGTTGTAAGTGCGAAATTGGGAAAGTAGTAGAAGGGAAATTTAATATATAAACTATTACTAATGAAAAAGGATTTTAAGCAGAATTCAGTTGATAGTGTTGCTTTGTCAAAAATATATGTCATTATGGTAAAATTATTACATTCTTTAATCATATTTGTCTAATGTTGTACCTATTTTTCGGGTATTCCTACATTTTTCTCAGTTTTTAGGAAAAAACATTTATTTTCATAAAAAGTGCTACATTTATAAATCTTTGTAAAACTATAAGCTTCTTCGCTCCTCTCAGAATCTAAAGTATCCAAATTCAATAAACATTACTTAAATTTTGTATTTTATGTATAAATTGTTGTTCATAATACAAATATGAAATATTTTTATAAAATAGAATAAATATAAATTGTGTATTTATAATTATTTTAATTTAGATTTAGAGTGTAGCAAGGAATGTATTGACTTAACTATTTTGTTTTGTTTTGTTTTTTTTTTTTTACCAAAAATCTTGATCTAATCTTTCAAGTAGCCTCTTTTCTAAAATTAAATTTTGTCTAGTTGATGTATTAGAGAGGTTATTTGAGATTTTAATTTCTTTAGTAATTTAGTTAAAATTAATTGTAGATAGTTACATTTTCACATAATACCTAAATTGACCTTTAATTATGCAGTAAAATTTCTGACAATTTTTGAGCTATTTATAGGCATTTGAAATTGTTGAATATTTTAAGTTTTTATATTGTACTAATTGTAATTCTATACAATATTGCACTAATACTATTGCAATGCTAGATACAACTGTTTTGCTAAACAGAAATACTTGAAAAAATTAACATGAGGTTTATTGTATGTTGTACTTTGTAGTTGGTAATAAAAAAAAGTTGTATAGTAGTCCTATTTTCAATAAGCGTTTTATGTTCAAAGTTGTTAGCAATGACTTATTGTTGAGTATAGATATAAATTAAATTACTATGTATAATACTTTCTCAACTTTCCACCTACAACAGAGGTATGCTCCTCAACAGTATAAGGTTTTTTAAAATATATTTTTAAAAAACACTTATTTTATTGTTGTAATGTTGAACAATATAAAATTTTAGTTCCAATGCAGTATATTTCAGTATTATCGGCTAAAAATAAATCATAAAAATGTTTTACTAATTATTTTCTAAAATTAATTAATATTTATCTTTTTTTAACAATAATATAAAAATTAAAAAAAATGTTATATTGACTTCCAGTTCAAAAACACTTAATTAATTACAAACAAACTCTCCTTTTAATTTTAGTATGGATGGATTTAAAGTTGTTAAACTCAATGAAATAATTCGACAAGTGGATATTGTAATTACTGCTACTGGTAATAAGAATGTAGTTACTCGAGAACACATGGATAAAATGAAATCTGGATGTATTGTGTGCTGTATGAGTTATTGTCATAACGAAATAGATGTGGTAAGTTATAATTCATAACTACTTCATTGGATTTTTAAAATATTTAAATCTAATTAGAACATGGAATTTGGTAATTAGAAAAAAAGATTTTTAAAATATTAGATATCAATAACTTTACATTATGGTCAAAATAATTTACTAAAATGGGTGTAATTTGTTATGTTTAAAATTTTGAAATTTATGTTTAAAAATAATTTATTCATATATTTTTTTTTTATTGATCATGTTGAATTTTACAAAAATTAAAAAATGTATAATACCACGTATAAATTTAAAAGTTAGATTAGTAAGTTAGATTGTATACTAATATAATTAGTATAATTTTCTAGTTATGATTATGATTCAGATGTTTTCATTGTATATTTTTTTTTGTTTATCCAATTCATTGCTGACCTGGATACAAATTTGATTTGTGTTCTACTGAATCAAATAATACTATTTTTATTTTGCATATTTTAGGATTTTAAGAATATAAATTTATATTCTAGTATATTTTTATATTTTTTTAAAAAACAATTTAAATTATTAATGAAATATTTATATAAAGCGAAAAATCATACAATTTGAATAAATTTAAAAAAAACTATTGAATCACTGTAATGTATTTATTGTAAATTAGTATGTAATATTAAAAAAAATCATAAATAAAAATAACTACTAATAAAAATTAAATACTTAAGATAAAATACATTTTTATGTGCATATTTTGGTGTTTTTATATACTAAAAAGGCATATTTTATGATTTTTATTGTATATTTGGTAATTTTTTTAGTACATAATTGCATAAATATTACAGTTATTTTAAGTTCATAAACATCAGACCCAAAGGTATGATTCTTTCATATAAGTTTATCTGTATATGAACCATGTGTATTTGCACCAAATCTGATAATTATATTGTTTTAATATCAATAATTTATTATTCATTTTCAAACTTAAAATATCACCAAATTGTTTTATTTCAGTTTCTGTATAGAATTATTTTACAATTATATTTTTATTTCTATTGAAGGCTGCTTTACGTACACCAGAATTAAAATGGGAAAAAGTACGATCTCAAGTAGATCACATCCGTTGGCCTGATGGGAAAACAATGATTTTACTTGCTGGTGGTCATCATGTAAATTATACATGTTCTAGCATTCCATCATTTGTTACATCAATTACTGCTACAACACAAGTAATTGTCATATATTACTGAAAACAATTTAAATAAGTTTATTATTTTTTTTCACCATTTATTTAAAGGTACTTGCATTAACAGAACTTTTTAATGCTCCAATTGGACGATACAAAAGTGATGTTTATTTATTGCCGAAAAAAATGGGTACACAATTATTAAAATATTATTGCTTTATTAGAATTATTACTAAGCTATTATCTTATTTTAGATGAATATGTTGCAAGTCTTCATTTGACAACATTTGATGCACATCTTACAGAACTTACAGAAGAACAGGCCAAGTACATGGGGTTACCCAAAAGTGGCCCCTATAAATCAAATTACTATAGATACTAAAAATGCTATCATACTTATTCGCAATAATATAAACCGCCAGTTTAGAACAAATAAAAGTATAATTTCACAAATTCGCATACATTTTCAATGAAAGAAGGAAATATTTTAATTATTTTAAGTATGTTAAAAGTTCTTGATATTTCATAATACTTCTATTTTAATTAAAAAAAAATAAAAATAAATAAATAACCTGTTTAAAATAATGCATAGATAATAAATCTATTAAATCCCATATAAATTCCAATAAATAATATTATCAATATTATAAATATACATACAAATAATATAGTAATGATATTTTTATAAAATAAGCATTATTAGTTTGCTGTCAGTTTCAACTTGAAAAAAATAAAACCTTGCTGGTTACATTAGGGAGTCAATTAGTTAAATTAGATATATCAATTATAAATCATTAATCTATAATAGATCAAAAAGAAAAATATTATACCTGATCAAGTGTGGGTATTGCTGAGTACCTATATTTTAATTAATTTAATTGGATCTGTCCCTTATGATAATTTAAATGTTTATTGATGTTGTTTATGTTGCTGGTTAAGTTACTACATGTATTTGGATGATTCTAATCAATTCTGATTAAATATTTTATTTCCTATTAAAATTATTTTATTGCTTCATTAAATTGTTTTCAATCTTTATATACACAGTTATGTTTATAGATTTAATTTCAATTGCTAATGGAAATAAGTTAATGCTTCACTGTTATTTCTTAATTCAAGTGATAAATTTCCCTAAGTTGTATTAATTATACAAATTGATGTAACGAATCCTTAGAAACTTAGAATAAACTTTCATAGGATTTTCAATTTTTTTTATAAAAATAATTTTCTAAATTTCTACGCAATTCTAAGCTATTTGATGTTATGCCTAAGTATAAGATTACAAAGGTCTTTTTGTTGTGTAAGCACTACTTTTTGTTGTGTGACCATTATTACAATGTTTTGGATAAAGTTAGAGTCTCTTCATAGAGTATCTCTGCTATTATTAATCAAATTTCTTATTCTTATACAAATGAAATGTAAGAAAAAAAAATTATAAATTTGGTTTCATTTCTTAACATCATAGTTTAATAAAATTCTATTGTTCAGTTTTTTTGGGAGATGCCCTAATTACCAAAAGGCATAATCATTTTGATGATATTTGTAGGGACATAGTAGAATACATTAATTATATTTTCAATATCATTCTGAGACTAGAATATATCACCCATATTTTGTCTGTCTTAAAAGTAAATCCATTTTTATTTTAGTCCTAATAAACTATAGTAATATTCAATATTTTTTAAATCTAATTTTATATATTTTTTTAAATATAGTTTGGTAGCTGCTAAATTTTGAAGGCTTTTGAAATATAATACACTCAAATAATAATATATATCTGGATTATTGGATTAATGTTTGTTGTTGGTGAGACTATTCAGTTAAATTAAGGTCTTAAAACATTTGGATTACCTTAAATTAAACTCTTGAACCAACTAATTTTTTCACATTCAAATTTTTTAAACAAAATCTGATGCACATCCTCATTTTTCTAAAATTTGCTAGATTAAGTATCAGTCATGAACTGGCAATCATTTGACATATAGTAAACATGAACATTACAGTAAATTGTATTATTAGAAATATGGGTATGTTTTGTATTTATATTTTATTTCTACTATATAATTTTTAACCACCTGCACACTATTGTGTATAATTGATTTAAAACAGTTACTTTTAATTAAATGATTTTTATTTTTAAGAAAAGCATTAGATCTTTAAGACATTACTTCACTCTTACTGTATTTGTATTATAAACTATTGTAAATTTGCCAGTTATCTATTAGCATGCCCATGTTTATAATTAATATTTAACATTTAAAAAATAATATTATACTTAAATTTATTGTATTCTACTACTAATCAAATTGTTAAATAAAATATACTAGTTAGTTATTAATATGTGTTATAAATATTACTTTTATTATTATCTAGATTGCTGTCATTAGTGGGAGGAGGTTCTCCAACTCTCAAGTATTTTAAATGGGGTTACTAAATAATAAGAGGTTAGGAAGAATAATTTTGTTAGTGATTTCTTAGTTTTTATTTTAATATGATATTACAGATCATTCAGTTACAAAAATTTGTTTATTTTAAAGAGGAAATATATAATTAAATAGTTTGTGAATAAAATTAATTATTGCAATAATTACAATAAGTCTTGTGGAAATTTATATCAGGGATTTTGGTTAATTATAAATAAACTTATGTTAACATTGTTCAATTCAAATTTGGTTTATAATATTGTATATTTTTGTTTTATTTTGTCCAATCAAATGATTGATATTTAGTATGTTTTTTGAAGTTTAATTTTACTGGGTATTTAAAAAACAACCTTAATATTTCATACTTTCAAATTTTCAGAATTGTTATATTTGTTCTTAGTTAGATATGTTCATTCAGATATATTATTTATTTTTTATTTTTCTATGTGTATAATGTTCAATTTTAATGGTTCAGATAGGAAATAGTATAGTATCTGTTTAGTGTATTATACAATGTGCACAATGTACTAATTGGAACCATGTTGTTGATTTTAATTATTTATATGTATCATTTCCCTTATTAAGCTCAAAATCTAAAATAATATTTGAAATTGATGCCTATTATTTTTTAAATTGTTACATTTTTAATTTAAAATAAATGTAGTAAATTATAGTTACTCCTAATGTATCTAATCTAATAATTTTAAAAATTATTACTGATTGAAGTAACCCCATTCTTTTTATTTTCCTTTGCCTTCATCCTAACTGTTTGGAGTCCACCATCCAGATTCTAAACTTCCATTAGATTCAATTTCTCACCTCATATACCCCCCTCTTTTGGGCCCCCACAGCGGGGGTGTTCAGTGGGGCCCATTATCTTTTCAAAGAAATATACCCTAATAATAATATACACAAGCTGTCCTCATATCATTCTCAATCATATCCAACTACCTTTTTTTGAGTCTTTCTCTTCCCTTCTTTTTTCCATATTTATATTCATATTAATGGGAGAAACTCCATTATGATGCTTTAAATAAATACACAATATCTTCTGTATTGATTAAAATTTTGACTTCAGTATATTTTAATCCAGTTATTTTTAAAATGACTACATCATGTTGGAGATTATATGAGGTATAGCAATGCTCAAAATTCCTACTTTGTCCTTATACAAGATTATTCATAAATCTTTATTCTAAAACAATTATTGTATTAGGATAATATTTTAGAGATTGTGTGATATTTTATTTTGATTAAAATTATATTAATATTTTTTAAAATGCTCATTATTAAATTATATTAAAAAACAAATTTTTTAAACCACTAACTAAAACTTATAATGTTCCTTGTGTTAAATTGTTAATAATTTTTTTAAGTTAAATAATTTTAATAGCATAGGTACTTACTACTGCTCCTAAGTGCTACAGGCTATGATGACCCTTGGCTTCTAAAACAATTTGCCTCCACTCCTCTCGGTCATAAGTTGCATTTTTCCAGTTTTGTGTACTCACTTGTAGATCTTTCATTACTTTGTCCATCCATCAACTTCTTGGGTGGCCTTGTCTTCTTGTTCCATCCATTCTTGCATGCAATATTCCTTTGTACATGATACAACCATCTTATTTGTCCAGATTTAATGAACCTTACTTATTATTACCTTAATTTCTTTTTCTATAATTTGCTCTATTTCGCTGTTATTTCTTTTTCTCCATCCTTCATCTACCTTCTTCAAACTCAGCATCATGTAGTTTCCTTACCATTTTCCTTTCAAATATTTTTAATATGTTGCTATCCACATTTAATATTGTACAAGTCTGGCTCTATAGCTCAATATGGATCTAATAAGAGTTTTATATAGCTTCATTTTAGTAGTTTTTGATAGCAGAGTTTTGATTTGAAAAGTGTGATATTGGCTAAGTATGCACAATTACTAGCCATAATTCTTATAATTATTTTATCAAACATGTTATTACTGTTATTTAAGCCAGATTCAAGATATATGAAACTCCTAACAGCTTTGAATATATTCTCCCCAATTCTGATGTTTTGTACTCTAATGTGCTTCTAATGCAAATGGTTTCATGTATTTAGTTTTGTCTGTGTTAATTTTTAATCCCATAGATCTTTCCTTGTTTTCAATAGTAATATAAAATTCTTTCTTTATTGCTTCTTGCTATTATTACAATATGTGCAGATTTACCACAGTTTATTTATTGATAAATGCTTTTAGACATTCATAATTTACTGGACATTTCTTACTGGGCAATGTTAAATAGTGTAGCTCAGTGGTCTTCAATCAGTTTGTCATGACTCATTTTTGGGTTGAGTAAGCTTAAAAATTGGGTCGCGATAAGTTTTCTTTTTAAAATAAAAATTAAGTTTATACAATTATAAAAGGTATACAAATAATTGTTTAATTATTAAACTTAGAAAATTAATAAATTAGAATACAGTTTGAAAATGATTATATAATTTTTATTCAAAAATATAATAGTATAATGGATTTCAAATCACAGCATATATTTCATATACTGGTATGATTCTACGTAGTATGACATTAATATAATAATTTACGAGTAAACAGGTCTAGTTATAAAATAAATCGTTAAAGAGTCCCAATATCTACAAACATTGTTGATGTTGTTGTCTGTGTTTAAAGACAAATAAATGTTAATTGCATTATTATTCTACATATTTATGTATCTGTTAAAAAGTTTATTTTTATTTTTATTTATTCAGTTATAGTAGTACTGCAATAAAATATTAAGTAACTTTAGATTTTCTTTTTTGTTTTTCTATAAACGTTTTTCTTTATGTATGCCTTATGTGGGTCGTGAATAATGTACGCTTAAAAAAGTGGGTTGTGAGTCCAAAAAGGTTGAAGACCACTGGTGTAGTTAACAGAGCACCCCCTTGTATGACCTAGATTCAATATGGAATGAGTCACTTACTGCTCTACCTATCTTGACTTTTGTGGATAGTGTTACTATTTACACATTAGTTTTTGTTAAGTTCTATGCACACTGTCACTCTGTTAATAAATAAGATATTTAAATCAGTGTTGAACTCCAAGCATTTATCCATTATTTGCCTAACTACAAAGATCTGGTCAGTAGTTCCTTTATTACAACGCATTGATATTCTTTCAGCCTTTTTTTAGAATATATTTCCAACCTTATTAGTAATAGAAATGATAATATTTGATATGGAACATTTAACAGCATGTTTATAGTTTTCACAATTTGCTTTATTCCCCTCCTTGAATATATAGCATATGATGCTGGTACTCCAATATTTTGTCATTTATTTTTTTCCCAGATGTAACTTATGAGTTCAAATAGAGCGTTTTTATAGTTGAGGCTATTTTTATTAGTTCACCTGTTATTTCGTCCTCACCTGAGGATTAATTTTTTTTTTTGTTTTCTTAAAAGCTGCATCAAATTCGTTTCTTATTAACTTCTCACTATTAGGTTGCAGGCAATATTGTATTTCGTCTATCACATTACTAACTGTTTTTCATTGAAATGTTCTTTCCATCATTTTAATATGATCTCATCATCAATTATTGTTCCCTATTTTCTTTTGCATGTATTTAACCTAGGCTGAAAACCTTCCTGGAACCAATTTACTTTTTTATAAAACTGCCTACTATTTTCCATCATGTTTATTTCTTAAATCTTTTCTACTTGTTTTTTTATTATTTCCTTTTTTTTGCGGCATGTAGCTTTCGCTTCTTTTCTTAACTTCCTGTACAGTTTTGTCTAGTCTCTCTTTGTAGAGTTTTCACCCTTGCTTGGTTTTTCTTATTGGAGCTTCCATGCACTCTTCATCAAACCATTCTTTATTCCTAGTATATTTGCCAATAGTCATTTTAGTTGGGTTGACTGTTACACTTTTGAAGTGTTCTCATCTTTTTCCTATATGCTCATCATTACAGATGTTCCCTTATTTATTTAGTTTTGTATTAAGGGCCTACTGGTACTTTATTAGGTCAGCTTCATTTTCAAAGCTATTTGTATTTTATATATATTTCTTTTAAAGCATTTATCCTTTTGGATATTAGCTAATCTCTGTATAATTATAGTTTGGACTAGATAATGATATGTATCACAGTTAGGGCCTTTCATTAATTTGACATCTATTATGACTAAGGCGTGCTTGGAGGACACTACAATGGTGGTCTATTTGGTTGACTATGTCTGAATCCGGCAGTTTCCATATCCTCTTATGGATATCTTTATGTGGGAAACCAGGCACTTTTAATAACCATTTTATATAACTCAGCACATGTGCTAAAAGTAGGCCAATCTCTTCTTATTGCTCTTTCCTAATTTTAGCATTAAAGTCATCCATTAAAATAATAATAAAATAAATTTCTATTTTTGACCACATTTTGGATTAATTCCAAAAATGCTATTTTTTTAAGATTTATATACAAAAACTTTAAAAGTATGATGGGTACGTATTGATTATACCAACGGATTAATACTGTAAAAACACACATTTTGGGAAAAAAAAAAAATTGAAAATGTTAAATTCTTACTAAGAAAAGGAAAACCCGTATTTTATGAATTTTTTCCCTATAACTTTCAAACGAAGTTCATCAGACTTTTTATATTCTTAATGTAAACACGAAAACACATTTTGGAAAAAAAAAAAAATTAAAAATCGTGTGGTTGCTAAACTAGAATTATGCCAATATTAACTATTAAACTTAATATATTAATATTTAGCGCTATAACTTAAAGGAACATCACATATTAAATTAGAATAGAACATTATTTATACAAACTAAAGTTTTATGCAATCTGTGCCCTGTGGTAATATTTAAATTTTCAAATTTTTATCGTTTTGACAGTTTATCACTTATCAGTCAAGACTAAAGAACCAGAGACGTTTATAGAATCAATTGGTCAACGTAGTAACAATTATCATCAAAAGGAGCCATGTAAGGAGACCAAAATTTATTTCGAGTAGATCATCTATCTTTCTTTTATCTATGTATTTACCAAACAACGAGTGATTACACTAACGATGAATAATTGATCATTGTAATTTTTGAGTTTAGTTGTTGCAAACAGAATGGTAAAATTATTTAGATATATCATAATGAGGGATACTTGGTATACTTCAGGTATATATCATCTAGCGTTAAATGTATAATTATTGAGAATTCTTCCTTTGTGCAACATTTCTCCTTTAATTACTGTGGTATAAATAACTCAAATTACACAACAGCCATGACGATATTTATTATTAAAAAACGCACCTAGCTTTAGGTCCCTAATTTCAAGTTCTACAATAAATAAGAATAAGATCAATTAAAATATGTTAGGCAAATAATTTAAATTTGCAAAGAAACTATTCAATGTGTCCTGGAATACTTCGGTATATCGGTTTGAAAATGGTACTATTTTAACATTGTACTTCCTACGATTTATGGCCGAGCTATCAAGCTGTCAAAATATTAGTGAAAGAAGGATTGTCCCGAAGTTCTTTTTATTTACTGTCTTCTATTTATTGCTGAGTCTGTAAAGGGGTTGTTCAGGAACGAAATATGTCCGACCACACTGTCTTAAAGTACACTTTTCCAGATTTCTTTGGTGAAATAAAACGGATTGTTCTGAATTTTTTTATATTTTTAATCAGATTAAAGTCGACTATTTCGGAATGTACGAAGTAATTAAAATTTTTTTAAGCGCCTTTAAAATAACTTCATGTTGTACAGTTCTGCATATTTATTGCTTATTTACAGCTTTTATAGCGATTTTACGCAGTTTGGGAATCATTGGGCTCTATTATCAAATATTTCTAGTGGAACATATGTTATTAACACAGATATCTATATTATACAGTATAATAATATAGATATAGATATCTGTGGTTATTAAGTAGGTACCTAACACATTTTTTCCGGGCGAATATTGAATACTGACACTACCTAGACAAGTACCTATTTGATTATGACCGATACTCTTATTAAACTATTAACCGTTGTACCATACTAACTATCCTATCAATTTTACGCGTTTTGTGGTGTCGTACAGTTCTACGTGGCCGACGATCACAACTGTCCAGCGGTTCGCGAAACGTATTACATTGGTAACTTATAACTAAATAAAAATTGATAAAAAATGTTGGGATAAGGTTAAAACTGTATGTTGTTTGTTATTGTATATATCTGTAGTCAACACTCACCTCTTTTGTAATCTGAATTGTTTTTTAAAAATGTTTCATTTCTCGTACTGTAACCAATCTACGTGTTTTCATTGAATTATTGAATTGTTCAAGTACCTGTTGCATTAAGTACCGTAGTTATGCTCTGTGGCGGACGCATACATTTTCATAATTGCTAGGTAGGTATATGAAGATTTGTGTTAACTGTCACACGTTCACTCTCATTGACTGCCACTGCTATCTAATGTAACGTTTCTATTTTTCGTCTTTTCCTTTCTCCAGTAGTTTAATTTTACTACAAACTTGCACGTTGTTTTCTTCAACTCTGTTAAAGTCTATCCGTATGTTTTTCATCAAGTTTTCAATCCGATAGGATATCAAATTAATTTTTAATGATAATAATAATATCTCTATAATCCAATGTACAAATGGTTAAAAGTTAAAAATTTTTTTTTAATAACTTTAATAGGTAAGTACTCATTTACATTTCTGTATTCTTTATATTAGTGCTACATAATAAATTATGCAATGTTCTTAGAAATATTCGGCTACCTAGGTTCTATTGTAGACAGATGGACGTATGTTGTGTGACTGTCTTAGTCATTACTCATTTGGTATATACAACATTAGGTTCTTTCATAAGTAATTATGTACAATATGTAGGCTTACAATTTTAGTGAAACTGCATAAAATTATATATTATCTCTATAATTATTAATATTTTGTTTTATTTTAGTCAAATGCTGAAGGTGAAGATATTTTGATTTTACCCTAACGTTGAATCAATACATACTATGTTGTTGTAATGGAAACTCAAACAATGATGACAACTAACAGAAGAAGAATGGTGCTCAAACCATTATCTCCAGTAACTTTACAATGCAAAGAAAAAATGTCCAACAGCGAAAACAATGGTAGTGTTCGAGTAAGTTAATAGGTACTTAATTGTATATTAGTTGATAGATTCTTACTTTGATATCTAATATTTTGTATCCATTTGTATTCTAACAAATTATTTTACTTATATTCTTTACACATTCTGTAATCTATTAAATCCCTTGTCATGATTACTCTTGATAACTACATCAGTTTAATAATTTGATCTCTTTAAAACTAGATTATTTTTGTTCTATTTTTCAATACCAGGTGATCTATTTAAGTGAGTATACTCATTATCTTGGAAAGTATTTTTTTACATTTTTTTTTAGTAACTTTTTCTGGAATTTGTTTTCTAGAATATTTAAGAACCAAGCAGATCTACAATTTTATTTTTTTGTTATATTTGAGGGTAAAATCATTACCTAATTTTGATTTTTAAATGGCAACCTGTATTAAAAAGTTAATATATAAATGGAGTGTTAGTTAAAATACATTTTAGTAATATAATAATAAAGTAAAAACAAAATTATTAAAATGGTTAATACTAGTAAATAAATAAAGTAAATAAATATATAAATAAAAAATGTATATATAAACTAAAATAAATAAATGAATCAATGCATCGCCTGGAGTATTATGATAAGTGTATTTAGTGTACATAAGTTTTGAATTAAAAATTTATCATCAAGTATATCATAATTAAAATGCAAAACAGAATATAAAAAATTGAATGAATACATAGAAAAAATTATACAAATTGGTCGTTTTACATAGAATATAGAATTTTTATTTCTATATCTGTTTACTAAATTTTAGTGTTAGCATTTTTAATTTCTGTCAACCATTAAAGAGAAATTCCACTTTAAAATTTGAGTTGGAGGAGAGTAGTGGAGTACCATTTGTATGGCGGTACAGCGCAGAATATTTTAAAAATATACTACTATTCTCCTCTAATCCAAACTTAAAAGTGGAATATCTCATCAACGGATTGACAGAAATAAAAATTTCAACATTAAAATTTTTTTTAACTAATACCCTATCTATTTATGGATGTTTTAATTTAGGTTGCTATTTTAAAATCAAAAGTAGGTAATGGTTTTACCTCCAAAATAAGGGTGATAAAAAATAACTTAAATATAAAATTGTAGAGTTGCTTGTTTCTTAAATGTTCTAGAAAACAAATTCTGAAAAAAAATGTTAATAATTTCCTAGATAATGAGTGTACTCACTTAAATGGATCAGCTAGTATTTGTACACTATACAGTGTGTGGCATAAAGATATGTCATCTAAAATAACTTATTTTGTTCAATATTTTTAAGTTTTACAAAGTAAGTAGTTTTACAATGATGTTTTATTTTTTTGTATGTTTTTCTTACTAGAAACCTTGCTCTGATTTTCAAGTTTAGCACCTTTTCTGAAAGGAAATATTATTTGGGTTGTTCCTTAAGGTGGAAAATTTAATTTTCCTTGGGGGTTTTCATAATAAATGGGAAAAAAACTAGAAAAATGGGAACATTTTATGAAATGTATTATTTTAATTTTGATTTTGTTGTGATATTTAATAATATTCGCAGAGACTTGACGATTGGACAGACCACTTATTTGCCTTTTATAGACTTGCATTATAATTTCTTTATTTTAAATTGTTTATATTTTTCAAGAAAACTCAAAATAAAAATTGTTTTTACAAATTCCAAGATTGCCATTTTATAAATAAATGTTAAAATAAAATTATGGTTTTAAAAATATTTACTAATGAATGAATAATTCATTCATTCATTTTCTAAAAATAATTTTTAAAGTTTACAATTATTTAAATTTTGGCTAAAATGTCCACTACTAAATAATATCTATTAGGTACAGTAGAGTAGTGTCGGGGTGTTTTGGTGTTCAAATGCCTCCCTCCTTTTTTGATTATATTTATGCCAAAAATTATAAATTTTACTATGTGCAATTATGCATTAGATTTCTACAAGATGTATTTTGATACTTATAGATAATTATTTAGTATATGTTATGTGTGTTACATGTGCACAATAAAGTTACAAAATTATATCTAAACACAAAATAAAAACATCCCCCTTAAAAAAATCCTGGCTATGCAACTAATTAGGTATAATAATTATATTGATTCACCAATTTGTCCATGAAAAATAATTGTATTAATGATTTTTGTAAACTCAAAAAAAAATTGTAGAAATTCCAGGATTCTTCATTAGTAAATATTTGTAACACCACAATTTTGTTTTAAATAATGTTTATAAAATGGTTATCTTGGATTTGTGAATATTATTTTTGTCAAAAATAGAAAATAAAAGAATAGCATATAGTAATTATAACAAGAAAAAAAAAACTTAGAAATATTGAACAGAACAAAAGTTTTTCAGATGTGAAATCTTTGTGTTGCAGCTGGTATATAATGTATTAAATTTTTTATTATGGTATGGTGTTATTTACTTTTGATACATAAGTATTAGAAAAAATGAGTGTGATAGTTATTACATTTCATGAATGTTGATCATTTTTTTTTTATAATTTTAAACAATTGTTTTCAGTAAAACAACCATTTTAACCTATTATTGGTATATGAGCCCAATGTTTATACTATAACAGTTTTAGTTAGGTTTCTAGCTTATTTCTTGCTTTATTTGTAAAATTATAAATACTTTTAATTTATATAATATGTATTAAAATAATTATAATCAGGTATAGTTATACCTAATCTTTGAATATTTTAGGATATTTTATGATATGATTGAAGTCTATTTATTGTACTTCATTATTTCATAATATTGTGACATATTAGCTTAATTGGTAAACATAATTATTTAGTGAGCACATCAATGTGAACACTGACAGTTAAATTTGATTTTTATCATTTGTAATATTCAATAAATAGCATAATTTATAGCTATTTTAAAAACTTGGATGATTAAAATGTATTTTTCTTTGAGGTTTTAACATAATAATTTATTAATATAATCAATACCTAATCATTTAATTATTTTTATAAAAATTAACTTTTTTATTTGGATTTTTCTCTCTCATATAGAGTCTTCTATTATTTTGTTGTGAACAAAGTTACTGTTGATCTGAGGTAGATTTTGTATAAAGTGATTTGATTTTTTTGATAGTAATTTTGATCTTAATAACTTGTTTATGCTGAAGTAACATTTATTAAAATTTGATATTATTTCATTTATTTTTTTTATGCATGCTATTGCTATTTATATCAACACTTAATTATATGAAATTATCTGGCTTTTGAAAAATAATATTTTCACTTTCAGGTGGGACTGGCCCATATTTCTTCTTAATAGTATCATACATTTGATCTTTTCTTCAATAATACAATTACTTAACAAGATTAAATTTTCATTTCTAGAGCCAACCACCACCAACTTTATTGGTATCTCCAACTACAGACAAAAAAAAAATTTTACTTCAAGAATTTGTACTTCCAGAAGTATCCACGGTGCAGCGAAATAAGAAAGTTCTATTATCATACTCTGGTAATGAAGCTTTAACAGATAGCGATGATTCTGATTCTGATGATTCTACTATAAATGATAGTTCTATTACAAATTCACAAAAAAGTAATAAAACTCTTTATTACACTATCTTTGGATTTTCATGTTGGGCGGCTGTTCAGTACTGGATGATTGCAGTAGCAGGTTTTGGAGCAGTATTTTTTGCTATCTCTGCTTTAATCGCTATATGTTTAAATACAACAAAAACTAATAAAAAACATACTGGATTAAGTGCATATTCTGTGTTTAATCCTCAGTGTACACCTATACAGGGTTCTGCGGATCCTAAACAATTAGAACGGGAATTAATTTTTGGTGGTTTATAATATTGGATTTTTTTTTTTACTAGTGAATTTTTAAATATATATAATATATATGTATATTTTTTTTTACTATTTTTTATTATTAGCGGGGACTTGTTATTGTATTTTACTTTATGAATACTTCTTATCACAAATTAATTATTATTACAGTTTATCAAGTTTATAGTTTATTTTTGTGTACCGTATAAATTAAAATACCAGAATTACACAAATTACTATACATTTTATGTAATTTATTTATTAGTATTTAAAATTGTAGAGTTATTCTTATTAAATACCTTGTTAATAATATGATACTATTTTAGGAATACATATTTTAGACATTTACATGTATGCAATTTTAATGAAAATTCTTTATAATTATTTATTCTTTACATTAAAAAAGAAAAAATTTAAAATTTTTACTCAACTCAAAAACGTAACTTTATTATTATTGTCAACCACCAGAAATCTAAAAGTTAATATAAAAACATATTTTTAATTATCCAAAATGTAGTACAATTAAGGTGGTTAATTATATTAACTACAATATTGTCATTATTTATTTAACTATAATTAATAATTCAAACAGTAATTTATTATCATTATTAATAAGTAGTTATATTATGTAGTTTTATTAGATTAGTTTGTGCTATGTATTCTTCTTTTGTAATAAAATATTAAATAAGGTGTGCAATTTATTTAAACTTTTTATAGTTCATTACTTTTCTCTTGTTCATTAGGATGGTTTGCACCACAGACTGTTCATTTTTCACTTTCTCTTACAATTTTCTGAAGTTTGATCTATTCCTAAATTTTTTTACTTATTAAGTTTTTAGTTAGCACAATATTTTTCAAAAGTTATGTTACTGAGTTTTGCTGGTTTTAAGTTGATATTGTAATGTACCTACACATTTTATGTACTTAAAAATATATTTAAAATAATAATTCTTTACATATGCCAAATAAAAACTCATTCGGTGGCACAAAATATTGTTGATTTATAGATATAGATTATAATTTCTATACAATTGGTACTATATCAGGAATGCTGTTACTGATATTTATGATATATATTTAATAAAAACAATAATTGTAATTCAATAACTACAATATATTTTAGTGTTGACAATTTAAACATATTATATAATCTTATTCATTATACAATAGTTTTAACATGCAAGTATATTATCCACCTAAAATAGCAATGTGACATATTTATTAATTTGTATAATTTTACTTTTTTGTAAATTAAAACAGGTCCTTTATGGTTATAAATGAGTTTCATATAAAGTGAAGATATTTTTTAATACATTTTTAGTGAATACACCTAGTTATCAAAAAAGTTTATTAAGTTTATATTTTTAAGTATAATTTAAATAGTATATTACAGTTCAGAAATAAATAAATAACAATTACAATAAACAAACAAAATTATAGGTAGAAAAATGTTTGAATTAAATAAAAAAATATATTTGAACCCGGTACTAAATATTTATTAATTCAGAAATATATAGTACTATTATTTATTAGAAAAATATAAGTATGTGTATGTGAGGGAGGGTTATTGAGTGGGTTCATGGAAAGCAAATCATGTTCATGCTGAAAAAAAAAACAGGTATTACTTAGTTAATTTATTAACTGTTCAATTCTTATTATAAGTTATAATTTATTATGTTCAATATGAACAGTTATGAAGAATATGAAAAAGTGAAATAGCATGAAGAAGTATAAAATGATAAATGAAGTATAGTAAATTTAAATGGACTGGTGTCCCATAGTTTATCCTTATGCTAATAATAATGTTAATATTCATTTTTTCAATCTGGTTTGTGTCAGGGGAACATATGTAGAGAAAAATTACATTTTTACTTTCATTTTCTATTATCAAAAACAAAAAATAAAATTTATTTTATCACTTCAAAATTTTCACAATAGCCATATTGTAAAAGATATTATTCTGAAACTTAATTTATCATACATTCTTATCTGATCAATAATATCTTCTTAGTGATAACAGTTGATTTAATTTCTAGAAAATATCAATTGTTTTTTCACACCTATTTACTATACATTAAAGCCACTATAACTAAAAATTATACATTCCAATTTTTAGAATTACATATTTTACAAATTGGGTATTTTGAACATTTTAATAAGTGGAAAAATAAAAAGTTATTTTTTTCAGTGATTAAAAGATCAAAATAAACATTTAATTTTTCTGATACCTAGTTTCCCCTTTCACAAAACCTGTTTGAAAAAAAAAAAATGCTTATTGATAGAGTAATTAGCAAAAGGGTAACATTGTAGGAGTGTAACACTATTTAATGTCCCACTAATGTAAAAACAAAAGGTGTTTATCTGATACTTAAACTGAGTTTATGGCTGATAATTAACCACAATTGGTGGATTATCTTAACTCATTTAAAAATTAATATTTACATTTGTGATAATGAGCCTTATTATGCATACACTGGAATTAATGAAATTTCTAAAATTAGACGGTGCCTAAGTGGGGTTTCTTTTATTTTCGATTTTTTTGGTTTTTATTGTTTTAATTTCTTCTTTTACTTTGCCTTCATGTCAATAATTTGAGGTCGTTACCCTTGTCCTAAACTTCCACTTGACCCAATCTCCCACATCATATAAAATGTCTGTCATATCATTCTGAATCACATTCAACCATTTCTTCTTTAGTTTTCTTCATTTCCGCTTCTTTTTTCTGTGTTTATATTCATATTGATGGGAGTAACTTCATTATGATGCTTAAAATAAATATACCTAATTTGCCCATAATATATATATACAAGATTAATTATAAATCTTTAATCTACAACATTTATCATATTGTGACAATATTTTAGGATTTGTGTGATAGTTTATTTTAATTAAAATTATATTCATATTTAGTGGAGCTAGGGATGTATTGATTTTATAATAAAGTTTATATTTTTATTTTTTATCTGAATAATTTGTCTACCAGCAATTTTGCTCAGATTTAGAATAGCACTTTTTTTGACATGAAATATGGCTGGAAAAGTACTAAGGTAGGTCATTTTTGATTTTCCCAGCTGTTTTCATATATAATTTAATATATTGTTGATAAAGCATCATTATCGGTAATGGTTTATCCTTTATCAATGTAGAGGGGAATTTACCACCTTCCTAACTTCTCTGCTACAACAGGGGTCTACCTACATGCGAAGTCTGGTTTTTTTTTAAAATATTCATCTCAAATTTAAATTTGTTTAACAAGTGTATTCAAAAATACTAATATTTTAGACATGCAGTTTATTACCTGCCTTCAAATTCACATGAAAGTTTAATTTTGTTTGTATTAAATCACTCTTCTGTTCTATTTATCTAAACTTCAAATAGGTACCTAATGCAAGCAATTTGAGCTGTACGCAAAATAATATTATATACCTACATTGCTGATTAAACAACTACCAGTGGTGTGTATCCAAAAAAGAAATATTTGTGTTTAAATAATTTTAGGTGACCTACTTCTCATGATATTGTTAAACTTACCGATAAAATGTATTAGGTTGTATATATTTTGATGTTTTTCCTTCTAGCAATACCCACTCACTCATATTTAAGAGGTTGTTTGAGCAACGCTTGGGACCTTTATGTTACACGCCCGCGCCATTGACAAGTATTGTGCCACCAATAATACAATAAAATATTTTAATATTGTTTTACGCAATTGTTACCGTCGCCAGTATATTGTTATGTTAAAATATAATATGTGTACGTCTACTCAGCAAAATGTCTTGGGCTGTCGTTGGTCGTTTGTGCAGTCCCTGTTATGCTCGCGGGCTGATGCGGTTATTTTATAAAAATTATCTAAAAATATTATTGAGAAAATCACTTTTCTTCGTGACTTCGGATGGATGGCCGATCGAGAACGAGCCCAGCCAGTTCAAATAAAGTATTGTATTGTATTTTGAAAGACTCATTTCAGTTTAATTTTTTTTATGTGTTTAAATATAAACACGGTTTCCAGGGGTTGCCTAACGTTCTGTGAGTTGACACCTATATTATGCTCAATTATGAATGGCAGTAAATACTAAGAGTTGGGATAAGGGAATTGGTGTTAGAAATTATTATCTATTTAAATTAAAATTAAACATATTGTGGGTACCGATATTGTAAAAGTAAAAAAAATAAAAAGAACTGATACTGTACAGCTACTATTGTAGATGGTAAATTGGAAAGGTAGAATAAATAGTTATTTAAATTATATCTGTACGAGAAGATAAACCATTGTTAAAAAAAATACAACGATTCAGATTGTAGTTCAATAAGACATTTATTAAAATTAAGTAATTTTTACGATTTCCGTCAAAATTTGATCTTAAAATAATGTTTATGAAAAAAAAACTTATGCATTAAAATTCAATTTGTTTGTTAGACCACTAACTACAACTTATAATGTAGGTACCTTGAGTTAAATTTTTAAGCATTTTTCTTAAGTCATATAATTTTAATAATAACTATAATAATAATTTAATAGATACCTACCATTAGGGTCGTATTTGATGAGGAGTTTTTAAGGGCACTTGTCTCGGGTAGTAGATGTTTGGGGGTATCTGGATGCCGGAATGCTATATGACAAATTTTAAACCTTTTAACCCTTAGCTTAGGAAATTTATGAAAAAAAAAAATCAACTTCCAAAAATAAAGATTGATTTGTATTTATATGATTTGGGCTACAAATTAATATGTCAAGATTTCACGTGATGAAATAATGGCAATGGGGCATTCAGTGAACACAAAATATTTTATTATATAAACGTTCCAGTGGTCAGCAAATATGAAAAAACAGGAAAAGTGGGAAAATATTAAAGAAAATATATAATGCCTATTTAGTTATTTTACCATAATATGATATGTATATATATATTGTTGACAAAGCATCAACTAAACTCCGCTCAGAATCGTTTTTAGGAAGTAATGGTTTGTCGTTAGTTACAGATACAAATTTCCCTTCTATATCCTATACCTTCCCAATTTCTCATCAACATTGGCTGCACCCATCATGCGAAGTAGGTCCATCTTATTTATTTTGATATAATTAATGTAAGTGTGAAGATTTGATTTCAAAATTGTAATAAATAACATGTTATGAGATTAATATACTTACTTTATATTCAGAGTGGAGTGAAGAAGCTTATAGTTTTACTAAGATGTTTAATTTTATTATTTTTTACCTGTGGACAACTATTCTACCAGAGGACTTACTCCGATTTTTACGTGAAGCAACTTTTTTGAATTTTTCCGGAGTTTTTCAGCAAATGTGAAAAACTGGGAAAAAACAAAGGAAAACTGAAAAAAAACTTAGGAAAACAGAGGAAATCTGTACAACATTAAACAAATATTAAACAAAATATATAGATCCTACTTCATTATTTTACTATAATATGGCATATATATTGTTGATAAAGCATCAATATTAGTTAAGAATCGTTTTTTCGTAAGCAATGGTTCGTCGATGCTTACAGATATATATTAAATTTCCGTCTGTATCCTATCTTCCCAACTTTCCACCTACACCAGTGGCTGAACCCATCCCCATTATTTTACTTTTCTTTTTACTCTTAAAATTATGAAAATTTAATACAATTATTATAATATTGCTATATTTAAATGAATATTGCAATTTGTGATACATGAACAACAGTATTTTAAACTGGAAAAACATACATTTTAGGTAGACAGTTATAACGATTCTAAGTGGAGTTCAATTGATAGTAATGCTTTGTCAACCATATATATAAGTCATATTATGGTAAAATAATTAAATAGGCATTATATATTTTCTTTATAAATATTTGTTTAATGTTGTACCGATCTTTCCGTTTTTCCCAGTTTTCTCATGTTTTTTTCAGGTTTTTCACATTTGTTGATAAAAATCCTGGGAAAATCAAAGAATAACCTCCTTAAAATACCTCCCCAGTCAGATTTACTTTTAGAAAAAATGCTATTATTGTAAACCGGAGCAAAATTGCTGACAGAAAAGTTATCCACAGAAAAAAAAAAATATCTTTGTAAAACCATATGCTCCCTTGCTCCACTCAGAATCTAAAATAGAGTATATTATATTGAAAAGAGAGAGATAGAGGCTGATAAATTTGTAGCATTGAGTTTGCTAGGAGCAAATGATAACTGTTGAAGAGAACAAGTTCATATAAATGAGTGAATATCAGAGTAGATCCAGGAGCACAAGTAAATGTAATGTCTAAGTCTATGTAATAAATTAAAATTAAGTTGGAAGTATACGTGCCATTAAGTGAAAGTAAATTTAAAGTTTAAAAAGACTGACATATTTCACACGTGGATGCAGCCACTGTTAGTGGGAATTTGGGAAGGTAGGATACAGATATAAATTTAATGTACATCTGTAAACAACGTTAAACCATTGCTAACGAAAAAACGATTCTGAGTGAGTGGAGTTCAGTTGATAGTGATGCTTTGTCAACAAGACATATGTCATATTATGGTAAAATAATTAAATAGGAATCACATTTTTTTTTTAATAATATTTGATTCTGAATATTGTACTGATTTTCCCGTTTTTCCCGGTTTTCCACATTTGCCGGGAAAACTCTTGGAAAAATTGAAAAATTACTTCCTTAATGTACCTTCCCAGTTAGATTTACTTTTATAAAAAGTGCTATCATTATAAATTGAAGCGAAATTGCTGGTTTAAAAGTTGTCCATTGAAAAAAATAATCCGTAATATTTTCTACATTTTTATTTTTTTGGTTTTTCACATTTAATGAAAAAACTTCTGAGAAAATCGAAAAATGTACTTCCTAAAGTACCTCTCCACACCTTTTTCAGAAAAAGCGCTATACTTAAAAATCGGAGTAAAATCTTTGGTAAAAAAGTTATCAAAAGACAACAAATAATAACAAATGATCTTATGATCTTTAAAATCATAAGCTTCTTCGCTATCCTCTGAATCTAAAATAAATATTGATAATATAAACATAAACATGAACAATTTATTCGATTAAAAAATGTACAAATCCATGTACATGCATAAAAAGACATGAAATATTAAGATTTTTCCCGACGCAGTCAATGGTGTATGGAGTGATAAGAAATCTGTGTTGTTAAAAACGAGAGTTGTTTGGGATTTGACATACTTGTTCGATGGAGACTGTTTGGAAATCAATCTATATGTAAAATAAATAGGAGCCGTTTCGGACACCCTGTGGTAGGGGATCAGAATACTTCTATGATATCTATAATTGTCGTAAGATACTTGGAGAATATTTGGGTGGATGTGTGAAGTGACAAGAGATGAAATGATAAAGAATGAGCTTGATCATTGTTTCGATAGTAGACAAAATTAGAGAAAATAGACTAAGATCGTTTGGATATGCTATGGGGAAAGTGGAATCTGAAGCCATAAGAATTGTAATGAAAGTAAACTTTGAAGAAAAAGAGGTAGTTGGATGCAATTTAGAATGATATGAGGATAGTTGTTGTCTGTGATTTGGAGATCGAGTTAAGTGGAAATTTAAATGAGGGTTGCCGATCCCAAATAGTTAGGACGAAGGCGAAGAATAAGAAAAAATGTGAGCTGTTTTGGGAAAAGGTGACTAAATAAGCTATAGCTATTTATTATTGTGCATAGGATATTATAAGGAAATTTTCACTTTAGTGGAAGAGTTTACGGTTGTTTTTATAAGCGTTTAAAATTTAAAGTTTTTATGAAAATCGTAAAAATTATGGTATTCTGGATAGGTCTCTACTATTTTCGAATAAGTATGATTTTTTCCATAAAAATGTTTAAAAATTTGTAACGAAAAAATTCAGAAAATTTTTATTTGTTTTATTGATATAAACTCATATAGATATCAGAACATATTTAACTGAAATTCGCGCTTAATGGTTTTCCGTTTGGTATCATTGGTTACAGATTATTAAATAGTATCTAAGTTGGTAGATCGGTGGACTGTATTAATAAAGCCGTGGTGAATTTACAAACAAAATTACTTTACAGTGAGTGACGCACCTATGTGCAATGATACGAAGTTTAACGGCTTTTATATTTTATTATTTGTAAATAACATCAATCGTCGAAACGATTATAAAACCGTTTAGACAAACGATGGCCACTTATTATTAAAATTAATTAATTAAAACCTACTAGATTTTTTTTTATAGATAAACTGTAAAAACGTCTATAGTCTTCTATGTTTATTCATTAGTCTTAGACTTCCTCTTATGTATTCATATTAATTCTTAATCCTGTTTAGCCTCATCACACCACATTCTTATTTTTGTATTCTGCTACTTTCATTTACTATTTAAACGACATCATAATATTTTAAACCATGGGTATAATACTTTTATAGGAGGAAAAAATTGAATGGTATAGTAATTTAGTTTACATACTGAAAACAACGATAAATTATTGTAATTAAAAACCGATTTTGAGTAGAGCTCGTTAAACTAATGCAGAATATGGTAATGCCAGTTTTTTTCTCTTGTGGTCAAGGTAACATTGAAACTAGCAAAAATAAAATCAGCATAAGTGATATTTGTTGTTATTTTTTATTTTTTAGAAAAATTGTTGAAATCTAGAAATTTGTTTCAAATAAAGTGCTATCGAGTGAAAATTCCGCATATTTTCAAGTAGATACTGCATGCAGAAATCAGAGAATTTCATTAATCTCTGGTGTTATTTAAGTTACTTCTTATTTCATATATTTGACCTAACCTAACTTGGTATATAGCATATATTAGGTAGGTTTATTATGTAGGCACAAACATAGATGTGTTTACCTGGATAAAACAATCGGGAGAGACGATAGGATGGGTCCATAAATGCGGTTATTCTCGTGCAACCGAGATAGCGGTACGAATTTGTACTTGTACACAGTCGTCTTGGTGATAGCAGTTGCAACGTCTGGGTATCGAACCGTCCTGACCTTTGTAGGAGGCACGATCATCCGGAACTGGGTTTGGCCCTGGAACAGAACGCGGGCGTCCGGTACTGCGTACACGCGTTTGTATTCGGCCGGATGACCGCTTATGTGCGCTGGTTTGTATGGATAGTAGAACCACTGAGGTTGCTGATTGTTATTATCGTTTCCGTGGTACTGACGGGCATCATTCATTCGTTCGCGAGTCTCCTTGTCTTGGGTTCGGTACCATTTACCCAGCAGTACCGTCTGGTGAGTCGGGTCGGCTACCGAAATTCCACTAATCTAAATAACGTATGATCTGATTTTTATAGGTATATTTAAAATTGATCGATGAAAAACATACAAAAAAATGACAAACAATGTTTTTTATTACGTAATTATTCTCATCGAATTGGTTATATATTATAGTTTGGGTATATTAATTCATTTAGGTTTTATTAGGTTACATCTTATATTTAATACTTCCGGCTGGTAAAATAAAATTAAAGAAAATAATTTAGCGTAATATCACAATTTGTTTTATTTAAGTTTTCGAAGTTCAGATTTGGACAAAATTAGTGAGTTGAGATATAGTGAAGACTGTTTGGTTATCCATAGAAATGATTTAAATGAGAATAATGATTTTATTAAAACCTTTTACCAATGACTTTGCCATAAAATGTTCGAGTGCTGCAGCATACCATCGAGGATCGTCGTGACACATACATTCATTGTTGCTATCTAGTTTTAAGTTTTTTTGCTCATATTCCGTCAACTTAAATTTACCACCAGGTCTGAAAAAAATAAAATAGTATTTCGTATTCCATCTCAAATCGCAGCACTCAAGGGAAATGGTTTTAGAATTATTATCACCATTGTAATATCGTAATAATCTTTCGATGACGTAATAAATTATTATTATTCATTTTTAAACGATTATTCAAATGTTTGATATAACCACGGAAACGTTTATAGTTAGTTAGTTTAATTTGTTAACCGAATAAATATTATGAGATATTTTAATATTAAAAAAAAAAAAAATGAATAACTATGTTGTATTAAATATTATAATATTGTAGCGTAGAAGGTATAGAAGAAACAAATAATTATCGTATTCGTGAAATTATGGATCGTAAAATCGACGATTGTTTGAAACGTCTTCAAGCTCATAACCAAGTTGTCGGTACTATTGTGGTGAACAACGAAGGTAGGCACAGAATAGCTTATAATGCAATTACACACTAGTCGAATTGTTCGTATGCGGATGCAATTTTAAACTTCCTCGAACATTCGTTTGAAATTAAACAGCCTATATTAGATTAAAGCAGCGTTTCCTAAACTGTGGTCCTCATGTATACCGAAGAGGGCCACGACCGTAAATTGAAAATACTATATAATATATATAAAAACTGAAATACTGATGTATAAAAGGGTTGGGGGGGTCCACGATCATTTTTACTATTTGTAAGGGGTCCGTTGGAGAAAAAGATTGGAAAATACTGAAAATTTGACCATGACAGAAAAAAATTTAAAAAAAAGTTGTTTTGATTGGATAATACACACTAAGTAGATGTTCACGCTTATTTTTGCATTTATTTTAATATTAGAGTTAATAGTTACCTATCAGTTATTAATATAACTAGTTCATCAAAGAATGAATAACCACGAGATATCAATGATATTTGGTACGAATTTTAACTGCGTATGTCGTATGGTGTGTAACTGTGTAAGATTTGTCTTATAAGCGAATAAAAATCGCGTCCCCGCATAAACTATTCACGAAGTGTGTAAACAGCTTAAGAATTTTTTGAAATGTCATCTTATGTCTACAATTACGTATTAATTAAATGTTAACGTTGAAATTTTGTATTTTAGGTATTCTAACCAAGACGAATTATGACCATTTAACCGCTAAGCGTATTGCTGCTTCGATGCAGTCGTTATCGGACAAAGCGAAGACTTCCGTTAAAGATCTGGATCCAACTAACGAATTAGTAGTTTTACGAATGGGCACTAAAAAACAAGAGATAATGATAGCACCAGGTATAGTTACTTACGTTTTATTAGACATATTTTAAAATAAAATTGATACATTAAATATATTTTATAAACTTCATGATAAAGTCTTAAATAGTATTAGATACCTTCTTCCATAATAATTCAATTTTTAATAAAATACCGTATTATTTCTTTTGTACATATTCATTACACACATTTAAACACACATTTAATTAATGTACATTTTATTACAATTCCGTTTATAAAGCTACAGTTGTAATCATTTTTAAACAGACCTTAATATAGCTTTGCTGTAAAGTTGTGTAAAATGCCCGTTTTTGTAATACTTGATATATAATTTCTCGTCCTCTTTCATTCCCCATGTTTTCATATTACCAACTGTCTTTCAAGTTTTGGTTCTTATATTAAGAAGGGTCTTCTATATACAACCTACAAGTATTCTCTATTCTATTTGTTTGTTTACCGTTCAACACACCGAGTCATAAACAGTCAGTATCACTACACTTTTGTAGAATTTAACTTAAAGTAATTCTCTTGTCATATTAAACACCTAACTTTTTTTTTCATTTTATCTGATCACACTTTATTCTATAATTCACATCCTCATGAAAGCAACCGTTATTTGATTAAAAAGATCCTAGGTACTTAGAACTCTTAACCTCGCCTTTAATCGCTTATTGTCTTATTCCTCCAAAGTTATTCTCTGTTTTACTTTTACTTATTCTTAGTCCCTTTTCTTTCAGTGATACTCTCCATTCCTAAAGCCTGTTGTGAACTTATTACAGATTCTCTCTTATCAAAGTTATATATACAAAAATCATGCACAACGATAGCTTCTCTCACCTGTTATTCTTGCGCACATTTGGAATTGCACACTTGCTACACTCAGAATCTAAAAGCAACGAACATTAAATACATTTTCGTATGAGTAAATTAATATTTTGATGAAATCATACAACATAAAAACATTTTATTCCTAACATTTCATAATTTAAATATATTAAAATCCATATAGGTATGTCATATAATAATATACAACATCATATCAACTGATATTTATTATTTAATGTATTCGATACATATTAAATCATAAAATCCAATGCCTGGATAAAATGGAATGGGATTGATTTCCTGATTCTCTTTAAGTATTATAGGTACTATTTATTTACTTTTATTATTTGTGTTAACAAGTAAAAAATTTGTCTCCAAAATCGAGTTATAATGTAATTTTTAAATGTGAATCGATACAATGAATGTATTATACTAAATATATTATAATACACAATATATATTTATAATTTGGTCCTAAAAGGACCAATGTCAAAAAGAATAAAAAAAAGTATAGAAAATCGTGTATCAATAAACCTACGGTAATTTTTGGAAATAAATTCATTTTTTAAATTTTTTAGATAGAATGAAACGAAGAATGTGTTAGTTTCAATGTTTTTAGTAAAATAATCAGTTTTCGTAAGCTATGAATACTCGTTGCGTACAAATATACATTAAATTTCCTCTCTACCTTGCCAACTTCTCATCTACAACAGTGGCTCACCCATCGTGCGAAATATATCTGTCTTTTTAAAACTGAATTTTCCCGGTATATGGCTATAGTGTTAATTGTTTTTGTTATAATAAACACCACATTGTAAATTAATTATTCTAGATAAATTCAACATTAATCATATAGTTTATCAGATTATAAAATTAAACTGTTTTTTAAATAAAATAAAAAATAGTGGCCATGGGTAGCAGCTCCACCTTAACTAAGAAATACGACTTCCAAGGTACTCAACCTAACCTATTGTAGGGATTTCCCACTAGAATAATACAAATTGTACCACTGAAACGCTGAAATACGGCTTGTCTTAATAATTTAAGAGAAAAAAAAAGTAATTTATTGAGTTTTATAGTTCGTATGGAGTTATAGGTACTTAGTTTAACTTTAAATTTAGTACGTAGTTAAAATAAAACTTGTATTGGTACAAATATATGAGTTTGCTTATATTATCATTATTATTTTTTGTTTAAGGTGAAGATTTCTTGATGTATGTAGTCCAAAGAATAACAAAACCTAAACACTGAGTTAAATTAAAATAAACAAAGCAAATGGTCTAAAATTAGAAATAATATATTTTGTAAAAACGTTGAAATAACATAGAACATAAAATAAATAAATGGTAACCTACAGTATTACCCTTATCAATCGTTCAATAGTAATTATTTTTTCAATTAGATTTTCTGCAAGGGGAATACACATATGTAAAGAAAAATTGAATTTTTATTTTCATCCCTTAATCACTGATAACTTTTTATTTTTCTACTTATTAACATTTTCGAAACTCCTATTTTTTAAAGGATATTATTCTAAAAAATTGTATTTTTGTAACACATTCATATCCGATAAATACCGTGCTGATTGTGATTCTTAATTGCAAAATGTGTTATTCTATTGAAAATAATGAAGGGATGAAAATAAAAATATAATTTGTCTGTACATATATTGTGTTCCCTTTGCACAAAAACCGAATTGGAAAAATAATTACTATTGACAGAGTCGTTACCATAAAGGTAACTCTGTAGGATACCCTCTATACAGATATGTAATATAGTGTGCCCCTGTCTTGAAAAATATTAACCTTTATCCGGTTTTTTTAAAAATTTAAGGAACAAGTAACTCTAAAATGTTACATTACCATTGTTTTTTGTCACTCTTATTTTTAAGGGTGAATTGACTACTAACTTTTGAAATGGCAAAGTATATTAAAAATTCTATAAATAGACAGAATATTAGTTTCAATATGTGTTCTACTACTTTTACCTTATTCAAACTTTAAAGTGGAATATCTCGTCGACGGGTTGACAGAAATAAAATATTTTAACACTAAGATGTATGTAAATCTATTTAAGGAAATTTATACAGGTTGCCATTTGAAAAGCAAACGTCGGTTTATCCATAAAAAAAGATAATAATGTTAACATTTTAAAGCTACTTATTTCTTAAACTGTAAAAAATATTCTGAATTATCTTATCTTCGTAGGACACTGTATAATTTTAGTTATATTTATAGATAACTACGACATCTTTTAATTGTTGACTTTTTTAATAAATTAGGATTTCTGATTACCCAAAATATCATTTAAACAAAAAAAAAAAAAAAAACATTACATTTCTTAAAGTAATTGAATTACTTGATTTTACACTGATAACTTGAATACGGTTTAAATTTTATGAAATATCCTACGTAGTTCTCTACAATTTACAAATGCAAAACAAAAACTGTAATAATTCTGGAATTTCACCTCCGTTCTTATAAATCAAAACAGATACCTATTAATTAAGAAGAACGAAAACAAAAATTAATTTTAAATTTAAATAGTCATTAAATACACATAATCAGTGGTGTATTTACCGGATGAGGGGGTCTAAAAAATCGGGACCCCTATAATAGAACAAAACAAAAAAAATAAATTGGTTAAATGTTCTTGCAACATATGTAATGTATTTGTAAGTTGGTATATAAATTATACGTATTATAGTCATAATTCGGAAGAAGTATCAAACTGGTAAGTTTTACAATGACAGTTTGTTGTGGCTTAATATAATGTTGTAATAAAACCTCTATGAGTCTCTTAATTCTTTCGTATGTAACTGTGATAAATTTTGAATTTCCCTCTCCAGAAAAAGTTCAAAGTACACCATTGCAC